CGCTTGAATGATTTAAAATTTGCTATGAATTGTCAAAAATTACACAACGCAATGGTTTCCGAATATTATTCTCTACAATGCTTGTTTAAAAAAGGGAAACTTTTCATTACAAGAGATTTGAGCGGTTATTTTTCCGGGTAGGGAGTGGCTAATCTGCTTTCGGCCGTGATCGACTGAAATCTTCTAAATAGGTCGCGATCGACTGATCGCTAATACACATATACGAATTCATTCGTATTCACTGAATATGGTTCCATCACATTTGAACCACGTACATCTAAACCCACGACAATTGCACCTGCATACTATTGCACCTACGGAAATTTTTTATGTTTTACGGATATTTGAACCCATACTAACCCATGGGTTTTAGCATTCGCATATAGATTGAACCCGCGGATATACACATGCGTTCAAATGTACATGGTTCAAATGTACGTGGGTTCAAATGTACGGTCACCACTGAATATACATATGACTGCACACACGCATACAAAAACTCGGTCCTTTCGTAGTATGTTTACCAAGATGGCGCAAAACCTGAACATAGTATGTGAGTCAGATTGTGCGCCATCTTGGTGAACGAACATATTACGGGACCGCCAAATATTCTACCAATAACCACAGTACTGTGCGCGCATTCATTATGAAACCACCACAAGAATATAGGAAATGGACATATAGGTAAATTTCGATTTTTTTTTAAAGTCTTTCCCCGGGAGAATTTTTTGATATTTGTGAGATAATTCACTATATATTAGAATAAGTAAATTTCGTGATGTACAAATTAATAGCAATATTTCAATTTCTTGTTTCATTTTGACATAAAACACCCTTATCGGGAAAGAGGATCATCGTTAGACATAGGTAGATTCCGGTTTTATTTTAAAGTCTTTCCCCCTGGTAAATTTTTTTTATTTTTCAGTATTTGTAAGATAATTCACTATATAATATATTAAGCAAATTTCGTGATGTACAAATTAATAGAAAAATTTCAATTCCTTGTTGCATTTTGTCATAAAATACCATTATCGGGAAATATGATTATCGTTAGACATAGGTAGATTCCGGATTTATTTTAAAGTCTTTCCCCCCTGTAGAATCTCTTTATTTTTCGATATTTGTAAGATAATTTACTATATAATATAATATGCAAATTTCGTGATGTACAGACAAATAGAAAAGTTTCAATTCCTTGTTGCATTTTGTCATAAAATACCATTATCGGGAAATATGATTATCGTTAGACATAGGTAGATTCCGGTTTTATTTTAAAGTCTTTCCCCCGGTAGAATTTTTTTCAAATATTTGATATTTGTAAGATAATTCATTATATAATATAATAAGCAAATTTCGTGATGTACAACAAATAGAAAGTTTCAATACCTTGTTGCATTTTGTCATAAAATACCATTATCGGGAAATATGATTATCGTTAGACATAGGTAGATTCCGGTTTTATTTTAAAGTCTTTCGCCCGGTAGAATTTTTTCAATATTTGATATTTGTAAGATAATTCATTATATAATATAATAAGCAAATTTCGTGATGTACAAACAAATAGAAAAGTTTCAATTCCTTGTTGCATTTTGTCATAAAATACCATTATCGGGAAATATGATTATCGTTAGACATAGGTAGATTCCGGTTTTATTTTAAAGTCTTTCCCCCCGGTAGAATTTTTTCATTATTATTTAGTATTTATAAGATGAGTCACTATTCTATATAATAGGCAAATTTCGTGATGTACGAATTGATAGAAAAGTTTCAATTCCTTGTTGCATTTTGTCATAAAATACTATTATCGGGAATTATGATTATCGTTAGACATAGGTAGATTCCGGTTTTATTTTAAAGTCTTTCCCCCCGGTAGAATTTTTTTATTTTTCAGTATTTATAAGATGAGTTACTATTTTATATAATAGGCAAATTTCGTGATGTACAAATGGATAGAAAAGATTCAATTCCTTGTTGCATTTTGTAATAAAATACCATTGTCGGGAAATAGAATTATCGTTGGACATAAGTAGATTTCGGTTTATTTGAAAATCTTTCCCCCGGTAGAATTTTTTTATTTTTCAGTATTTATAAGATGATTCACTATTTTATATAATAGGCAAATTTCGTGATGTACAATTGATAGAAAAGTTTCAATTCCTTGTTGCATTTTGTCATAAAATACCATTATCGGGAATTGTGATTATCGTTAGACATAGGTAAGATTCCGGTTTTATTTTAAAGTCTTTCCCCCGGTAGAATTTTTTTCAATATTTGATATTTGTAAGAGAATTCATTATATATTATAATAAGCAAATTTCGGTGATGTACAAACCAATAGAAAAGTTTCAATTCCTTGTTGCATTTTGTCATAAAATACCGCTATCGGGAAATATGATTATCGTTAGACATAGGTAGATTCCGGTTTTATTTTAAAGTCTTTCCCCCCGGTAGATTTTTTTCATTTTTTAGTATTTATAAGATGAGTCACTATTCTATATAATAGGCAAATTTCGTGATGTACAAATTGATAGAAAAGTTTCAATTCCTTGTTGCATTTTGTAATAAAATACCATTGTCGGGAAATAGAATTATCGTTGGACATAAGTAGATTTCGGTTTTATTTGAAAGTCTTTCCCCCCGGTAGAATTTTTTATTTTTCAGTATTTATAAGATGATTCACTATTTTATATAATAGGCAAATTTCGTGATGTACAAATTGATAGAAAAGTTTCAATTCCTTGTTGCATTTTGTCATAAAATACCATTATCGGGAATTGTGATTATCGTTAGACATAGGTAGATTCCGGTTTTATTTTAAAGTCTTTCCCCCCGGTAGAATTTTTTCATATTTGATATTTGTAAGATAATTCATTATATATTATAATAGCAAATTTCGTGATGTACAAACAATAGAAAAGTTTCAATTCCTTGTTGCATTTTGTCATAAAATACCGGTATCGGGAAATATGATTATCGTTAGACATAGGTAGATTCCGGTTTTATTTTAAAGTCTTTCCCCCCGGTAGAATTTTTTCATTTTTTAGTATTTATAAGATGAGTCACTATTCTATATAATAGGCAAATTTCGTGATGTACAAATTGATAGAAAAGTTTCAATTCCTTGTTGCATTTTGTAATAAAATACCATTGTCGGGAAATAGAATTATCGTTGGACATAAGTAGATTTCGGTTTTATTTGAAAGTCTTTCCCCCCGGTAGAATTTTTTTATTTTTCAGTATTTATAAGATGAGTCACTATTCTATATAATAGGCAAATTTCGTGATGTACAAATTGATAGAAAAGTTTCAATTCCTTGTTGCATTTTGTCATAAAATACCATTATCGGGAATTATGATTATCGTTAGACATAGGTAGATTCCGGTTTTATTTTAAAGTCTTTCCCCCCGGTAGAATTTTTTCAATATTTGATATTTGTAAGATAATTCATTATATAATATAATAAGCAAATTTGGTGATGTACAAACAAATAGAAAAGTTTTAATTCCTTGTTACATTTTTTCATAAAATACAATTATCGGGAAATATGATTATCGTTAGACATAGATAGATTCCGGTTTTATTTTAAAGTCTTTCCCCCCGGTAGAATTTTTTTATTTTTTAATATGTGAAAGATAATTCACTATATAATATAGTAAGCAAATTTCGTGATGTACAAACAAATAGAAAAGTTTCAATTCCTTGTTGCATTTTGTCATAAAATACCATTATCGGGAATTATGATTATCGTTAGACATAGGTAGATTCCGGTTTTATTTTAAAGTCTTTCCCCCCGGTAGAATTTTTTCAATATTCGATATTTGTAAGATAATTCATTATATAATATAATAAGCAAATTTCGTGATGTACAAACAAATAGAAAAATTTCAATTTCTTGTTGCATTTTGTCATAAATTACTATTATCGGGAATTATGATTATCGTCAGATATAGGTAGATTCCGGTTTTATTTTAAAGTCTTTCCCCCAGGTAAATTTTTTTTATTTTTTAGTATTTGTAAGATAATTCACTATATAATATATTAAACAAATGTCGTGATGTACAAATTAATAGAAAAGTTTCAATTCTCTGTTGCATTTTGTCATAAAATACCATTGTCGGGAAATAGAATTATCTTTATACATAGGTACATTCTTTTTTTATTTTAAAGTCTTTCCCCCCGGTAGAATTTTTAAATTTTTCGTTATTTGTTGGATAATTGGATATATAATGTAATAAGTCGATTTCATGGCGTACAAAGTATTAGAAGTGCCGAAATCAGACTTCAAAGCCATCAAGACAGTGTAACTCTTTGGGTAAATGTTACTTAATTTGCTTTTGAATTTGCTTGTTCAATCTTTATTTTAAAAGATGTATTTGTGCAAATCAGATTCGATTTGTTCATATCTCATTCTTATTGATGGAAATGAATAGGTTTGGTATTTCGCTTAGATATAATTTTTTTTTGTTGTTAAACCTTCCTGTGAATTCATGCTTGTCCACCTATATATCTGGCAACAGTGATTAGAGATATCATTGTTCAGCTGATTTCGATTTATTTTCCCGGCAATTGTGGCTATTTTGTGCCATCAATTGCCGGACTTTGAGAGGTTCTGGCGCTGAGTTAAACATGGATATATGTAATTTAGTAATCTGTGAAAGTTTAGGATGCCTTAACTTACGGTGAAACATTGTCAGAACGTCAGCCCACACTCGTGTGACGCTAGCCCACACTCGTAGGATGCCAGCCCACACTCGTGTGACGCTAGCCCACACTCGTGTGACGCTGGCCCACACTCGTTTTTGTCAGGCCATACTAGGGGTAACTGGGCCGTGCTTGGTATTGTATTTGCGTTGTGTATATCAGATATGGTCTCTATATTGTCAGAGTCACCAAGTTTTTATGTAATTACGTTTATAAAGTCAGTAAAATAGTTGGTTAACCCCTTGACGTCAGGCTGAGTGTGGGCTGAGCGAGTGTGGGCTGGGGTAACTTTGGTCATCTACTGTAGAAAATTCTATTCCTACATCCTCAAATAAAGTCCAAATATCTTGCCTTCTAAGTCCATTTGGATAACATGTTTCATCAAATTTCAACGACATGCATTTAGATCGATCCAATGTATTTCTTTCTCTTTTATCTTTTTCTTGGCTTGCCTTTTCCGCATATGATAGTACTCGAGTTGTCATAATACAGCAATACTTTATCAACGACCAGACAGCGAATTTATATATTTTTATAATAGTCTACTAGCCAATAATCTTAATCAAAACAGCTGATTTACAGGTATATCTTCTCAGGTATATCCTTATCCTTATGGACAAAAAAATTCTGTACTTAGTTGGTTCGGTTAATGAGCATATTGGTTCGATGCAACTACTATTTTTTATTGCCGCCGCCAGACGACGCTGTGAGCGTCTTTTCCAAGTTGCAGTCTCCGGTGTTCGTGTCTGGTTGGTGAACCGTGGTCATATTTAGGCAAGTTTAACAATTAAGTTAAAGCGAATTCGTCATATCTGTGACACAAAAGAATAGTGTATAGTGTATACCAGGGTAGTCCAAGGTTGTCGGCCTCGCGGGCCACACTATTATGTTTGTATTGCTCGCGGGCTACTATAGTGGATAGGATAGGATTTTACATATTTATCCCGGGGGAGAGGAAAGCCGCTAAGACGGCTTATCCATATAGCGAACCACGACCTCTCGTCCGGTTACCATTCCAAGTCGGGTATGGGATTAGTTATACTGTATTGTTTGTTTTCGGAAGCATGGACTTGGTGGTGGAAGAAGCCGTAACCGACCAGCGGTTACGTGAACCACCCAACGACGGCGAGGAGTCCAGCAATCCTCTCGCACATAACCATCCCTGCATGGGATTCGAACCTGCGAACCCACGCAGAGTAATTAGAGGTGCGGTGGCGAGCGTATTCCTAACGCTTAGACCGTTGAGCCACACCGCCGCGCTGAGAATGGGTAAACGGTGGGTTGCAATACAAAACAAAAAAATTTATTGTCCAAACACATTAATCATTATTTGTCATTTATCAAGCTAAAACATGCAAAAACCACCAAAAAAACTCATTAAAACGTGCAAAATCGTACTATATCAACATTTAGTGTATGGTTTTAAACTCTTCATAACAGGGAAAATGCTGTTTCAGATTGTCACCGACACAACTTGCAGACATATTAAGCAAGCGTTGTGGTATTTTCCCTCCCATATCCAGTCGAAAATCTGTTTGAATTATTCAGCTTTCTTTTCAAACTCATGTTTACAAAATAACTTAAGTAATTGTAAAATAAGTAACTGCAGATTGATTGATTACCGAGTTTTACTAAATTTGAGATACAGGAGGGTAATTACTAAATTTTCTGACATACAGGCAGCATTTTTTGTAATTGTGTTTAGGCTTGTTGCAAAAAAACACCCGGCAAGATATATATTGTTAGGCCATTACAGAACATTAAATAGAAAGCTAGTTAACAATTTAGACCAGCTAAACACATCATTCAACTTCGCTAGTTGCCCCAGCTAGCCATAACACTAGTCAACTCAGTGACATTAGTGATGTAACGATATGTCAAAAGATTTTTCTGGTTATTTTTATGACGAAACAACACCAAATGCCATTTTTGTTTACCCTCGCGCAAATGCGACGCGGGCCATAGATAAGAGAGCGGCGAGCCACGTGTGTCCCGCGGGCCTGAGTTTGGACCGTATACAATAGCTTGATTGTACCCTCGAAAGGTTTCTGTGATTTCATGAGAAAGATGAAATTAAATTAGCGTGTATTTTTTTGGCACACTTTCAGATAAAGATACAAATGAGAACAAGATAGCTATGCTCAAATATATGGACACGTAGCCGCACCTAATGGCAATAATTTTGATGACGTCATAGCAAAAATCTTTAACCACTGAAAATTTCAAAGCAATTGGTCCAGTAATCAAAGAGAAAAGCGACTTTTTAAAAACGTGCCAAGGAACAAGAACAATAACAACAACATAATATTGAAACGATCGCTATGTCCACTACGTGTCCAATAACGATTATGAATATGATGACGCTAGTCTTGGCAAAGTCGTAATTCCCAGAACGAAATTTATGTAGATGAGATCGAGCCTCAGAAAATCCGACTTACGCCAATTATTTTGACTGTTGGAATTTATTACAAGAGTTAAAAGTTATCCAAATACTAACCTAGAGTTAGTACTGCTGGTATCTGTGGACCACCCTCTATTGTCGTTCAACATAACTTCACCTAATCGTGCGAATAACGCGACAGCGGAGCATGTAGTGTCAGTGTAGCCTTGATTCGATCGACTACCTCGATTCGATGGGCGACAACAAAACGAGTGTTAATGATGTGACACTTTTGGCGGCCCATCTGTGCTGTCGAATATATAATTCGGCGAATCGCCGCTTGAACCAAGAGGAAAACAGAGGGAACGAACAAGTTAAGACAGAGTTGACTTTTTTTGTTATTTATTATTTATATTATACTGCTCCTAATAAATATCTGAGAACCCAAGACTGTGATACTGTATTCGAAAAGCTAAAGAAGTATATATAGCACACCATCCCTCCGACGTTAATAAGAAAGGAAAAATATTAATAGAACCGTTGTTGAACTGGGCTATGTGTTGTTGAACTGGGCTCTTGTGAAACTTTGCATGAACGCGCCAATATACGAATCTTCTTCCTAGTTCCCTAGCATAATTTCATAAACATTTGTTCGCAATCAAAGCTGGGCATTTTCGAATACCAAGTGGTTTCAGAATCGAATCAAATATTTTTAATCGAATATCGAATACTTGTAAGATTGGTGATTGAATGCGAATTTTTTTTTTGAATTACTGAATGCATACAATCCATCACCCTGACCGTTGGTTGTGTGGTCACACAGAATAAGAAAAGCCTGTTTCATCGATAAATAACTCGCATGCCAGTTTGTCTTGCAAAAAAATATGTCTGAGCAAATAAATGACAGATGTACCTCGATCTTTGGTGAACGAAAGAAAAACAAGATGGCGGCAATTCAAAATTTTCGTCTGGATAAATTCCAAAAATTTACTATTCGATTTGAAATGCGAGCCCTATTTGCAATACTAAAAATTAAGCGCACAGCAAGTAGTCAGTAATTTATTTTATCACCAAGAAATACACACTGTACATACAGAACGAGGTAAGAAAAGAGAGGAAAATAATGCATTTCCTGGTGAAAGGGGACGCGATAAACCAGCATTGGTTATCAAGCAACGACACCTATGAATAGTCTAACATTGGGTTATACAAGAACAAAAATCGAACTAAATATAGTACTAAAGTGAGGAGTCGGACGCCAAAATACTAACATTGGCAGAAATATGTTTAAAAAGACCGAATATTTCCGGACTCACCAAGCAAACGACTCCGAAAAGATTCATTATCAACATAATATTTTTCTTTTTTTACCTCATACTTTGGTTTTACGCAATTCCACCCACTCCACATTTTGTTATACTTTGGTCGTATTTTTAGGAAGACGGGGTCGAAGACTAGTAGGCTACGTCATTTTGTAGGAATCTTCTCTGTGTGCTTTACCTCTTTAGGATCAGAATTACTGTTACTTCGTACAATAGTAAACGATGTCCTGCAGCAAATTACTTGTCTCATTCGACGTAGCCTACAAGAATTAACATTGCAATAAAATGACCGTTCGAGATTTTATAAAGATTTACTTTACACCAATTACATGCGCGATTTAAGACATTTTTCTCTCCTGCGCCAAATGCATTCTTTTTTCCTGTGTATAAATCATAAGTCTGACCTTCCGTATTGAATACAACTTGGTCTGTTCTGCAGTTTCGTCATAAAATTAACCAGATAAATCGTTTGACATATTGTTACATCACTAATATCACTGAAATGAGTAGTGTCATGGCTGGCGAAGAGGCAACTAGCGAAGTTGAATGATGTGCCTGGCAGTCTAAATTGTTAACTAGCTTTCTATCTTTTTGGTCGGGAATATATGATAAAAATTTTAGCATCATAGAAAACTAAAAATCAAATGCGGATTATATTAGCCTAGGTTGGCTATTCCTGATAACTAAATATTAATGTTATGGCCTAACAATATAATTCATAACGAATATTTTTTGCCACCAGACTGAACAGTATTACAAAAAATGCTGCCTGTATGTCAAAAAATTTAGTAATCACCCTTATGTACCTCACATTTGGTAATCAATAAATCTGCAGTTATTTTGTAAACATGAGTTTGAAAAGGAAGCTGACGAATTCAAACAGATTTTTAACTGAATGTGGGAGGGAAAATACCACAATGCTTGCTTGAGATATCGGCAAGTTGTGTCGGTGGCAAAAGTATCGGATTTTAAACGGCATTTTAGAATCTTGAGAGCAATGAGCATTTTTCGAAAGCACTTAAATTTACGTCAGCACTTTTTCCGTTATGAAGTGAAATTTTACACTAAATGTAGATATAGTAGGACTTTTGCAGGTTTTGTATTGTACTGTTTACTTATTCTCGGCACTATTGTGGCCCGCGAATAATGCAAAAATAATTTTGTTGTCCCCGGAGCCGACAAACTTGGACCAACATGTTCTAAATAATTGGTCACTTGTAGGTACTGCTCGCAAAGAAAATTGGTTGTTGTATTTGTTGTTGAGGAACTACAAAAATAACGAAAGAGTTAGGTAGTCGAAATGAAAAAAATAAATAAAGAGACGCATTTGGTCGGTGTTAGGCGGTTTGTTAGTCGTTGGTGTTAGGTAATGACGGTGCGTCGTGCAATCGAAATATTATTTTTTTGAAAGAGTCAAGCCGTTTTTTCCAAAATTGCTTCGATTCGAGTTGTTGTTGGGATCGTTGCATTGATATTCTGAAACTTACATTCCTACACAAATTCTACTAAACTTAAAGCATCTCAGTGACTTGCTTCAGGTATGCGGCAGCAGACATGTCTCACTAAATGTGATTAATGCTCACTTGTGAAAAAATGAATAAACAAAAACATCCACTAAGTAGTTTAGTAGAAACACATTATCACGAAGTTGCCCGCTGAACATTACAATATCGCTACTTGGAGGACCGGTATCAGTTTTCATATTCCTGCCTGCATGGCGACATTTAGTGATACAAATTTACCAATTTTCCGAACCGGTAGCTAATAACCACTAACCAGGTGTCCCGGTTTTCCATTTGCCGGATAATGAGTTTTCCCATAGAAATACGACAATTTCATTTCTCACGAGTGTGACCCGAAATGACAAACTTATACCGTATGTAATTATCATCGCACTGTGGGTAAGATGCTTTTTTTCTCTTTCTGTAATACTTTATACATATATAAACAAATAAAATAATAGCAAACACAACAATTATCAGTTTATAACAATAATATCATTTCTGTTCATGTAAAATACGGAGGAATTCGGCATAATTTTTTGTGCCACTGCGCCCTCCAGCTTATTCACCTCAGTTTTGATGCCTATAGCTGAATCGGTACTGCTCATTTCCGAAGTTCCCACTTCAATTTATGATATCCGTACGTATGTACGTTGTCCCATGTCAAACCAATTAATTATGTTAAAAGTGTTTATGATATATACTTTATAATGAGAAGTCAGTGGGAACAGCTGTTTTACGCGTGGGAATTTTGTGCTTTTCTGTGTCAGAGTTTTTGATATTCTGTTAGCTTTTTCGCAGAGGTGGCTACCGGTATCCTGGATAGGATTTACATATTTATCCCGGGGGAGAGGAAAGCCGATAAGACTGCTTATCCATATGGCGAACCACAGCCTCTCGTCCGGTTACCATTCCAAGTCGGGTACAGTTTTACTGTATTGTTTGTTTTCGGAAGCATGGACTTGGTGGTGGTCTGGTGGAGGAAGCCGTAACCGACCTGCGGTTACGTGAACCACCCAACGACGGCGAGGAGTCCAGCAATCCTCTCGCACATAACCTTCCATGCATGGGATTCGAACCTGCGAACCCACGCAGAGTAATTAGAGGTGCGGTGGCGAGCGTATTCCTAACGCTTAGCCCGTCTCTTTATGGTACCGTACCGTACCTGGCTATGACTGCTCTTAATGATTTATCAGTTTTTTGTGTCTTCGAAAGCAAGATGTTTCTTACAGCTTTTTACTTATTTAGATGTATTTGTACTTATGTACTTATTTAGGTGTGGCTCAACGGGCTAAGCGTTAGGAATACGCTCGCCACCGCACCTCTAATTGCTCTGCGTGGGTTCGCAGGTTCGAATCCCATGCAGGGATGGTTATGTGCGAGAGGATTGCTGGACTCGTCGCCGTCGTTGGGTGGTTCACGTAACCGCTAGTCGGTTACGGCTTCCTCCACCACCAAGTCCATGCTTCCGAAAAACAAACAATACAGTAAAAACTAATCCCATACCCGACTTGGAATGGTAACCGGACGAGAGGCCGTGGTTCGCCATATGGATAAGCCGTCTTATCGGCTTTCCTCTCCCCCGGGATAAATATGTAAATCCTATCCTATCAGCCTATCCTAGATATACGGTACACAACCTAGAAACCCAGAATTTGCTGCATTCAAGAATTCAAAATCAGCTTCATTTATATATATGATAGGTCTATGTGGCGTAAATTCTGGTGATCTGTCGATTAACATAATTGGACGGAAGAAGTCGTTAGAAGTCTATTACAGTCTGACAGTTAATTTATCTAGACCCCTTCCGGTACCTAAATTTTGTTACCTATTCTTCCGTGTTGTCCACGAAAATGAAAGGCAGTAAAGACCTAATCTGAGATATTGAGATATCAACAGTGAACATTATTTTATCAATATTTATATTTTCTGCTGTTAACCTTAGATTTGAAATATCAGTGTATCATTTGAATAGATGAACTGCAATAAAGAAAAGAATACAGGAATAAGGCATTGAAGCTGTTTGATGCAGTACTGGAATTTGTTATTTCAGTATTTGTTAACTGGTTTCTGATTGATACTCGAAAGTCTTGAAACTATAAATCATGCTACCATTTACAACTGTTCCGAACATTATTGCGAAACTTGCTGCTGCACGAAAGGATGATGGTAATGAAGTTGACAAGAAATTTGTTGAAAAAAGTATCAAGTTTTTGGTAAACAAGTTTAAATCAAAATCTACTGGGCTGAATGATTTAAAGACAGCGGTTCTGCAGCAGACACCGAACACGGGCTGTGTTGTTATATCCAAGTAAGTAGGTAGTTTTAGAAAGGGGGTCTCAAACTCAATTTTCTAGAGGCCACTGGAAGCAGAGTCTGGGTGGGTCTGTGCTGTATCAGGTTTTCCACAATAAAAGCTTATATTAGTTTAAAAAAATTCAAATTTTCCCACATTTTTTATTTTTTTAAACACTTTTTGAAAATATAAATAACCAAATTAAGACTACGGTAAATAAAAAAATAACTAAAGATATTAAGAATTAGTGATTGTGACGTCAAAAATCTGAGAACTTAAAAATTATATTAAATGTATTAATCATGCGAACTGAGCTAAGTGACACACTAACATTAAACTTTCATACTAAGGCAGGGACCACAAACTATCGTCCTACGGGTCGCTATTGGCCTCGGGCCGCGAGTTTGAGACCCCTGTTTTAGAATGTTGTTGTTACAATTAATTTCTTCTTAAATGATATATTAATCAACTTATTTAACTGTTAGTTAAATATTCATAAGACTTAGTCGTTCGTAATGAATAAATATTATTTTTATATCTCAAGGTCCGACTGGAAGATGTTTGTTAGAACTAAAAATGAATCAACAAACTTAAATGGAAGGTATCATGTTTTTTTTGTTCCATCTCAGGATAATCTTGTTTAATTTTCTGCATACGGCTTCTTTCATTATTGATCAATTCACTAGAGTTCTAACCTTTCCGTGATCGAACCTTCTAAGATCTCCGCCATCTGCATGTTTGAGAAATCTTCGGCGTATACATAAGTTTACCTACCCAAATATGGAAACATGGTTCACATATCCCATTTGATTTAGATCTTTTATAGCCCAGTGGAAATCATGATGTTTGTTTATCGTAGCGAATGTATATATTAGGCCTACCGTATATCTTTTTTAACTTTGCAGATCCACTAGTTGAAATATCATATTTGCACAGGAGGTTAGAGTTTTGAAAAACTTCATTGTTATTTTTGAAAAATTTTATTTTTTAATTTCTCAGTTACAGCAGTGGAGCTGATATATCATCGAAAAAGCTTCACCCTAATGTTTGGTTCTGTAGTTTATGGAGATGGCCTGATTTGACATCGCAAATTGAATTGTCTTTTATACCTACCTGCATGCACAGTCATAAAAATGATGAAGTCTGTGTTCAACCATATCACTACAACAGAGTTGAAGCTCCAGGTTAGATATTTACAAATTCTTGAATAGTTTACAAACTAAATTATTGCAACAGTGATTTCTATATTATGCTATCTTCCAGTGGTGGATATCTAGTGATTTAGTAATTGAATATTTTTTTAAAACAATAGAATATTGCATTCCAAACTTCAAACTAAACGGCATTTTCAAAATGTAGATCAAGCGTAAAAAATAGTCTTGAATTGTCAATCAAATTGCAAGATAAATTTCTACCTTATTGGATTATCATATAAATCTTACTTTAGTCTATATTTTCTATATTTACACCTGAATACATTTGCTATAATTGGGCATGTTTCTTTATTAGTGATACACCATGCTTGTTTATTATTTGCCAGGAATTTGACACATGTATCATTTTGTTATATTATCCTTATTAATCTTGTTGGAATCCTTTGAGTTGCTATTCTCCACAAATATTTTCCATGATTTTGGAGGCTATAGGGCATGATATTTCACCCGTAATTTTTGCTGTTTTATATTGTGTGGACAATATTTTTGCATTTTAACTTTGCATCTATTTATTTCCACATTGCCCTCTCATTATTTGATAATTTCTATATACGGTGCTATTAATTTAAATGCTACTACTTTTCAGCAACATGCTGTGGGATTGTTTTTGCACATATTTTTATTTTAACAGTACTTCCACCAGTGATGGTACCCAAAGCAGGAGAACCTTTACCATCCAGGGATATGTTGGCACCAATTACCATTGAAGGTGGATCTGTACCAGGAAATGCGACCTTCGATGATAGAGTGGAGCTTCATAACTTTCCATTGCCAGGTTTGTGCAAATTTGTTAGTTATTGCTGACTACTAGTTGATACTCTGTGAACAAAATATGTTTCCATATTTGACGACCATTTTAAAATGAGGATTGGTATTCTAGATTTTTGGTAAAAACAGAATAACAATTGGTGCCTATGGGCAAGGCTGTCAAATGGAAATTTTGACAGGGTAAATGAAATATAAATACTCGCAGGAGCTTCCGATATATCAACTTTGTGAATCATTACAAAAGAAATATCTCATGTTTTTGAAAGGAAATATCAAATATTATTTGTATGAATGTGAAATAGTCATATGCCAAACTGTATATTACAGGGTGACCCAAAAAACAGAACCTACGAACTTCTACAATGATGAAAAAAAAAAAATTTTGTTTGCACTTAAACTTCTGTTTGTGTGTGATTATACCCAAAAGTTTCTGGATGTAATTCTAGCTAGGATGTAGTTCAAATGTAGACAAAATTAAATAATTTACCCCATTTTCGTAGAAGTAAGTAAGAGGTTTTTTAGTTTTGTTTTTTTGTGTCAACCTGTACAATAAAATGTAAATTCAATAATGCAGTTACTTTTTGTGTTCAAGTTCATTTTTACCTTTGAAGTTCATTTTTGAAAACCTTTTTTTTATTAATATTATTTGAATTTTTTTTTACGGTATGTACAGTAAATAATAATGAAATTCTAATTTTGAGTCTATAAAGATCAAATCCAAATGAATTGAAGATCCTAATTAATAGTTAATACATTAGAAGTGTATTTATTATATTTATTCTAAAAAAGTAAATTCTCGAACTGAATTGATCAATGGGGCTCAGTAATTAGAGTACATAAGTTGATAAAGTCGTGCATAACTTTATTTAGCTTCCACTAAAGTGGTAAATGACCAAACTAATACTTGAATATTTCTATGGGTTTGAATGCATTTTTTGGGACTTTATCTTTGTGTTTATTACTTCAATTTCAAGCACTGATTCCATTTCAATCAATAATAGCTTCATCAGTTTACAAAAATTTCATTGTATTATATTTGACGTAATGTCAGTTCAGTATGACGATATTTTCAGCATGACATGATTATAAATTTCTAAAAAAAAATTAATCAATATTAGTCGCACTTTAAAAAAACTTGTGACAATATACACAACTATTAATTAATTATATAAGTATTTGTAGTACTGATATCTTAAAATATTATGTTTCCCCGTCCCATATTGATTTATGTATATTTTCTCCTCGTATTACTTGTCAAAAAATTATATTATGAAGAAGATTGTCAGATGAAATATGGATTTAATGTAATGATTCTGTTACAATTTTCTTTTTCAAATTTACTCCTAAATTTTTCATGAATGACACAAATCTGAAATTTATATCAAAATGGGTCACATTACGGGGTTATCTAAAGTGAATGGAATATTTGAATAATAATTAAAAAATACATAATATTATAATGATAAAATTTGCCCTCCTGAGTGAATAGTCACATCGAAATAAATAACATTATTTATGATAGCAATAGAAAAGGAAAAAAACAATATCAAACAGTTTCTGTACTATAATATCATGTTCTTTTCAATATACAATCGTTTATGAAAATATCTTAGTTGAACATGACCTGTTAAGTTACCTACGGTATATTATATTTGATGACCATTATTCAAAACTATATTTTCAATTCAAAATTTTCTGATATGAAATCTCTTCAATATGTTGTTAATGCTAAACTTTTTACGTTAGAACTCATTAGTATTGTCAGTAATCTAATTTTATTTAATAATATTTTAACGGTAATTTTAAAACTAAAAATAATGTAAATATGTAGTAGTCATCACTCTTTGCCAAAAGAAGTTGCGGGCCAACACTCGATGTACTGTTAGAAATAGGTATAGTTTTATTGTTGCCACTGAAGAGCAGTAAAACCCATTTAATGATAATTCGACTGAAAAAGGGCCTTCCGGAAGGCCCTATTTTAGGTCATTTTTACAATAAATTTTTACAGTACTATATAGCAGAAAAACTTCTTAGTTTTTCAGCTTTGAATAGTTCATTAAAGGTTATTTACAGACACTTACCAGCTACTGCACATATATAGTTTTTATTGGTTTGCTCGACTATTGAAAATAAGAACTTTTTGTCACCTATGAAAATTTTTATATATTTTTCAAAAATCGCAATTATGGGCAACCCAGGTATTAATCGAGGCACTTTTTTTTACTGTTTTGCAAGTTTCTATAGATTTACAACAATTGCAATGTGATTGGAATGAACTGCTACCACTCGATAATGTCGTGAATTTTGTATAAACATGTAGACAAAAAGGCCTTCCGGAAGGCCCTATGTTTTTTCACACTATTCAACTATTTTGACCAAATTGAAAGAGTACAGAGCTTTAAATGAAAGCAATAAAAGTTGTAGTTGCAAGCCTGGCGATTACCAGATGACATAGTCATTATTTTGTCTTTATATCTCCAATTATAAGCAAGTTACCTAGTTTATTGATCAGAATATTAGATTAATTTTTGTTGTTCCGGTGTCAAAAAATATTTTCTTCGTAATTGCAGGTACTTTTTTTTGCACGAGGCATGATTTCATGTCGGTTACTTGATTTATTGAGAAACAAAATGCAATACAGAATGTTTAATGATATATAAAAGTTGGACATTACTATAGAAAATGTTAGGGCCTTCCGGAAGGCCCTACAAAAATAATCAGTTATATATGTCGATGTGGACCCATAATATTGAGAGGAAAGCCTGTTTTTTCGAAGGGAAGCCAAAATTAAACACAAATTATCATTTTATGTTATTGATTAACATAATAAATATATTTGGGTTAAGTTTAAGCTATACAGAAGAATATTTCAAATTTAAAAATTGATTGCTACTATATACAGTATCATTATAATTTGTGCTTGGATGTAGTTTCTGGGTTGATACTTTTCAAGTTTTTAGAGAAAGCTAGAGTGAAATTTTATGATATTACATTGTGAATTGTGATATAATATTACAGTGTGTGAAATAGACTATAAAGATTTAAGACCTGGAGTTTCAGATGAAGAGAACATAGAAAGAACTTAAGAAAGATTCGAATTAGGAAATTACTTTGAGCACAATGCAGAGAGTAGCTTTGGTTTGAATGAATGAAGAACAACCAAACAGCAGTTTAGGTAGCAACCAAAAAAGACTGAGAGTTAGGATTCTGAAATTGAGAAGGAAAAGGATGTTAGTGAATGTGCTGAGTGCTTTCTTAGCATGCAGCATAGACAGTGAACTAACAGAGATGAATGTATTTTCATTCTCAGACGAAGAAAGTGACAGAGTCTGATTAATAAGACATAGAGTCTGATTAAGACATGGATACAATCCCCTTACAGCAGAGAATGATAGGCAAAGTGGAGACAGAGCTTTAGGATGAATTATTAAAGGTGTAGTGAGTTAGTTGCCCATCCAAACTGCCAAATTTTTTTGCAGTTGGATTTGATAAAAGGATAATTTTAACTAGCTAGAAACAAAATGAGAATGGCACTCTGGAAATATCCCTAGACTGCAAGTAGCAGAAACTTATTTGAAATTTGTCACTGTCATCATTATAATGTGGGTACTGGATCCTTTGGTTTCTAAGATGTGTTACTAATGCGCTCTTGTGACCACTGTCAATTTAGAGCAACATGGGTTTTCTACTAATAAATGCTCATCTTTGGATGTTATATTTCATTAATAAAGACAACATATCAACCAAATCTTGCATGATATTCTTTACATGACGAGCAAACATTTCAAATTCAAAAGTTGTATTGTCCAAGTAGGCGCTGACTTTCAATGAGTGATCGTCTTTCATTTACTGAAAATTAATGCCCAGCTCTCATTTGGGGAACACCTTCCCTCCCATCAAAAACGAAAAATGTAACTTTCTTTTCAGATAATATGGCTTAAAATAACATTACTTATTTATTTGATAGTGGTACATTCTCTAATTACTGAAAATAGAAGGTTTTTAGGTTTCCAGATACCGGGTCTTAGGGCCTTCCGGAAGGCCCTTTTCAAGAAAAATTTTGAAAGGGTCTCCCATCCATCATGTTGTTTGTGTTAGTATTAATTTTCGAATTTTTTTTTGGTATTAGGTATTTGTGTTCTGGGTTTTTAGAGAAAAAAATGTACCTAACTGAATATAGTTAAACAATAATCCCTCTTATAAAACTGATCGTTTAAAATTTTTGATGAAAAATTTTTAATTTACAAAAAAAATTGTATTTGCGCTTTTTTCTGTTAGCAAATTTAGTTTTTCAGTGCAACAACATGATACAAGAAATTCATAAACATGAAAAAATTAGATCACAGAGGTTTTTTTATCTGAGAAATGAGGATTTTAAAAAATTGATTTTTTTCAAATTTTTCAAAAAATTGAAATTTTTATTAAAAGTAAATAGGTCAGTGATAAAAAACTAAAATGTTTTATAGAAATTGTAACCCATGATTGTGTTCATGAGTAACTGGCAATCAATTAATACCATAAGCTGAAGAAAATTCAAAATCAAACTACTCGAAATCAGGTTTCAAAACTATTTGATTAAAAGGGCCTTCCGGAAGGCCTTTTGTCGAATTATCATTAATATGATACTACAGCATCTGTTATTGCTGGTTTTCTAAATGAATTTGATAAACTTGAATTGTTGCGCTAATGATGTTCTACCCTCAAAACACAATTGTACTTATGAGTCGTTATTATACAATTTATTTAATAAAACAGTCATTAATTCTCGAGTTTCAAAGTTTAATCACACTGACACTTGTTGTGACAAATAATATGCAAATCATAATCTATGGAATTAATTATAACTATTAAGAATTATAGATTGATGCCAGTATATTGATCACGTTTCTGTCCTGTAGAAATTAACGTCATATTCTCGGAAATTATTTACACTCAACAAAAGTGGAGGCTATCCAATCCATCATTGCCAGATAAATTGCTTTTATAGATTGTATCAAGTATGACCATAAAGTAATTTTTTCAACTCGGCTAGACGTAATTAGTCAACATTGTTACTACATATCATGTACATTCTGAATTGAATGGCTACCTCATTCTATTGCTTATAATAAATATATTCAAATTGTGAATTTGTGTATATACGTTGGCAAAGTTGCCTAATTTGGCATTGGGTGAAATAATTTGCAAGGATGGTCTGCAAAAGGAATATGACCAATGCTGATTCATCTTATTTGCATTCTATTCTGTCAATGACAATTTGGTATTGGCTATGGATTAAAATGTAGGTTAGCTGACTTTCCCTATCTAACAAATCAAAAATCTAACCATAATACCGTATTTTATTATACCTCAAGCTGTAAAATTAAATATTTTGAGATAAAAAAAGTAGATTTTAGCTATCCTAATAATTAACAAACAACGCGGCGATTGGATTATATTCATCAGTATTCAGTACCAAGCAATAATGAATAATCTAATAATTCTGAATTTTTAAACTAAAAGCGTAAAAAGTAACACTAGGTTACGGCTTCATTAAATTGTTAAATATTTTGAAGACTTTGGTTGGAATAATGTGTATTTGGATGTGTTTTATTTGCACTTCATTTTGCTATTGTACATGTAAGGCATCGATTTGGGCATGTGTTCATTAAACAGCCAAGCGTGGCCGAAACCAAATAATCTTTGTTAAATTATGTTCAGCAAAGAACACAGAAGCCTATGTATATTATATTCAATGAGTTTTAAAATTATGATGAACAATAATTTAGTGATGGTTTTATATTTTTTTTTTCAAATTTTTTAAAAATTCAAAATTAAAGCTTTTTATGGTCATACTGTGAGACTTTAATTGCTAACAATGATATTTTTCTAATGATACTTTTCTTTATTATTCCTAAATTCAAGAAACGACGGTATCGAATATCCTTGTGAATAGCATATGTTAATAACATATTCACTGCTTCCAACTATTCTATTTCAGAGACTCCACCGCCAGGATACATGAGTGAAGATAGTGAGGCAGCAGATCAAGATCATTCTATGAATAGTCCTGATTCCCAGCATTACAATTCTGGTTTGTTTAACCTGTTTTTAAAAATATGTATAAATTGATTGGTATTGATTAGATCAAAGTTTCCCAAACTTTTTGGGCCGTGAATCCCTGTTTGTGAATCTTAGTTTTGACAGACCCCTATCCTATGCCGTATCAATTTCTCTGCCTAACCAACAAGGTGGGATATTGTTCAATTACAAATTTACAACACAACGACACAAATGTGATGGGTGAGATTGCTTTTTACTGCACAATTTATCAATTCTCGTAGCAATTTGTGGCAAGCAAACTCTTAGATCCAATTCTGTGGCAAGTCACATTTGTGAGAGATGAAAATGCTGCCTCACACATGTGAGGTGTTGCAAGAGGCAATAAAATTTTAATTGCCTTCTTTGAAAGCAATGGATATTCGTCCACATTGCTCAAACAAAAAGATGCAATGGCTGTTTGTTTGAAATCAATCATTAAAGATTGAATATTAGAATATTTTTTAATGTGAATGCATTTTTTATCTTTTTGCCTATGACCAAACTTTCGCCTAGATTATTCGACAGCATTTTAATATGCTGTGGCTTATATTTATCTTGGTATGCTAATTTATTAATTTGGATTGTATTTGTTTTTAGATTCTGAAATGGCAATTCAAACAGGACTGTCTTCACCAGTGATAGGTGAGATTTGTTTCCAGTTATGCGTTAATGTATTGGTATACCCGTACTTCTGCTGTTCCTGGTTCACAAAACAAGTTGACTTTCCAATCTTCAAATCGAATAAGCCTCACTATTTTGATAATAATATAACAATTTATTAACAAGATGTTTGTTGGTGTTTATGTTGTCTGTTTTATTAAAATCAATCATTATTTCATGTAAAAATGTATTTTCATATATAATCACATAGAAATGAATTAAATAAGATGCACCTGGGTAGTATATGAATTAATTTATCACCAAACTCGTTAAAATTTGCCTCATTTTAAAAGCATTGTTTTTAATGAGACACTGACTGACATCGCTCATAGCTAGTGCTTTGTTAGTTTTGACATTTCCATCGATTTGCCTGGCCAGTAATGAGTGCATTATTTTAAGCAAATAGCAACTTTGCTTAATGAAAACATGATGATGATCTGTTAATTTATTTCAATTCAATATTTACCATACATGAACATACTATACACACAATTTTCCTCCATGTCTGAGTAGGAGGGTTTTCTGTCCAGCTCTTGTCTAGTTAAACTGTTCATACTACAGTTGAACTGTTCAGTCATAAAGCAGCCAGCTTAAATATTGCACACAAATTATTGTCTGATATCATGATCTTTGGACATATAGTTCTAATCGTTCTGTGTTTACATTTTTTTTAGATGCTCAGCCTGTTGCTTATCGTGAACCACCATTCTGGTGTTCAATCTCTTATTACGAAATGAATCAAAGAGTCGGAGAAACATTTCATGCTTCACAACCATCTCTCACAGTTGACGGTTTCACAGATCCGTCTAATTCCGAAAGATTTTGTCTTGGACTTCTCTCTAATATACACCGCATACATCAAATAGAACAGACAAGGAGACACGTTGGTATGTCATGAACTTACTGCTAACTTTACAAATTTAAAATATTAATGTTGTTCTTATTGTCTCATTGTTATTCGCCAAATTGCTTTTCATTGGCTTATAATGCTAATTGTTGGAAATCACATAGTTTTTCATTAACTTTAACTGGTACATTATCACAATCCACAAAAGATAAAGAGCTACGCAGCAGTATTTTTTCTGTAAAAATTCTATTATATTTCAAAATTGTTCTACTAACAGGTAAAGGAGTAAGATTTTACTACATCGGTGGTGAAGTGTTTGCAGAATGTCTAAGTGAAAGTTCGATATTCGTACAAAGTCCAAACTGCAATAAAAGATATGGATGGCATCCTGCCACTGTAGTTAAGATTCCCCCTGGTAGGTATTTGAAATGATGATTGCACAAAAACAGTTTTTGAATTTGTTGATTACTAATTGAAACAGTCCTGCAAAAATTCAAATTGATGGTATTTTCATATTTATCCCAGAAAAGGCGATAAAGTGGTTTTGCTAGCATATCTATCATAAATAGCTGACGGGTTATTCGTTTCAGACTCATACGAATCCAGCAATCCTATCACATATATGAATCATATGATAACCAGAGGTGCAATTGCAAGCATGTTTCTAACGCTTGCCACCTTGGAGCCATTTTGGTTGTGTAGCTTGGATGCTATTTTGTGTTTTTATAAGTTGGCTTGTTGACATGTGCATTCAAAATTCAGACAAAAAACGGGTATATCATCCGTAAAGTAATGAATTATTGTTTTATATGAGATTAACTTAAACAATTTATTTGCGTAGGCTGCAATCTTAAAATATTCAACAATCAAGAATTTGCTGCTCTTCTTTCTCAATCTGTCAACCAGGGATTTGAAGCAGTTTATCAACTGACTAGAATGTGCACGATTCGCATGAGTTTTGTTAAAGGATGGGGAGCCGAATACAGGTATGCCACATTTTTTGTACCTGTCGACCATAATGTATAACTTTCTTTAAATTTTGCATTCAATTTGATCTCAGTGTTACATATTTTCCAACTTGTCTTGATCTGCTATGTATGGTCATTTAGGATAGGATATTTCATATTTATCCTGGGGAGAGGAAATATGATAACACGACCCATTAATCATGGACGAAGCTCAGCTAATCCATGTCGGGTACGGGAGTAGTTAACCAGTTGTTTAAGATGCATGGACTTGGTGGTGGAGGAATCCATAACCGAATAACTGTTATGTGAACCACCATATGGCAGGGACGGTTCTAGCAATGCTCTCGCACATACTTATCCGAACCAGCGGGGGGTTACGGGGGTCGTGTCCCCCCCGTTTGAAATTCGTTTTTTTTTATTATTGTTCTACGTTCAAACAACGTCGTTCTACGATCATAACAATCCGGTAAAAACTACTTTTTTTCCAGTGCTTTATCACCTCGACGTAATTTAACACCGCCCGACTTCAATCTTCCTTTTTTGCTGTTAGTTACGTAATAATCGCTATCCCCGCGTATATGTTTGTATTCGAAAATGAGATATGTTACCTCAAAAAAGTAGAAATCGCGCGCTGTCAATGCGAATTGAAAGCGACAATAGCATAATGCTATCTCTCTCTCTCTTGTGACGAATACTCTCGTGCTTCATCATCTTGACGCAATGTAACGCCGCCCGTCTTCATGTTATAATAATGCAGTAGAAACTCTGAAAATCTGGATACGAAAATTATTTTCAGAAAAATATTGCTTCGATTAACCTAAGATTTTCTACATATGAAAGGCTGAAAACCGAAAACGCCGTACACATCCTACCGCCCCTGTCCACGTTCTGATTTAAAAACATATCACAATTATTTCATTTTTTATCGCAATCGAAAGCAGCCATGTGTGGCACGGCAATATCTAACAGTCGTCGTGAAAGGTTTTCAATAAACTCCGACTTGAAGTGCTTATAAGACGTCGAGGACGTTTTTGGTTGAAAATTTTTTACATTTGTTATCATATATTTCAATTTAGTCAAGATATGTTGTGCGCCTCGGCAATAAACTTATAAGCAAATCCTGCCCTAAATAATTGTTTTCATCCTCAGTTTCGATAGATATCGAACTTAACGGGAAATGTTTTAATTTCTTGGAATCTATAAAATAGCTTCTAAATATTATTTGGTTTCTATCGAAGATTTTATCGTAATCCCGACGTCGTTGATAACAATATCATTCATTTTAAGTTGGAGGTATTGGTTTATAATCAAAAAATTATAACACATAACATGAAAAATTTAAATCAACGCCGACTCAAAAAGTAAAACACGTTTTTCCATCTTTATTCTCCATTATTGGCGGACGGAAATTTGGGAATCAGGTTTAACTAATTTGATTATGATGACGATGGTAAACAAAAGTACACAAACATACCGTACCGTTCTTAGTTTTTAGTCGTTATTTCTCTGTCCTTTCTTTATTCTATGTGCATATTGAGACCATAAAACGTGTTTTATTTTTAAACACTGCGCTGATTTGAATATTTCATGTCGGCTGTTATGTATTTTTGTTTGTAAATGAATACCGCTAACTTAAACTGAAGGATGTTGTCATCAAGGCCGGATGTCGACGAAATCCGCAAAGATATTAAATACTATTTAAGAGCTATTTTATACGCGCTAAATTACAAGAAATGAAAAAATTTCCTGTATGTTCGGTCACTATCGCAACTGAGGATGAAAACAACTAATTAAGACACAATTTGCCAAGGACGCCTAAACCATCTCGACTAAGTTAAAATACACCATAAGAAAATATTTTCAATCAAAAACGTCCTCGAAGTCAAGTCGGCTATTATCGAAATTCTTTCATGTCAGCTGTATATTGCCGAACCACACATGGACGACGGCGCTAGGATATGTGCGCCATATTTGGGATTATTATAAGCACGAAAAAACAGTATTTGAAGTTTGCGATATTTGAATTTAAATTCGATTTGGACATCTCTGCATTAAATTAGTCAGTTTTTAGTTGTGTTTCCAAAAATTAGTTGTAAATCAATTATTTTAATGGTCATTATGTCTTCCGGTGAGCATCAGTTTAGTTTAGAATTTTTCTGGGGTTAGGGTCGGGAAAAGGTCCATTCGCAAGAAGTGCATTTTGTTTTTAGTCTTGACGAATTCACCCATCGAGCAAGGCGCGGCACGAGGGAAACACTGGAATTTATTCAAGCCGTGTTTCACTATCCACGAGGCGCAAAGCGAGGGAAACGTTGAAAATAATTAACAGCTTTTCGTTAGCAATTCGCTGGAATGTAATGAACGGCATTTTGCTACCCACGAGGTGCAAGACATAGCGAAGCGCCGTTAATGAACGAGTGCAAGGTAAGCGAAAGGCTGGGATTTAATCGACGGCGTTTCCCTTTTAACCATGAGCAATTTATCGTTTTTCAGCGAGGCGACACCTAGTGGCGTTGCGACTTACGTCGTGGTTGCACTGTGTAAATTCCGGTCGGACCCCCCGTTGAAAACGGCCTGGTTGCGCCACTGCTTATCCCCCACAGAATTCGAACCTGCACGGGGTGAAAAGATGTGTGATGACAACCGTATCTATTATTGTATTCTCTCTAACACTGTACTTATGATATCACAGACGACAAACTGTCACATCTACACCATGCTGGATTGAACTCCACTTGAATGGACCTTTGCAATGGTTGGATAAAGTTTTAACACAAATGGGATCACCACGTACTCCATGCTCCTCTATGTCGTAAAGGCTGCAAAGAATTTTTCAACCTCAAAACAAAAACAATGTTGAAATATGATATGATCATACCAAAAGTCAACCCTGTTTTTTACCAGGCATTAGACAGTGTGAAGATATGTGTCAATGCTGCCATTACTACTTGCCTTTGTAAGAGACAATGATTTAATAGAATTTACTGATAATCCTTTTTAGCAATATCTCTTTACAATCGGTAATCTCACGACTTTCAAAAACTTAAGATGGTTTCATCTAGTATTGGCTAACAAAGACTTTTTGAGATCACCCATGAGTGCACAGCACAAGACATGAATTTTTTTAAACATTTTTTCAATGATACCGATGTGTGATATGATCATCGTGTTGTTTTTATATATTCTGTTTCAAATTTTAACAATTTGGTTCTGATGTGAGGGTTCAAAGTTGGAAGTTAATTTATCTTTAAAGTTGAGCAGATTTTTGCTATGGAATTTCTCTAATATTTTCCTCGGTTAGATCATCCGGTCAACTCTCTGAATAGATTTGAAAACTTTTCAAATGCTTATATTCTTAACTGGTTGTAAGTACTGATTGAAAACTCTTGTCTTAGATTGATGCCATAACTTGAAAATCACATGCTATTTTTATCTTCTTTATTATTCGAATAGTTTATATTTTTACAGTCCTGCCAATTATGACAATTTGGTACAAATCCTTTCTTGTTTTTTCTTTTTTATAATTCGAACAGTTCACAGACGTATGTTTTTTTACTTGGCATAGAATGTATTTTGGCTTTTCTATAAAGTGACTGCTTGCCATAGCATCACTTGAATAATGTTCCGTTATGTTACAATCGTTCATTCATTTTTTCTAGGGCATATGTATTCTGTACTAAACTCTAGTTGATGACAATGTCCCGATCACATGTGTGGAAATGTTCTGACTTCGGGATTTATTCAGGACTTACAAAAAATATCAAAAATCTATCCGAATCTATCTAGCCTCCTTCTACCTTGACTTTTTTGTTAAAGACGAATATCCATTATCAATTATAATCTTAATTCTTATTTTAATTTAATCAGTAATAGAAAGCGACATTTTTTATTAGTTGAAGGGGTGTTACGGCCAGTCTGAGCATTTTTTTTGTCAGATTTGAGACTGAAAATTGGCTTAATTCTCATAAACTAACAATTTTTATGCGCAGCAATAGTGCAGATTGCTTGATAATTTACATTGTACAGATTGTTGTAATAATTGAAACATTTTGTGTTCTTGTATGTCATGTCGTGTCTTTTTAAGGACAATTGTGTACTTAATAAATGAATATCATTTCTTTTCAAAAATATTAGTCGTTCACTTTCCTGATGAAATACATGCCCAGTTTTTATCTAGCATTATATTATGTGCTCCTCTACAGCATTTAATGCCTTTTATCTACTTTTTTTCTATGATTTTGCTTGTTTACCGAACTGACATTAGGGATATTGTGCATTTTTAATCAGCATTTTCTTTTTACTAGTATGTGTGAACTATGTATATTTTGAGAAGGTAAATACGGCTATAAACTCGTTTGCAGCAGATAAACTGCTAAAGGTTGAAAATATTACCATTTCACAAAAGTTTCAAAAACACTATCTAGCATTCAGAAGATAAGATAAAAATCATTTGTTTCGAACTTTTGCTTGTAACAAACAACCTTTTAGTAACTACTGGACTTGTTAAAATAAGCCATGTAAAGTGTCCCAATCAGACATGTATCCTGTCCACAAGTATTCCATTGCAGTCGTTAAAATAAGCCTCTTGTCCTATGTTGCAATTTAATTATGCCACGCTGCTAGCATGGCATAATATAGTCTTATTTGAATCTGGTGAGATTCCTGTTGAATACTTTGTTTATTACTAGCTTTTCAGTTGGTTTTAATTGTGTCCATCTGTCATATTCCGGTCTTCATTGTTAAAACAGTATTATTGTCCACAATAGTTCACGTTGTAAATACTTGTTCAAGCAATACAGTAGCTATGAAATAAATATATTTCCGTTTCTTTTACGTTGAAGCCAAGGAGCTTAGTTAGTTGTTGATCGAGTTGGACAGAATTGGGATCGGAAAATTGCAAGAAAAACCTTAGTGATGTCAAGAATTACACCTATCTGAAAAACAGTAGCCCCAAGTTTAGAGAATAAATATGATGTTGTGTCCCAAATGGTCTCAGTTTGAACCCATTTCAGCATACTGGCTCAAGTGTGTTTTAAATTGGAAATTGTACAATTAAATTTGCTTATAGTCTAGTTAGTAAGGGATTTCAATGGTTTTATTTTGGTCAGACACCCAATATGACAACACTGCCTACTTCAGCTTTCTTTCATCTTCAAAATTTTGAATTGACTTTTCTGTTTTAGATAAATCAAAATTAAGTAAGGATAAACGGAATCAGATTCATTCGTACTCGAACCAAAAAAAACATCTTAAAATGTTTCTCATAAAAAAATGATTCGAAACTTGCATTCCAATTTATATTATTTTATGATAGCCCTATATCTACAGCCACCCCATTATACTTTTCAATTCCTTGCAAGAAGTTGAAACATATCAATTAGCTGTTCAAAATAAAAGCCTTCCTGCTGCGTAATCAAAAATATGGCATTCTGTAAGCCTGTAATGGTAGTCTACAGCTTATGTCTTGTGAATTCAACTGTAATTTTTTTTGGCTTCCTAAATTACAGACAAAAACAAACAAGAAAATACTACAACACACAATATACCGCGCTGGAATTCTGTTGCATTTCAAGAATCAAAATCTTTATTACAATAAGTGCAGAAGGTAGTGCAGATTAAATATCATTCAATATTTATCTATTATTCATAGTGATTATAGTATTGTCGTAGACATACAGATTTTAAAATTTCAAAAAAAAGATGGTTAGCCCACGAAAGACTGGTTAACCCAAAAAATAGATTTCCCAATATTGATCTTCAATAATACTGGGGCAAAAGACATAAAATCAACATATTCAATTCATTTGTAGTAAGGTAACTATGTTCTCAGAGACAAATCTTATATGATGCAAGTTATAATAGAATGTATAACAACAACATTGTCATCAATCTAGTTCTTTTATCAATTGACATCTGTTTACTAAATAAATTGTCAATTTGTCATTAACATTTATGCTTTTTTTTCATGCTATTCAAATCTCTAGTCTCTACCTAGAAACAAAATATAATCGTTTTGAAATTAAAAATACAAACTGATATCGCAACAAGAATATGCACATGAAAAAAATCAAATCTTAACGATGACTCCTAAATGTGACTCCTAAACTCTACAACAAGTGTAATTTAAAAAGCACTACTTTAGGATAATTAAAATCACTAATCTATTTTTAATTTGTGAGTAATTTTTTTTAAAAGCTAGAAAATGATTCTATTCTTTCTGCTTCTATCAGCTCAGCTTCCAGCTCATCAATAGTAGGCAGTTTTTCCTCCGGAATCCAAAACTTTTCTAGATCAGCTACTCGATCGGCGATAGTATCAAGTCTTCTCAGAAGAACTTCATCAGGGTAATGTATATAGTCTGGACTGGCAAACGGCTTCTCTGCTGTTTCAGTCTTTGATTTGTACTTGGCTAGAATAAATTATATATATTATTATTATGAATATTCCAGATATTATGAATTTTCTTTTTCATCCCATGACTGAGGAATAATTCACACGCCAAAAAAGATAGAACGAAATTTTCCGAATGCATAGCTTCATAATATGCATAACATCTGATATGCTATTGGGTCCTCACGAGACTCCTATTAACAATAATCGGTATTAATAATAATCTATAGTGTATGAAAGTCAAATATTGCAAGAAATTTACTGATTCTTGTGCTATGCTTTTCTCTAAGAAACTTTTGAGTCGTGGCTCCATGTTGCTGAACGAAATATTCATATACATATCTACACTATTTAAGAAACTTCTGTTTTTATACTTAATAGTTGTTAAAGCAGAAAATACTGTTTCACACAGATAGGCATTGAGAAGTTGACACAGTCCACTCAAAAAAGAGTAACTCCCACCGCACCCTACCAAACTTTTCAGAACCCCAATAAATGTTTCGAAGTGCACCAGGTTCATCGAAACCCCAGTTGAGAAGCAATGGTTTAGGAAAAAGCAACAAATGTACTATTTTGATCATGTTAATTTGAAAATGATTATCATATACCTTTGTTTGAAGGACTCAGGTATGATGGTAGATAGCTGATAATTCCCTCTTTCACTTTCTTCGTCAAAAAATCAACAAGTTCAAATTCATTTGCAGTTGTTTCATTCTCTATCCGAGCCTGAAAACATGTTTCATGGTTTAATTGAATATCCCTATTATGCATTTTACAACTTGACTTGTGGAATTAATAAAGCATTCTTAATTTTGTTTTTAGTCGAAAACAAGTAAGTTATGCTTAAATCTTAGGACACAATTTTGACAATATATACTGCTTTTGACAATATATAGAACATCAAGCTGTTAGAAGCCAGCAGTAAATTTGAAATCTGTTACTGTATCTAAAGAAAAACAATTCTTTGCCACATCAATTATTTTTCAGATTGATCCACAAGTCACCTTCTCGTTCATAAATAGAAAATCTTCGATCTATACAAAATATAACCTTTTTGATGCCCTCGTCCAGCAAAACAACAAACATATTAACAAGAGCAATGGTGCAAGCAAGTGTAAAAGTACTGAAGAATATTGGGCCGAGCATTCTATCTGCTTGTTTCAATTCTGTGAAGTCAAAACGCCCAAGCATCATTACAATCATTTCTTCAGCCTGTGAAATGCGAAACAAGATTAACTTGGACGTCATGATTGTTTAAATAATATTGGATGTATAGAAAAGATCTTTGAACTCTGTTTTCAAATAGCCATTTTTATTATCTTCAAAAGTATACAAGATTTAAAAAGAAATAGTTGAAATGTAACATTTTCAAGGTTTTTATAATTATATCATCCAAAGCGTTAAGAAAATGGTAAACCTCACAAGAAAAGCATATAAAGAATTTGTACTCTGTAAAGAATTGCAATAATTTCAGTTCGATATGAAGTAAACAACTCATTTACTTTCAGGCGAGTTGTTAACAGTCATCTGATAAGAGCTCACAAACATTTGAACTGGAGATTTGCTCTGTAACTAACATGGGATGGATGGGGCATGTACATTGATTGAACCCAAAATAAAAGTGCATACCAATCCCTATCCAAGCATGCAGTTAAATTATTATTGCATTAGCAGTTTTAAAATTAGAACAGATTAACATTCTCATTAAAAAATTGTTTAAAAAAAAGGAAGTTAACTCTTTTATACATTAAAATTCCATCATTCCATCATCATCATCATCCAAGAAATGTTTTCCCAAAAAATGGACTTACCGCCAATAGCAGTGTACTGAATGAATATATTTTCTGTTCAAACCAAAGCCATGACAAGAACAAGAAAGATGTGAAGTACAAAGCAAACATGCTAGCAAATGACAACAGTGGTATAGCAGATATTTTGAGAGTGTTTGTCAACATTCGAATCCGACGATTAAATCGCAGAAGTCGTATGAAACGTACAATAGCAAAAAATACAATAAATGACATCAAGTAACGAAATGTGTCATTCCATATTGTGATATATTGGAAGTTGACGAAAGTCTCTGAAACAGATTATTGAGAACATGAAAAATTGTTTGAAAATAAAGACAGTGCACTTGTGAAGGTATAATAGCCCTATATCAATGGTTCTCAAACGATGTGGCGCATCCCACAAGTGGCACGTTAACATTTTTTTGAGGAGGAGAGGAGCTAATTAAAAATAAGAAATATTTGTTAGATTGGATCTTTTCCACCTTATTTTGGATATTTACATTTCAAAACATTTCATTTATTTTACTATTTACGGTACAGTCCATCCACATATTGAATAAAACATACCATACTTTCACTTTTTTTTTTCTAACTTTTTGTTAGGGGCACTAGACTTGACAAATTCTAAAAATTTGAGAACCACTGCTCTATATGATAATATTTACAATAACTTTTTCAGATGTATGTATCAAATGTATTATTCTAGATGAGTAAAAGGTAGTATCACTATTGACGAACCATCTGCTCAGAAAAACTTCAATAAAGGACATTCAACTTTCCTATATAAAAATCACATTTGCATAATATATTCAATCAAGAAATTTTTATTGTGCTGAATGTTTTTGATGCCGCCCAATGTTTTTTTATTAAATTTAACTTTTGGTGGGACCTGTGACAATTTATACACTTGTTATATGCAACTTTGATCTAAATTCTTGCACATCCTAATTAAGCTGAGTATCAGTTTTTCTCAAATACCTAAAAATTGTAATCAATAGCTTAATGCAACATGCCATAATTTTTTCAAAAACATTTTAAAATACATTTGCTATTACTCCGGTTCGCAATTTTCCACATAATGGTATTTTGTAGTCGTTACTCTTTCTCAAAGGTTTAAAGATAATTCTACAAAAATTCAAACCTTTATCTGGATCTCTCTTCAGTTTGTTCAGGATGTATTGCGCTTGAATATATCTTATGGCATACAAAGGAATCAACACAATCGATAATACGGAGCTAACAAAATCAAGCATGTTCCAAAAATCTTTCAAATATGATAATTTTTGTTTTATTATGTGCTTGATAATCTGTAGAAGAATTTTATCTTTATTACCGTACATATGTAATAACATCAGTGATCATATTTTTAATTTAACAATAAACACAAAACATCAAAACTTTGCAATCCTGTTTTTTGATATAAATTAGTATGACAAAAATGATTTTTCTCAGTACATTCTTTGATTCCAATATACTGTATAATTTCAAATACAAGATTAATTGTTCCAATAATAATCATATATAAATGAATTTACCATTCACTAACAATGGATTATCTGTATCACTTACCCTATACCATTTGTAGATAAGGACTAATAAGAAAGCAGCATAAATTCCGACTAATAAATATCCTTTGCCGTCAATAAATTCAAACAATCTTATTGCATATATTTTAACATGGGGTTCGAAATGTCCACTTTCTGCTCTTTCAAACAGTAGTAGAAGAGATCCGAACAAATTTATATTTGCATTATATACCTACATGAAAATGTAATAATATTATTTCCAAACAATAAGTAAGCAATTATTGTGCCGAATTATTAAGATGGTTTGCATTTCAGACAATTGGATTGTTAACTTTTCCAATACCCAGCTGAATCGAAAACTGGAAAATAGGCTGTATCTTACTACCCTTCCTATTCAATGAAATCAAATAGAAAATTGTATCCTGGGATAGGATTTACATATTTATCCTGGGGAAGAAGAAAGCCAATAAGGCGGTTTAATCTTATGATGAACCACAGCCTCTCGTCCAGTTACCAGTTCATGTCGAGTATAGGATTAGTTAGCCAGTTATTTGTTTTAGGAGCATGGACTTGATGATGGAGGAAGACATAACCGACCAGCAATGATGTGAACCACCCTACGACATGAATCCTCTCCCACATAGCGTAACTATTCCTCTATGGGGTTTGAATCTGCAAACCTACGCAGGGTAATCAGAGGTGCAAGGCAAGCATAGGCATGCCCTGTTACCTTGACAGGTTGGAAGCACCCATTCAACTGTATAGCAATATTATTTTATTAATGTACCGTTAGTTCTACAAATATTCCTCTGGTATAATGATCAATCCAATCATGAGACTTTAAATCTTGAAGAATATTTCTGGATTGTTTTGGAGTGTTACCAAGTATTGCTGCATATCCTCCTCCACTATACATATGAATCCTTCCTTCATATAGATATCCACCTAGATCACTGCAAACGGCAACATCGAAAAAAACACTTGATAGCACGGTAACACCACTACAATGTTTACAAGAATATGTTTGAGGAAAAATGAGCAATTAGGTTTTTATAACTAAAAGTTGGGGTTACGTAAAACTGGTAACTACCTTCTCCTTGCTCCATATGCCTTTGCGCAGGTGGATTCGTATGCGTATAACACAAGGATGCTATAGCAAGAGTGAAAATGACTATTCTATTCGATTCAACAGTCTTGCTGCACACTAACACAAATGTATTTCTGCAAACTTATTTTAATAATAAATTTCAATTGTCGGAAATTGTTGGACATTTTTCTTCTGGTGAGGTTACAGAAATACATTTGTGTTAGTGTGCAGCAAGACTCTTGAATCGCATAGAATAGGTTTTTATAAATTTATATTGAATTTCGGGAAATTAATAGGAGGTAACAAATCGAAAAAATATTTCAAAATAAATTTGATTGATGTGTTTAGTTTATAAGTTATATTGAGTTTAATTCAATTATTCAATTTCATTCTGTATGTTAAAACGGCTGACTAAATAAATGAAATTGTTTCATACATGAAACTTTGATAAGTCCAAGGTGTTGCTTTTTCTGATGCATTATGAGATAAATCAAGTTTCCAAAATGGAAGAAAATCTTTTGTTTCTTCTTTATAAAAATCATATTGTGGAAAACATCTGCTTGTTATCTTTGTTGAAGAGCCCGGGGGAACACACACATCTGCAGAAGACAAAATTTTGTCCATTTTGATTTTGTATGTGATATTGAAGGATGTAATCATTTGAAATTTTTTCCAGACCATAATGACACAAAGAAGTTGTATTTTCGATCAATGCCAGGTATATTGGCTATTAGATTGAAATATATGTAGAATGGTCAAATTCCAGGTCGAAGGAGGATCATGTAGGCACACACAGTGGTGGGATTCAGCCGTTTCGCACCGGTTCTATAGAACAGTCTCATGGAATTTTATGAGATCAGCGAATCGGTTAGCATTACTGAATAAATACATGACTTTTTGTAACAGAACCGGCTGACAAATATGACTTTTGTGAAGGAACCGGCTGACAAAAAATTTGAATCCCACCACTGGGTACACATATTTTGTTGAGTTAGTCAATAAGTTTCAGATGATAATGATCATTGAACAAAATTTTTGAAATGGATGTTGATTCAAGTTACAAATGCAATACAAATGCAAAGAATTATCTAAAACTGAAATATAAATCCCAAATTTATAAAAAATTTCAACCACACAAAAGAACTCCCCATTTGTTGTACTTACCATCAATAACTCTTATTTGTCTGAGTCTGGCTGGTCCAAGCACAAATGATGCTCTGTCACTGATAAATCTACTTTCAGAGAATTTTACTTTTTTCCCATTATACCAATCTGGTGCAAACAGAGCGTCAACTAAACTGCCGTTGCACCATGACCAAAAGTCATCAAAACTACGAACCTGTCAAAACAAATTAATATCCTTCTTGAAAGTAAAAAAATAAAAATATAACAAATATAGGTCTGGTCAAGTAGATCCAAATATCATTTGAATAGTATTAGCATGTATTGGCTGAATTTCTAATACAAAAAAGAATATTCCTATGTAAGAATTAATCCACTTGCACAGTTTAACCATATTTATATTTGAGAAGGGCTACGTGACAATAATAATAAAAATATTTTTAAAACTGTTAACATAAGACAAAGAGAAAGCAAATCAGACCTAGTCAAATTTTTCGGCATTGAAATGTCATTGACCAGTCATGGGACAAAAGATAGTAAGATTAATTTTCATCATTTGACCAATATATGATCATCCACTTACATCATTGAAGGAGGGATCGCCAGATTTTACGAAGACTGATGATAGAGATTCATGATATTTGAAGGCATTCGGATCTTTTGCTGAATTACTGGCAACCAGCAATAACAATACATAGCATAGATATGATAGGATTTCATATGCTGTAGAAACCATTCGTTTTCTTTTTAACATTTCTCGACGAGATTTTTCCAAAACATCAGGAGATGGAGGTAACATCTGTGTATGTGTCTCATCATCTAAAATTAATACGTCCTGTACTCTTTGGTTTTATTCAAAACACATTGTACAATTAAGCAAACCTAAATTCTACACAATTACACATCTCAGGTCATGTGGCCCCATGCCCACCTTGTCACAAATATAATGAATTGGATAGGCAAAGCTGGACTAGAAATATATTGGTCCTTCCAATGAATAGTAGTAGCCCATTACATATCGCTAGATATCAATTGCCATGTTTGAAGTGAAAAATTAGAATGAACATTGTATAAAAAATACTAACATTCAATTTTACTATAAAAATGTGAGTAATTATTGCTAATTGTCAAATGAATGAATCAGTCTTTTTATTAAATGACCCAGAACACCCAATGCGGGTATTTTTTTATATAAATGCAAAACTGAATTTTTATTTTGCTTGTCTGACACGAAACTGCACATTAGTTTGCAGTAAAGTAACTGTTTTTGTTCAAAATTGAAAATAGTGATAATTTAAAAAAATTGGATATCTGATATGATTCCAAAATTGTGAAATATTAACTAGCCCTTTTCAACACCCATAAGTCTGTTTTGATCTTTTCAATGAGTCAAAATAATCAGTCCAATATTTTCCAACCTAAATCATCATCTGGGAATCTTAAAAGCCATTCCTCTTGTTCTTCCAGTTTTACACAAATATCTTGAAATCTATCATTCTCAACTTGTTCTGCTTCCATTACTTCAGCAACTGCATCTTTTGCCTTATTCGATGCAATTCTTTTCACGAATACTGAAAATATTATCGCTGCTACGACAACCTAAATATGTTTAATACTTAATACTTTTTTGATACTTTTTTAAATTCCATCTGGGCTAAATGGGTTAAAAAGAATCTTAAAAATTGTTGATGTTATACACTGGGGTTTGGCAATTATACTTTCATACCCATGGACTTTTTATCTTTGTTCTTTTTAATTTTCAATCACATTCCACTTTGTTTATAACCCGGAGTAAGTAAAATTCCTTCATAGGAAAAATTTCTCACATGCACTACTTTCCATTGCCAATTTGCCATTTGATAACAATTTGTCTTTTATATTCATAAAGAAAATCAGCAAGTATCAAAATGCTATTCATCCGAGATATCTTAGACCAGGGGTGTCAAACTCGTGAGTTTCCGAGGGCCGCATTGCATTTTGGGAATTGTGCAATGGGCCGCAATCAGTTTTTGATATATTTTGATAATGTACACTTGAAGCATATCTTTAAATGGGTGTAGTTTGTGACATATATTGTGATGCAATTAAACAGTTTTGTAAAGGAAAGAATAATACATGCACAAAAAATGACTTACCGTAATCTAAATATATAACCCCTAACATTTACAAAAATACTACAGAATAAATTCAATGTTTTTTCATTACATATGCCCTGACATTTGGCATCTCTTTTGTGCCACCAGCTTACTAATATCAGGCTGAAATGATTTTACATTACCAACTCTAATTAACGAGGTCACATGATCGTCTGTTAATTTGGATTGTTGAGAATGTTCAATTAATTTCAGTAATGCAAAAATATTACGTTTATCATCCCATGTATAAATCCGTAAACAAACAAATGACTGACTTTTCGGACCAGATATTTCGCGACATTTCCTACCATTACACGTAGAATAGGACCGCTCTAGTTATGGTTGATATTGATTTTTAGTAACTAGGTAGTTGGTTAAAATATACTGTAATAATAAACAAACACATGAAAAGTTTCTTTTCGAAGTTGATCATTAAATTTGTCGTATTGATTGCTGAGCATATTTTGATAATGTCTACTCTTATTGTATTCTTTATTGTACTGATGAAATGTGACAAATCAATGTGCTTCAGTATTTTGAGAAATGCAGAAATATTGCAACTCCCATTTTTCTTTAAAAATGCCACTTTCTTCATGTACTTTGCGATTCATTTAATCCCTTAAGTGTTTTATTCAAGTATTTTATTGCTAGCTTGAGGTGTATTCATAATTGGGTCAAATTGAAAAAGAAATTTTTTTTTAATTTCCCAGAACTACTTTCAGTAAATTGTCGTTTTCTGTGTCAATAAACAATTTCACTTTGAAAGGTTTGAAAAATGTATTACATTTAGATGAAAAAAAAAATAACAAAATATTACAATTATTGTTAAGCGTTCGAGGGCCGCATTGTGAGTTCTCTGGGGCCGCATGCGGCCCGCGGGCCGCGAGTTTGACACCCCTGTTTTAGACCATGTTTCTATGATTTTATCTGTATTTAACAAAACATCGATATATCGAGATAATATACTTACTTTGATTGGCTGTATTATAAATACAGATTGCGTGAATGAGAATATAATAGAAGTCAACCAATCAATCGATTTTTCTGGTCCCCACATAATACTGTATAAGAAAACCACTCCAGCACATGAGAGTGAAGTCAGAACAACAATTGTCCATGCAATGTAAAGGCACCAATGTGGAAACATGAATCTATAAATTTATAAAATAAGATGTTATATCCATTGTAAAGAGGGGGAAGCATACAATGAAACCTATTGAATTGACACACTAAAAAATTCCAAATATAGATATTGCAGGACAGTTTCTAACGGTTTCGAAGTAAGTCAGTAGTCACCCGTAATCAGAATGAAGACAATACATCAGTGATAAAAACAAGGATAATTGGCATGATAAGGGATGTCAAGTATTAAGGAGGAGGCCATGACTGGACAAAGATTACGTGAAGCAAACTGCAAAAGCGGGAAGACCGGCAATCCTCTCACACACAATTTTGACTTTTGAGCCTATTCATTGTAAGCACCACTTAAAACATATCTTACAACAAAATGACAAGAAAAAGAATTATCATTTAACTTGTATTATCTGCAGAAATATGACATATGGTTCAACCTACTGTAAACTCATACTTACTATATACTGCATCCCAAAGCCAACACAAGAAAATTTAAAAAATGAAAAAGGGAGTATTTGATATCTAACATTAAACACCAAAATGAATCTTAATATTAGAATATTCTAGTTGATATGATGCATAACTATTAAAATGCTGATCATATTATTTATTTTCATTTACTTCCTTTTCAGTGAAAATATAGCGTTAAACTAAGCTAAAATCTGATCTTGCATAATTTTGACAAAATGTTGGAAGTTATCTTACGGTTGTTTCATTTCCATTTTTGCTTTCTCTTTTTCTTCTTCTTCCTCATTTTCGATAACATTATGCAGAGAAATTGTAGAAAGAATGTTTTGAGCTGATTTTGATACACTGCCATTATTTTTTTTGTTTGGTGCCAATTTTCTGAACATCTGTAAGCATTGTTTGAATTTTATGACATTTTTCAACAATGCATCTTATAAAATAACTGATGAAAGGAACAAAAGAAAAGTTAAACTTGAGCTTTTGTATTCAGCAAGTATGTAAACATTTGGTGAGAAAAATATTCAGATCTTTCGACTTATTTTAAATTAACCGTTTTAAATAATTGCAAAATATCTTTCCCTTACTTGCACCAACAGAAGATTAATTGGAATCACTATCAATGAAGACTGAACACTTATCATAACTTGCTGTACGGAAAACTTTATAGGACCTGGAAATGGAAGTATTCAGTTGTTACTTAAAGCACACTTTTTGGTACTCCTGTAGTATGTGTTCCAAGTTAGGGTTAGGCAATAATTTTATTACGATTTTCCCGGTTTTAGTTCTATCACGAGTTTGGGACTGTTTGTGTTAACCAAGTGAATATAACCCCTGCCCATAGGCTTCAGTCTCTTTACACCACAAAATTAGTTACGGTACCTCCATTTTGGTACACATACTTTTGGAGCACCCACTTTTTTCTTAAAAAATCATGATTGTAACAAATAAAATTGCATGATTAAATATACCGTATGTGTAATAATGTTTGTAGCTTTTTCGAGAGATTGATGAGAGTACAGACAAGTTAATAAACTGCATTTAATACTGCAAATCAATGGAAATGATTCTTATCAAAAAATTCAAGGCAATTTCGGAGTAAAAATTAGACTGAAAAGTTGATAATTGGAATGACTTATATGAAAATATTGAAAGCAAACAAAAATGTTCTCACCAATTTCAAAGATTCCTTGTTTATTTGAATTATCAGCTTCTCTGCCATAGAACATTGCACTTGCTAACATTGTACAAAGCAATAAAGTAACTCCACAGCATAATCTTTGGCATCTTGTAAAATTACTTTTTGTGGGCCGGGAGAACACTGCAATGAAAACGGAAGCACTCTGAAATTATTTCAAACTTACCCTCAATATGGGAGAAAATGAATTTATATTAGAATATTAAAAATAGACATTATGATATGTTTTCAGATCATGCACTTTAAACAGTGTTGAAAATTATTGGATTTCGGTTTGCAGATATATATATATAGGTAAACATCAATTTGTGTTTGGTTCTACTCTACTCATACAAAAGAAATATTAACCAAAAAACACTAATATGCTCCAAATAACATGGTACCCAATAAGTAGTAGTTTCTAATGTCACTCAAGGAATATCCTAGCATGGTATTTTCCAGTGAGTCGCTGATATTTGAACAAAGGATGTCTGCCATGTAAGAACTAGTAAGCTCTGAGTAAAATCACAAGTGAGTTCTGAAGCATTGAAAAGCACTGAACTGAAAGCATTGATTTATAGTTCACAATTGCACAACAGCATTCTTACTTGAAAACCACAAGTGACCATCACTAAAGTCTCTTCTTGTTGAAGCATTAAATAAGTTTTTAAAACTTTCTATTTCTTCACTTCCTGCTGGTAAAATTACTCGATCAACACTACCATCTGATTGGTCAACTGCTAACCAATCATCACAAAGAAAGTAGTTTCTATTCAAAATGAATTAAGTCATTAGATATAAGCTAAGAATGACGAAGTTACTAAAAGCACCAAAATAACTTTTGCTACGCCCAAACTCTGCTGACATGCGGTCGCAAAACCGCCAAAAATAATTTTTTTTTAATTTTGTTGACATCATCACAAAAAAACGTCAAACAAAAAAAGGAATTTTACAGAGCCCACAGGAAGAAATATCCTTCTAGCGACAACAATCACTGAGAATTTCATAGCAATTAGTCCAGTAGTTGATGAGAAATTTTTTTTTTTTAAAAACAAGAAGAAAAACACAAAATAAAGAAATGATTCATGGGATGTCCACTTTGTCCCTAAAAATCACAACAGTGAATGAAAAATATTTTAAAATAATAATAAAACTTTCATTACTATTTTTAAAACTATTGGTGCTTCAGGGTTGTGAATCAAAGTATGATAGTGGTGGAAGCATATTGCAGACGAAGAAATTTATGTCATACGAGTTTTAGTTATTCCGCAAACTAGTAAAATATCCAATTACAACTCATTTCAAAATTTGAATTCAATATAAGAGATCATCAATAAATAGTATTACCGGTAAATATAACGCAAGATATTAGAACGTTACTTGTCATTTGTTTGTAGATCTGTGATGAGAAGGGAATCCAAATACCAAGAAGCCCAATCTTCATCACCTGAATTATCATGCCAGATACGAATATAATTCAATGTTCCCAATGGCTTGTGTGTTGATAAAATTACCTTTGTGACCTCATTTTTCTTGAACACCTAAAACGATAAATGCAATGAGAATGTAAATAAAAACTAATATTGATCAATATATTTGAGGAATCTTACCAATGGTTTTATATTAAAAACATCTTGAAAAAAGTAACTTTGCTTTGTAAATAACATACCATGTTATCTCTAGTTGAAAGACGACGAACAGGAGTGTCACCATCTTCTCCACTTAACATGAAATATATTTTACTTTTTGTGCCAGAGTTATTCCATTTGCCAGTTCGAATTGTCATTTGATAAAAATATGTGTGAATGAGTTGATTGTCAAGCAGTGGAGACACAGACCACTACATATGGAAAAAAAAATTTAAAAGCTACATATTTCAGTAACAAAATAAAACTTACTCTACAAAAATTACTGATTTGGAACTAATTTAAGTCTTCCAAAGCATTGAAGACAAATTTATACTATAGTAAACAAATATGACATTACATTACAAGTAAACATTTTTATAGAATATCCACAATGGCCTACTTTATGTTGAAAAAAATATGATCAAATGTATGCCTTATGGAAGGTATGAAAGGATTAGATCTTCACAACTTTACCAAAATTAATTGATAAGCAGAACCATATATTGACATGATATGAAGATACAGTAAAACTATGTTCAATGAAATATTGTCAATGAAATAATTGAAATGCATGATTTTAAAATCATTTGGTTATACATTTTGTAGTGATGGTATAGTACTCAATATCTGTAGATAAATATGTTTATTATACGCTGCCTATGTAGGTAGTATGCATACAATGTAGAGAGAATGTATTTATGCTGCAATGGATAAGGCATTCATCAAAATTGGATTCATTCAGGACCAAGTTACTCTTTATTATATACTACAGTATATTTAAATATAAAAACCTTTTCAATATCTTGCTTATCTTTTCGTCTGAAGAAAATCAAACCTAATATAAATAGAACAAATATCGCAACTAAGGTGAGTAAAACAGCAAGATTATTTGCCAAATCTCCGATGTTTTGTGCAATCACTGCAAAATCAATTGGATTTGGTGCAACGAAAAAATCAGCACCAAATGATGTAAGGTGAGAACATAAGCAAACGATTTTGTCTTCTGTCGTCTCTGAACTCACAAGGCAACCTGCAATCAGAAAAATGATTCTAAATGATAGAAACAGAAATGATGTATGTTTTGTTTTGCATTGTACCTATTTACAATAAATTTTTTGACAGTAATTAGTTGTTGTGTAACCTATTTCACGTTATGCCCTCTTTGTTTTCTCTGCACCTTGTTGACTTGCTTGAAATTTTTTGTGTTTAGTAGTCTCATGGTTTTGTGTTAGAGAAGAAAAAATAAAGCATATATGTTATAAGTAGTTAAGTGAATGACATAAATAAATAAAAGGTACTGTGCTATAAGTGAACAACTAGATTGTATTAGTACCTATTTGATATGTATAATGGAATATTTGTTTTCCCAATCTATCTAATTAAATGTTAGCATACCATCTGTCTCCCATTTTTCAAGTGTTTCATTCCAATATCTGCATGATGTAGTAAATGTATGAAGTGTGTAATTCTGCCAAGTCATGTTTTTAAAATATTTCACATTACCATCATAATCTGAATAAATAAATAAAATTGTTTTCAAGGAAACTTGCCATGTATAAAATGTTATCTATTCATATTCATGAGGCATAGCTATGAAATAATACATCAAGAGTGGTTTTTATTTATGGTATTCTAGAGTAACAATGCTCTTATTTTTCGTGATACCAAAAGGCATTCCAAATGCTGGTAACAGTGGTCATGAATCGACTATTTTGGGTAACAGGGTATCATATTCGAGCGCATTATAACTATTTCTTTTCATGTCTGATCTAGGTTGAATCTAATCTAATAATGGATCCACCATGTTCAATATTACTCCCCATAAATCGTTTCAAGATATATACTGAATTATGTTTAACACGCTCCATTTGAACGTACACAATATTTCATCAAATTTTGATTTCACTCTTGTTCGCAAAGTGCAGGACTAATAATGTGGAATAGGATTGACTGAAGTAAACATATTGCGGAATGTTTGGTTTTTAATTGGGACTTGACATAATTCTTTATTTTCTGACATATTTCGAAATGAATGAGTAAATTAAATGGAAGCCTTGCAATGAAATGATCACAATGTTAACCACGAAACCGTGCAAGAACGTCGCAACAGTAAATGTGGCAAGGTTGCACAGAAGATAAGAAACATTCGAAGTGCCGATTCTATCTCATTGTCTTAACAACACATGACAGAGCGCAGAAAATCGTTTGAAGATTTTCTTTATTAAACACATCGATGATGGTGAAAAGTGACCGTAATTCGGAAGTATTCTTAAAATTAGCTGAAATAATATTCGCGTATTCGATTCATTTTGGACAACCCATCATAATACTTACCGATTTCATGAATACCAAAAACGAAACGTCCAGTTGTTCCCAGACTATCAATATCAAGTCGAATTCTACCGGGAAACAGTACATTGTCTGCTACGTCTTTCACATCTAATACCAGTGAGTTGTTTACAAGATTCGGAAAGGTTTTGAGACTGAATATAAATGAAATATAGAAAAAAGTTAAAATCAGTTGGAAAGAGAGTATTTATACGTCTTTAATATAGGAGATCTAGAAATTTATAGGCATCTAAAAATTATGTCGATTACCGACAATGAATGTGTAACGACACATATTTAAAAATAAAAAGTAAGACAATTCAATATATTTGTATGTCAATAATATTTTTCCTTTTAATAAATTTTGTCCTGTTAGCCCAATTTATATTTTAGTTTTTTTTTTAATCATATATATAACTATTTCTCTTTCTAGGATTCAGAGTTTTGTTTTCGTGAAAAAGTTAAACCTGCGTGTTTTGCTATAATCTCAATTATTCACCTCCCTAGTACAGAATTTCAAAATCATTAAAACCACAAATTAAATCATTGTGAAAATCTCACCTTTCTGCAAGTTCAAAATATAAACGAATATTGGCATCTTCTTCTGGTGCAATAGTTAGAAATATAACATCTTCTGGCTTATTCAAGTTAACTTCATGGTAAGACATTTCATCCAATCCAGAAGGAGAATATGTAAATAATTCAGGATCCCTGTATTTTGTTTTCTTAGTCGGAACTTCGATACGAAATGAACTAAAATGAAGAAAACCCGAAAACGTGGAAAACTTTGAATACTAGAGAACAGCACATGCGTAAAGAACTGCGCAGCAGTGCAGAGTCAAAAAATTTCAGTTTATGCAGAATTATATTAGCTTCTAAATACAGCGATTTGTCCAGTGAGTTCTTGGGGAAATGTAAACACTTTATAAAAAACATTGTTTATTATGATATGGCGTGAACGGCTTGCAACAGAACAAGAGAACTCAATGAGAAAGAAATCTAATTATTTCTGCCAAGACTCTTTGCCTTGATAAAATTATTATAAAACCAGTAAGAATGGGATTATTAAGTGGTGAAGGTTTAGGATTGAAATGATTTAACTTCTCCATTTTTGTCTTCTTTTAATCACATACCTGCATTAAAATTTGAAAGGTTGGTATTACATTTTTATTGCTATACTTTGTACATATAGTTTTCATACCTTGTTGAATTAGTTGAATTGATTTCTTTGTTATTCGGAAGATTTAAATTCAAACTGATAATATCAGAATTAATATTGTCTGCACTATCATCCCATATAAATGGATTGTTTTTACTCACGACCACCTGAAACATATCAAGTTCATACAAGATAATCAACTATAGAAAAAAACAATTGATTTAGAATAATGGCTGCTTATTCAGAGTCTTGCTAAAATTTATTCTATGAACACAAAGTAAATCATCACCTCCACGTCTATGATATCCTCTGCATCAAGCCCATCAAGAAAGCTTGATCCACAAGGGAGTTTGAAACCTTTGTTTGTGGAATCATCATCATTACTACACAAACTTGCTGCTGTCTTTCTCTCAATCTTAATGGAAGGTAACAAAAATTTATGAAAGTGACTGGTCAAAGAGTTTGAGAGTAAAGCAATTTTTGTATCAACAATAACAATAATGACATGAACCACTTCACTTCACTTTGTGTCAAAAATAAAAATTATGCTGAAACAGTAGTTCTTCACATTCTAGCTGTCGCTCTTCATTAAATCATAAAGCTGAGAAATTTAAGTATAAAAAATAATGTTAACTTCCAAGACAAAACTAAACAACATATGAATACCTCTACTGTCATATCCTTTCCAGATAACTTTACACTTGGTTCTCCAGGTTGTTTTTGTTTCATTAAAGACGATGAAAGAGAAAATATTGAACCTAGAGCAGAACCACCAACCCGTTGTGCCTTCGAAAAGCAAACAATTCAATTTAGAAGAGTGAATGCTGCAAATGTACTAAAACAAGAACATTACCTTACATTAGCTTTATGCAAATTAGTGACCACTTTGCCAGACTTGATTTTTTAAAAAACTCACATGATGGGTAGCACAATTTTTCAGAATTAGCAAAATCCCAAGAAAATAGGAAATAAAATTGAAAATAGATATAGGTCATAGCTTTTTAGTAGATACTTCCATTTTGAACCACTGAAAAGTCAAAAGCAACTTGGCTTAATGTTTGAATCCAATGAAAAAGATACAGATATCAATCTCTGTACACAGTAGTTCAAAGAAAATATTCATAAGGCATTCATGAGGGTATTTCACCTGTTCACGATTAGCTGCATGAATTTCAGCAGCTTCTTTCTCTTTTTGTTTTCTATATTCAATTCTTTCTTCTGGTGATAAATATTCTTCATTTTCATCAAGAATTTCTTTAGCAGACGCAGATGTTGGAGGTGGAAGCGTAAACTGATCAATACGAATTACTATTCATGAACATTTATAATGCGATACGCTCAAAGAAATGTTAACAATATTGCTGTATGTTTTTTGGGGTTATTTGTTTAATTTTATTCAATTGACAATTCAAGACAAATAATTTTAAAGCTATGATTAATAATGCCAACTTTGAACAACATTTAAGTAATCCCAGTTACATCTTATGAATAAACATACCTAACTTTTAACAAATTAATTAAGCAAACTAAAAAAGTATTATTCTTAATGATATTGTACCGACGGTCCAGAAGCACTGACAACTTGCTCAATTGCAGCATTAACAACATTATCCAAAGCACCAACTAAATCTGATGCAGCCTCTTCTAGATCTTCTGGTGCTTCTAAACTTGCAACACTGTAAAACATCAGTGGATGTGAGAATGATTTGAATATGGACTGCATTGCTATCCAGTTATACATAGGAATCACTTTGGGCTAACTCGAGACTTAATTTTAAAAAAAAAACGATATTAAGCAGGGATTGTGTTTAAAAAATGTACACTCGCAAGTCGCAACCATAAGATAAATAACTTCAAGTTGTCAACACACATATTGCTAGTTGCATTTATGCTTGATTATAAGTAATGATTATTTTTTGTATCAAAAGAAACAGCCTTATGAAGTAACTAAGCTGCTGTTGCAAGTTGCTCAAAAAATCGTTTTCAGACAATATAAATTTATATGATGCTCAAACCTATTTCAATGAGTGTACTTTCATTAAATCCATGAGTTTACCAAAATGTTCAAGATAAGGAAAAGATAACCTGTTTTCAAATTAAAGAACAAATAAGGAAATATACCCTGCTAATGAAGATGCCATATCAGACAAAGCATTCACAGCAGCTAATTGTGTTTCATTTCCAACTTCATCCGGTGTCTCCAATAAACTTTTCAATGCACTGCTAGCTTGTTGCACCCCTGAAACATTACAAGCAGTAATTTGAAGGATGCAGATAAAATACACATGAAGGTACAAACATGACACAATAAATATTTATTGTGTCATGTTTGTATCTTTTCATGTGTCATCATTATTGTGTCAACAAATATTCTAGTAAGTTGAAATACCTTCAAGATTATTATCATAGCTGCTTTTTTGTGTGACAGCTTCAACAAGTTGTGATCTCATTTTTGCCCGATTTTTTTTGTTCTCCTTCTGAACATCTGGTGATGTTTCTGTGGGTGGAAGAAATTTTCTTTCTATCTAGTTTTATAAATTTCAAAGTTTGATTCAATACAATAGTATCGAGTATAAAGTATCAGATATCTGAGTTGTATTATGAATTATAAATGAAAATTACAAAGTTGCTCATATCATCCTCAAAGACTAAAAATGTAATATGCTAATTTTTTGCACTTGTTTAACCATAAAATAAATCGCTGGTCTCCGAAACATGGTACAAAACAATATATGATACCATAATTACAAAGTTAAACACAATAGAGGATGCTGATATCTTCTAAAACTGATATGAAAGTTTTCTGGGAGTATACCAATATTTGAACAATCTTTGGACAAATTACAAATCGAGATTGCAATTAAATGTTTCTTGATCATATTTTATAAAAATTTTGAATTGAGGTATATAGCATCATAGCACATATCAAGCTATAATGAATATTTCATTCAGATTCATGATTTTATTTAAGCAATTACAGCGTGATACTTAATTATAGAGGCATCCTAGTATCAAAAAAACAACTAGAAAATTTGACAACAAATGTAATCAGTCATTATATATCATTAACAAGTAAAACAATAGATGTATTCAGTACTTGATAAAAAAATTTCTTTTAAAAATAACAAATGATTTTTGTGTATTAACCTAATTAGTCTTAAGTTCAAATCATATTACCAACATCTCTAATAAAAATTGATATCGAAAAATAATTACCTTTAGTGCTGTTTATATCTTGAGCAACCTATAAATGAAAACAATTTCAAAATATATGTAATACATTAAATTTACAAGTTAATAAATATAAATTTCAAAAATATGTTTGTTTAAATTACTTGTGAGTTAAGAAGTTCTCCTGCCATCTGTGAAAACTGTGATGTAACTTGGGCACCAGAAGTACTGACTGTAGCTGATGTCATATTTTGAAGAACTTGATCCAATGATTCCTGAACATATTTATAGAAAATAATTTAGAACGAACTTGAAATCTCAAACTCATTTTTGTTTTATTTCTGTTTATTGTATATATAAATACTGTAAAATATATTACCACTCTTATTGTAATATATAATGTTAGTTTGACACCTCACCTAAATTTCCAATCTTAACATAAAAAGTTTGAAGCCTACTTTATTTAGTGTCTCACAGAAAAAAATGGATTAGTATTACATTTAAAGAGATTTTTGATATCAAAACTTTAAAATACTCATGCAGATCATATAGAAATGCATAAAAATGGATAGTGATAACTTTTGAACTTTTAAGCAGACTGCCCAAACTTTATTAAAATTCTGCAAACATATGTTCCCTAAACAGCATGTTTACGAAAAATGTACTACTATGGGCTGACATGTATTTAAAAAATACTATTTTAACATACAGTGAAGGCTTTGTCATACATACACAATACAATACATATACAAATTTCATCATGGCAAACCAATAACATATAGAACATTTTCACTCACCGATATTTCAAAAACCTTCGCTTTAATAGGTACTTTAGCTTTATCACCAAATCCATCCACAATATTAACATACAAAGTTACCCTGAATATATTTCAAAATTATAAAATTAACAGTGGTGTGAGATATGATGAGTGTCTCAACCTTGAAAAGTGATAGGCTATGTCAAACAAAATAGTTTATTTACTACAGCATTAAACACATTATTGGCTGCCAGTAAGGATTCAATTAACTGCAAACAACCAATAAAAAAATTAAATATTAGTTTTTACTTGATTGGACAGTCACATATGTAGCAATTTCTTAGGTAATATATACCATTTGCACATACTTCCAGTTAATACTACCATTCTTCTCAAGAATAAATTAAGCCATTTACATGTATCTGAATGTTGAGTATAACAGCTTCCAATTTAATTTTTTATCCTGCTTACCAGTATTCTTCTTCTTCTATGCCAGGAGCTAAATATTTATCAGCTATTACTGGATTATTTCCTGATGATAGCAAATATGGTGTTGCAGAAGAATGTTTTTGATACCAAACCTGTACAAGAATGGAGAGAAATAATAAATAGACACATACCTTGCTTCACAAATTACTTTCAAATAGATATTAGGGATTAAAACCTATTCTACATCTTCAAATGACTAGAAAAGTATATCTTATGTTTTAGCAAAGTATAACCAACTTCCATAATAAACCTTGAATCTCAAATTTTTTTATCGGAAGCTTAGAAACCACTATAAATTGCTATTTTGACATTATAAGATAATTCCTTACATAAAGTCAGTAATAGAAAACACTATGTCCAATAGACGAATTCCAAATATTTTTGCTCAGAGCAAAAAGTCCAAATGTACCTCATACTTCAATGTTACTGTATTGTCCAATTCACCAGTTTCCGCATTTATTCCTTCATCTTTCCAATCCCGACAAACGATAGTGAAAGTTTGATTCAAACAATTACCTACAGAACAATGATGTGAAGTAATTATTAAAATAATTTAATTTGTCTTCAGATGTGTACTGAATCTCATCTTTTTATGCCATTATTCAGTGGGAATGGGTAATTCTTAAATTTTAGAAAAAGCAATTAGGTCAATTTGGTGAGATATGTCAAAATAAATAGGACTCAATGATACTGTTGTACCCTTAATTACTGTACTATGCTTTGTTTAGCCAGTCTTTAATGAAAATGCAAAATCACTAGGTGGTGTGGTGCATTGTGCTAAGAGTTAGAATTACGCTTGCCGCTGCATCTCTCATTCACCTACATGGTTTTAGCAGGATCGAATCCTGTTGGGATAGTTATGTGCAAGAGGATTGCTGGACTCCTCAACGCCATAGGGGGGTTCACATAAAAGCTTGTCAGATACGGCCTTCTTCACCATCAATTCCATGCATCTGAAACAAACAACTGGCTGAATACCCGACTGAAAACCGGACAAGAGGTCATGGTTTGCCACTTGAGTAAACTGTCTCATTGACTTTCCTCTCCCCCAAAATAAATATGTAAATCCTATCTTATCCTTTTTTTCTGTCATTGGCACAATAACAGTGCTTCAAGAATGTGCAGTTCCTATATTATTACGATTTATTTCGTACATTTTTCAGTATCAGTAAGAAAGTGAAAGAAATAAAAAAGTTCTTGTACTACAATGAACCATACAACGCCAGGAATAATGTACGTTATTATAATATGACTACTCAATCTACTAAATATGCATAAATAAAACACCTGATTTCGGAAATATATCACATTGCCCTCCAAATGGTGGTAAATTGATCAAAACATCTTGAAATGTCATTCCAGGTAAGTAACCTGGCAAAAAACCTGTAGCTTGGATTCTATATTTTAATCCAGGCTTCAGAGTTTGTGCTCGTAACACAAGTGCAGGTAACGTTTTACCTAAAATAACAAAACTTTTAAGATAAGAATATAAAAGTCTATACACAGAAAGACTTGTTCTGATCTGATCTAATCGCAAAATTTTTGATTTTATAAAACTAAATTTTTTTTGAAGGTCTGTTTCAAATGGCTAATCCATTCAAATAATTGCTTGTACTGATTTAGTGATATCAAATTTGTGGTATGAACAAAACAGAGCTATGAATAAAAAATTAATGTATTCGCATTTGTATTACAATAAATAATTTTGGAATATATCTCATAAATGAGCTGAATCATCATCAATTTACTTCATTATCATTATTTATAACCACATAATCATTTTGATGTCATTTTGAATGTTTTACCAGTGAGTGTGAAATTGTTAAAATTTTCTTCAGGTAAAAATGTTCCATTCTTATCAAGTTGTACCAGAAGAGACCACTTGTATGAAATTTTACTGTTTGGTTTACATGAAGTGCATCCAACATTTAATGAAAGTACTTTGAAACTATTCACCCTTCCTTTGCAGTTGACAACACACTGAATCCTACAAATACAAGTTACATTTATTAAAGTATTTTGAACATATTGTTTGAAATATTATATTACGTTCATGTATCATTCTCCGGTCAAGTCAAAAGGCACAATTTTTCTAATTATTCAATTAAAAAATATTCCACATTACAGTAATGCAATTTGAAGACTTTTCGCAAAATAACTTCTAATTAACATGATTGCCTGACAAAATTATAAATGTGAATGTTATTTGTTGGAGATCTCGGTTTGTACTAAATTCGATAGAAAATGCAGAAATATGGCTTGACCTTTAATAATGGATATAACACTCTTTGGATACTTGTTCTGAACTCTGATTGAAAATTTTTTTCAAAAAATAGTCGATATCTAATACAAAATCTAATCGCTGACTATGATTGTTCGATGACTCAAAATGTAGAATTTTGATATTCAAGCTACACTTACCTTAATGTGGGCGGTGCTCCTTCTGTTATGTTTAATATTTGAAATGAAAGAGCTTTTCTCTTAGTGATTGGATCGGTTACATTAACAAATATAATATAACTGGTATTTTTCTTTAGTTTACTTGCGTCAACCTGTGATTGGAGATTGATGTATGAATTAGAGCAGTTGATTTGAGAAACTCAATGTTTTGCTTGGACAAAATTCACAATATCCAATGGGTAATAAATTGAACAACTTAGAGATACAAAATAAAATTAAAGGAAACAATTCTATTTAATGACATTTATTCTGATTTAAATATTTAATGTGGAGAAATCAAAGATTAAAAGAATAAAACCAGTTCTTATAATTTTCAAATTACACTCTTTCCAAAACCAGGTGTTTCAGACAACAATAAAATCTACATATAAAACTTGTTTGAATGAAAGGAGGACATTGTTACAGAGTGATTATAGAATTCTCTGTAGCTGAATTAACATCTGTCAAAAGTAGAACTCGGACATGATCTTATAGTAATTGCGACAAGGTAATAGTTACAATAGGTCAGAGATTCCCGAACTCACATTACTTTTTACGCGACGTAAAAGTTTTTTCAATATATGCAAATTTGAACATTGTGATACATGAGTTTGTTTTTGTGCACAATTATAAAGCGAGTGGATGTCTGAATATCATAATTCTCTCTCAATGTTGACTCAAGGTTCTACGATTCGATTATTTTATGTTAGGTTTAAATCATGGTCAAGAAGTAATAAAATGTATGGATATAAATATAAAGTCATACTGTTAGATTGGGGCATGTAGTCCCGTTGACATTTTCCAAATTGATAGAAGATAAACCTTTTTCATAATCTTGATTGTTTAAATAGTAACCAGAAGATATGCATGATGAAGATGGTTGGAAATAAATGTATTCATCTGTATGACATTACAATTTGTGGTTAAAATTCATATCATATATATAGATGAATATCACACATATAATTCTTTGCAGTGGTTTACTATGTATGTTGCTTAGTAATAATCAGTTTTCATGTTATTAAATATATTAAATAAAATCATGTTTTCTTATTACCAATTTTTTTTTCAAATTACCTAAGAGAAGTTGATCTACTGAATCATATTAATATAAGGCTTCAACAAGCTATAACCAGAACTTTTGATTGGGCATCAAACTTGAAAATTGAAATGCTCATTGAATACAAGATAATGTTTTTTCTCATCAGAAAAATTGCATTATATCTATAATTAATGTCTTGTTCAAATTGTGAATACAACTATTTTTAACATATTTACCACAATCTCGAATATAATGCATAAAGAAATTATAAATATTAGATGCTATTTCCTGTACCTGGCATTCTACATCTGTAGACAAATTTGAAACAATTCGATGATTTAGTTATGAGTTCCAAAGTCGATCCTGAACCAGATACTGCATCCCCTGAACCAGTCAACCATGGTGAAAACTGGTAATAACTCGTATTATCTGGTTCAAACCAACTATGTAAAGGCTCAACAGTACACATATGACTTCCTTGGCATTGATCCATGAGATTAGTCATGATTTTCTCTGTTGAACAATGTGAAGTTGATAAATCACATCTGAACATAAAACATATAGTAACGTTTATTGAGTGTTTTGAATATTTAATTCAAACCAATTTTAATAAATAGGCAGCTACTATTATATAGAGGTTACCTATGACAAACTACAGCTACAATTCTTAAATTTGCATATACATGGATTTTCAAATTCAACCATAGGATAAGATAGCTGATAGTACAATTCAATCATATTTCTCATACCCTATCTATCTAGTTTAGGTCAGGTTTAGAAATAGTCAACCAGGTATTTATTTGTTGAATGAACGGGGTAAAGGATAAACTGTGGAGAAATCTATATTAAAACCGACTAGAAGTTATATGAAAACCTTGATTGTGATATATTCATTCAATATAATCTACAAATAACTTACTCTGAACCGTCGGCGCTATTGTATAATGTTACATTGAATATGTTGATATGGAGTTCTTGATTCGGACAAAGCAATTCGATGTTTTTATTTACACAAACTGATACTTCCTTGTATTCTGTAACAATTGGAAGGGTATATATGAGATTGAAGATAAAATAAGCAAAACATAAAATCTTAGGTTTGATTATGCACAGTAGTAGTACTTCGATTTAGTAAAAAGTTAGTGATTTGGGAAAGGCTGAACCTTACCAGTTAAGCATTGCCTACCTAATTTTATTCAATTCAATTGTGCCTTTTTTCCTCGTTTCCTGTTATGCCACATCATAAAATGAATCAGGGCCCGAGGATTTTCAATTCCAAATATTTATGTGAAGCAATATTGTGTACATTTGGTGCATTGATAAGTAGTTTTATTCTATTATAGTTATTATTTGAAAGATAGAACTGTATCAATAAGAAAATTTCTTTTCATTGTAACTAGAGGTGGGCAAAATTGAATATATAACTGTCCAGTCCAGAACGCCGAAGGATGATATATATTTTGAGAATTTCCAGACAACTGAAAAGTCATAACAAAGCGACACTTTCGTCAAAATCGCTAATTGTTTTTTGTCACATGATAGTTTCAGCACCCCACATCCTGAGATCGCAGTAATACGAATCAAAACTAATTATATTCGGACAGTTTACCCAACATCTGTTTGCTCCCAGATTGATAGGATATTTTAGAGAAGCAATACTTTTATTTTGTTGCGGCACCATGCAACCGTGAGTTACGTTTAACACAACTAAATTAAAATTGCAAGTCATATTGAATGCTTGCACCGGTCAAGGATCGAATATTCAATGCAACAGGTAAATTATATCTACTGTAAGAGTCAGTTCCTTTACAGAGTGGTGTGCGTAATCATGGTTTCTCAGAATCCGCTGCACAGAAATTTGGGAATTTCCAATTATGCCCTTGATGACTATAGTTCACTTTTTTATGCTTTCACTTTTCTATCCTGTCTACGTTATTTTTGTAATAAATAAAACTCTGCAAAGTCGTTATTGAAGAAAACTTGAATGTTGCTTTGAGTTAAAATACTGCTAAAAAAATTAGCACCAAAAATCTCATTCCCTGGTTTGACATTTCCAAATTTACAAAGCGATGTTAGTGCGTTGGGCACAGAAAAAAAACAAAAACACCATGTTGCAAAGTCAATAACTACTCAAATTTGTTGTTTTTGTCGGTTAGCAAGAGGCGTAAAATTTAGTGGGGCATAAGGTTTGTGTTCAAGCAAAGTTGGGCAGTTCACATGGCATTATGAATTTGATATTTGAATATTAAAATGGCATTTGAAAATTTTAAAGGGACATTTAAATATTTTAATGTGCGATTCGCTACTTGTTTTCCGAATATTTTGCCCAGCCCCAAATGCAACTAATATAAAGGAAATTTCGCTTGGTTATTCATTACAGGTAAGTGAAATTTATTATTATTGTTAGCTTGTTGCCTTATTTTGTTAGTTTTACATACTCGGTAAATTTCCAAACACCATGTCAATTTGTTCCTGTGTTCCCCCAGTTGAATAATCTCCTGCTGATGTATTAGTGAGAAATAATACAGACCAATGATAAAAAAGATTTTGACCAAGATCATTATTTTCTTGTGAATAGTCTGGCAACCCTCCCTCAGGTTCACTGATATCCGGATCATATGAGGCTCCAATACCACTGATTTTGATTATCTGTGAAACAAGTTAGGATAGGATTCACATATTTACCTCGGGGAAAGAGAAGAAGATAAGACAGCTTATTCATATGGAGTACCCCGGCCTCTCGTTTGGTTACCAGTCCATATCAGGTATGAGATCGGTTGGCCAGTTACTTGTTTTCAGATGCGTGGACTTGATGGTGGAAGAAGCCTTAACCATCCAGCGCATATGTAAATCCCCCTACAGAGGCAAGAAGTCCAGCAAACCTCTCCCACATAATTAACCTTGCATGGGATTCCAACCTGTGAACCCGCGCAGGGTAGTCAGAGATGTAGTGGCAAGCATATTCCTAATGCTTAGCATGATGTGCCACACCGCTGATTAGATTAATGTTGTATCAAATTGATGGAATTTTGTGGGTACTTCCTACATGCAGATTGGTGCAACCAAGGAGTAGCGTTGGATAAGTCATGTCCCAAACTGTCTTGCTGTGTTGCCAAAATTTGCAAATTATCACCAAAAATCACACTGATGACTGAGTTAAACCTATCAGCATATATTGATTTGCTATGACATAGGATTTCACATACTATTTGCATTTTGCTATAGATCAGACTTTAAAATTTATAATACTATAATCTAGCAGGTACAATTCCTAAAAAAATGAAAAAAATAAAACCCAGTTATCTAGATTGTTTTGTTTGAAAAGAGAGGAAGCACAAGAAAAATATCATGAAATTGTCAAACCTCATCATGCCCAACAGTTCTTGCATTTCCGAATATCACACCAGCAACAAGAGGAGTAGGATTGACTTTGATGTATATACAGTCAGTTGTACTGATTCCAACTACACCAACCATTGCTACATTTACACAAATAAGGCTTATATTTAGCATCATGAATCGCCGAGGTATTCTTATTGTTTCGGACCTGTTGACAATAATAATTACATATTCAATATAAAATTTACTTCATACTAATTATTGGAAAAATTCTATAAAGACATATTGCTATGAAGTCATGTTACTTTTTCACCCAAGATTTTATTAGCAGCTAATTGAAACAAAAATCAATCGTATTTATTTACGACACAATTTTTGGCTTCTGTGATAAGAAAATGCAGCCTTATTTCAGAACAATATTAAACACTAAAATAAAGATCAAAATTTCAATCCGACATGTGAAAATACAGAACAATAGCAGTTTGTTCATGATGTCTACACTAATGATTGTTGTTTCTACCTGTCATTTTTACATAGAAATCAATTACTTTAAAATAGTGACAATTGGTCACATGTGGTGATAACTAGAGCTCAACCGATATATCGGGCCGATATTGCGTGTTTGCCGATATATCATATCGGCCATAAACCGCCGATATATATATCGGCCATACTCCGGCCATACTCGCAAGCGCCGGGCTACGTGCTGCAACGGCTCTCGCCCTGCGTATATTTCTCTCGCTTTGTTTTGCGTTATAACGGTGTCTCTCCTAATTCCGGTGTCTTATGATTAGACATTTCATGCATGGTCATAACTGAAAAGTTATTATCTGGAGTAACAATGATGTTTTATGCCGTTTTTGAGAGAGTACACAATAAGAAAAAGGCAAATTTAGTAACAGCATTAAACGGTGGTTCTATAAATAGAATCGATTGGAAGCTGGTGAGTCAGTAATCATAGAAACATGGTACAGGTAGCTCAAAGCAATAATGTCGGTTCCGAATTTGTGACCTCCCAAAATTGAATTTCTGGGGTAACAGTTTTGTCAATATTGATGGTTGTTTATCATTTTGCTAAAAATTACGAAATAAAAACTTAATCCATTATTATAGACTAAATAAGGTATTGATAGTCTCTGGAAACAAAGTTATTAAAAACTTCACATGTAACTGCACATATGCTATCACAATATCGAAGGATCATTATCACGATTCACTTTGAAATATATCAATTTATAATTTTTTAATACCTTTAGCATATGTCCATAGTTTTATTTAAAAACGTCTGATTAACAATTCTTTTTCCTGGAAATAGCTAGACTAATATTGAAGTAGCAGGAAAAGTTACAGAATGACATTTGTTCGAGCATTAACTGGAGTTAGTTAAATAAAAGTCTTACTGCCATGATAACAAATATCAAAATGAAACTACAGACTCACAAGGTGCATCATAAAAGCGTGGCTCAAAATATGATTTAAATTAATATCGGCATTGCGATATCGGTTATCGGCCACCAGTTGGCCGATATATCGATATCGTTATCGGCGTCAAAAAGTGATATCGGTCGAGCTCTAGTGATAACCCATGGAGAAATATAAATAAATATACCAGTATTTCTTTTATATCATTTCAAAACCAGGAATTTGAAGTAAGCGATAATTATTTACCTTGATGTGTAACTAAGTCCCGGATAGAAGCGATAATAATATTTATCAGAAATATAATTCTCTTTAACAAATGCATGAATGCTTCTTTGTCCGTCAGATAATCCTTCAAAAAAATCATTTTGTTCTTCAACAGTTCTTGTATCTGCAAAGTAAGAGAAATTTTCAAATTGGATTAATTCAATATATTTATTTGATTGTATTTTTCAAATAATGCTATGATACCAGGTATGGGGCTGTATGAAAAACGATAGATAACAGCTATGCAGAATCAAATAGCAATAATTTGATCAAGCAGAACAGCATGCACTTCCAGTTAGTAATCGCAAACTCAATGTTAATTTTACCTTCTTCCTCATATTCCTTATATACAGACCAGGTCATGCTTGTTTGACTGGATATTAAACAACGAATCATGGTGAAACTATACAAGTCAAATGGCAAAGATTTCAGAACCTAAACAAAAAAATAATAAATTAAACTGATAAAAACAAAGATCAAGAATATAGTTGCTTCGTCCAGAAAAAGAACATAGAAAAAATTGGAGCAACTAAACCTGGCCTGCCCAATCTTTTGAGTGTCACGGACCACTTTGAAATGAGGAAATTTATAGAGGGCCTATACGTTTTATTAGGTTACGGCCTATACGTTTTTTTATTATTTATTAATTTTTTTATATACGTTTTTACCCAAACATGAATACCAGCCAAGTCTGATTTATGATAAAATTTAGGTAATACGATAAAAATCAAGTATATTCACATAAAATTAATCATGTCAATATTTACTGGTTTCTGAGTAGGACTGAACAAAATATTAGAATATTGTATCAAATATTAAAATAATAGACTAGCAGTATACAAGTATACTATTCGAAAATCTGGTAACACGTTGCTTGACACGATACATCACAGCTGCATCCCTAAATCAAACAATTGGATTGCACAATACACTTGCCAATTTTTGAGAAACACATGTGAATCTGCACACATTTTTCGCTAACAAACAAAGACGTTAAAATAGAGTGTTATATCTGTGTTATGATGTTATGTCTATGATATTGTTTTAATTTTTGAATGAGCTTAATTTGTGCCAATTTCGCAAGAAATTCAACAATGTTTTAGTGGAACCTGTTGCAAAACTACAGACATTAATATAAGCAGCCAACCTAATAATGTAACGTTTCTAAGATTTTTGAACAAATATATCAATTTGAATATGCAGAAATGACATTGAGTCATTTTTATTAGAATATTGGAAAGGATACGCATTAGCGACATTTCAGCAGTGTCATTTAACGCAAAATAATAATCAAAATGAAATTAATTTAGGTTGCAAATTCATTCCTATAGTTTTCATTAGGGTCTTGTCACCATTAATCACACAAAAGCATCCTGGTTTTTCGCACAGAGCGCGTAGTTTTGTAAAAATAAAAAAATAAAATAATGATGTACAACAGAGTGCAAGACCTGATACGTGATAAAGAGAATGAAAATTTGAATGTAGATAGTCGGAACAATCACACCCAAATCACGAAGCATACTTCAGCCTATAGGAATTATAAAAAGTTGGAAAAAAATGCTTAACATTTAAAGGCCACAGTAAACAGTCTGGTGGGCCGCATGCGGCCTGGGCGACCTTGAATTAAACCATTAAACAAAGTTAAATAAATCAGAATCTATGCGTCTGGTGTGAAATCGGTTTATGTGTCACTTAGAACTTTAGATTAAAAATGAAGTTATATCAAAAGTTTGCTTTGAGTCGAGTCAGAACAGGACTGCTTAACAACAAATTGTTCGAATAGGCCAAGTCATATTGTACAGGTATTTATTATTCATATAGATCAATATTTAGAAGACATATTTACCTCTCTTGGTTTAGAACGAGAGTTTGATGTCGACTTATCTATCTGTGCTCTAGGATAATCACATAGAATTTTAATAACAACGATCGTCTTGATTTCAGAAGATTGCGAGACACGATTGAATGCTGATAAGCTTGCCTGTATAATATAATATGTTGTGATAGAAATAACACTCGGCTTAATATTTAGTCTCAGTAATTGTATTAGTTGGAAATAGAGATTGATATATAGGCCTTGTCTATAGGGCAGGTTCACAAGACGCACACTGCGAATGGAGTTAATGTTTTATGTAAAGATTTGTTCCACACATGATTTCAAATGTGTCTAGTGTAAATGAAAAATTGTGATAAATGTGAACAGAGGTGAGCCACGGTGATAGTGTTAGAAGTATAAGAATGCAAATACAATAGAAAGTTAAATAAAAGTAAAGAGAAAAGATAAGAGCAGAGTCTGTCTGTATGGAAGAGCCGACAAAGTGTGGAGCAGCAACTCATTGTCATGAGTTGAATGCTATTAGAAAAATATGAGCACTAACAGATGAACATATGCTGTGTGAAGTTCAAGGAATTGAAAAATTTTGACAGCCTTACTACCAAATAGATTTGTAAATACTCAATAATAAGACAATAGTGTATTATTGTAAATGTTTTTATAATCTAACTCAGTGATTCCCAAAGTGGGCGATATCGCCCCCAGTGGGCGAAAACGATACAGAGGGGGGCGAAAAAGTCTAAGGGGGCGATAGGGGGGCGATTTTGCGAAACCTGTTTTATGTTCGGCGCACTTAATTCTGTACTCTGTGTGCATTCGCAGGCTTGAATCACGTGGGCGATTATCACACGCGAAAGGATTTCTGGTCTCGTCTTTGCAGTAAGGCAAGGTAGTTTGCGTATCCCAGTGGTCGGCAAAATACGGCCTGAATAAAATAATCTGGCCCGGGACGATTCACTGAATGGACCTTTCCCCGACCTTTGACCGCGGAAAATTCTTCCCATACTTTACCATTTTAAAATTTTCGGTGTTTATTTTAAGAGTGGTTTCGCGAGTTGTTGCCTGTAAAATGGGGTATTTGTTTCAAAGTATCATTCTAATACACACCATTTAACAATCTGTTTTTTAAAAGTACCGATAAAGAATTTTAGCCTAGTCTATCACAGATATTTCTACACTAATTTTTGATTGCTGTATTTAAACTGAAACTCATAGAAAGACAAAGTAATCATTGACACATTTGATTTATATTCAAATTTCCAAAAAAACAACTAAAAACTAACGAATATAATTCAAAAAGCGAAAATGAGGTAATGTTCACGACCACGCCTAAAAATCTTGTCTGAGTGAGAGTGTCTGAGCGCCTGAGCGGATGCGAGAGGGGGCATTGTTACGTTTTTTGCATCTTGCTGATTGGCCAATGTCACGAAGTAAACAAGGAAGTCTATGCCCGGGGAAATATCCAAACGGCGGTTTTGACGATGAAATTTTATTTATTTGTAATCTACGCTCGAGGAGTAAATTACATTTTTTCACGTAACAGAATTTATCGTGAGACACGTTTATACTGAATTATACTATATCCTAACAATTTAGTGAACAGCCACTCGTTTAACGAGCCTACAATTTAATTATAATTAGACAAATGGAAACACGCAGAAAAGTTGATGCTGAGTGCAGGGGTTCAATAGCGCAGTAAATATTCGAATATATTGCAAAGCAATAAGGAAATAAAATTCATATTCTATTCGAGAGATTGATCACTGCTTAATTTTTGTAAGAATGTATCTTCTTAAAGAAAATCTTTATCAAAATCTCACAAATCATGCGGAAATATTCACTTCGATGTTTGGAAGTACGTATTTGTGCAAACCATTTTTTTGAAAATGAACATTACAAAGAACAAGCAAAGAAGTGGGTTTGGTGATGCCCATTTAGAAAATGTTTCAATCTTGGCGTCGTAAAGCTATCCAGCGTGATGCAGCAACAAGACAGTGTCACATTAAATGTCATTGTAATATTTTTTTAATAAGACGACTGAGTTGAGTTCACGAATTGTCGCAGTTTTTGCGCGTTGTTCCGTTTTTAACTTTCGAAAAATATATACGACCCGCAAAATACTAGCAATCCTGAATTTTGTCCCGCGAGCAACATAAAATTTGCCGACCCCTGGGCCGTAGCCGATAGTCAGTCACGGCTTCTTCCACATCCGAGTCTATAAATCCAAAAACAAATGGCTGGTTAATTATGGACTGGTGATCGGACTGGAGGCCGTGATAGGATGAGGAATCGGGGATGGATTTTTCCGAAGTTTTTTGGTGCAGGTCATCAGGCTGTACGAATGAATGAGATGTACGAAAATCATTATTATAAGTTTGGGAAAATTAACTTTGGTTTATTATTTTAATGTGAAATGGGGTGAATTTAAAAAGTGAAATGCTATATGGCAAGAGTACACGGCGGTTTTTGAGGAGGTAGAACCCTGGATTCTTTCATTTCCGACCTATTATATGGTAAAAAGGGGGTTTTCAGCCGTGCTACTATTGCTATTAAAACAACGAAATCTCCTTTCCATCAGTAAACGGGGTAATTTTAGATATAATAAAAAACTCGCCAAAGAACACCAAGCTCATCTATCTCATTAAAAAACACTATAAACTATGATTTGTCTTCCTTGTTTGGTCTGTAATATATTCGTTTCTGACTTTATATTTTTTTGTAGTACAGGGGGGCGATGAAGTTGTATAAACTACTTTAGGGGGGCGATGGTCAAAAAAAGTTTGGGAACCACTGATCTAACTAATATAATCTATCTTATATAAATGATTTCGTTTTCAAGGCAAATTTTTGTGCTTATTCATCAAAGCTGCAATCTTGTCTAAACAATATTTTCTATTGTCCAATTGAAATAATAGTATACAAATACACAAATACCAGCATTATTCCAAAGTCATTTACCTGATATATTCCTTCCACAACATATGTATGCGATACAGTGATATTAATGGATGGCATAGTTGAATTATATTGCTTCAGTTTTGGAGGCCACATTACACTGGTAATCTGTTTTTCTTTTACAAAACTTTCATTTTTATTCAAGGATAAATTTCTATAAATATCAGAAACAATTCTTTGATCTTGTATACAAAAATCTTTATTAAATCCAAAAGCAGCTGGTGGAGTGCCATCTCCCCAATTTAAAACCATGCAGGAGTCTGTTCCAAGCTGAAAGAGGTTAAAATTTGCTCATTTTGACGTATAAAGCAGAGTACTATACATATTTATGTTGAACAAATTAAATTGAAAAAAGCCAATTGCTTTGATTTCAAAAAATTATATCAAGTCACTTGCATGATTATTGTAATCAAAAAATTAACCCAGTTCCTGTTTTTTTGACAAATTTCCACTACAGCTATATTGCTATCAGGGGAATAGCCAGAGGGGTAGTTTTGGGAGGCAGACCCCCCCTCCTCCCTTTTAAAATGTAAAAAAAATAAAAGCATCTTTCTGTACCATAAATAGCAATTTTTCGTAGCTTGAAACGCTTTTTAGACTCTCAAGACTCATGAAAACACACGTTCTTCGGCCGGAGCCGCTAGCTGTTTCGATCAAACTTGGCAAATAGAAATTTTAGAACCCCCCTTTGAAGATTTCTGGCTATGCCCCTGATTGCTATGTTGTGAAGAACATTTCATTAAATATTGATTTACCTCTCCTATGCAGAATGTCATGTTTGTTGTTAAATTGGCTAATGGTGGTTCTGTCTCAATAAACTTTGCATCTTTTACTTCATCTTCAACCACCAATTCAAATCGGGATTGTTGTGATGAAATTGCATTTGAAACATTGACCATTATAATTTGTTTACCGGGATTTTTATATTTAACAAACAACGTAGATCTCATTGGACTCTGTGTGTAAGCTGTTCTGTCCAATCCAATCAATATTTTATCACTAAAAATAACATCAAACTGTTATCACAACATCTATCAGGGAATCAAGCAATAAATTTATTCATGAAGATTTAGTCAAAGCAGTTAGGTAAACTAATTCTGTCTAAAATGTAAGTAAACAAAAGATGATCTTAAGCAGCGTTTCTCAAACTTTTTTGCCCCGAAACATTCAGTGGCTGAATATACCATATATATCGGTATATTTAAAAGGAAATAACTCATTCCTTACACTCAGACCATTGTTTTAAAATGATTCAAGCCCATTAACGATTTGAAGAATTAGACCCCTTACTTTCCATAGCTACCATTGACAATCCACTTCTGTGCAGGATGAGTTAAATTGACAACATTGAAAACACCATCTTCTAATGTTCTCGTTATTGATAATCTTTCCTCGTTTAAAATCCAAGTAAATGTTGCATTTGAACCAGAAGAGATAAATGCCGTCAACAATAAGGTTTTACTCAATGGGAAGTAACGGGAATTCCTGATATAAAGAAAAAAATAGAAAAATTAAATAAATAGCCATGATGCACAAAGAATTTTTGTCACACAAACTAGCATGAAATCATACTTAATATGTATACTCTATTTTCTAGCTAATAAGCCAACTAGGAAAATAAGTATTAACTGATGTTTTGAAGCCAGGGGCTCAGACAGCAAGGTGTTATGGGGGTTGTGAGCCACCCAAATGTGAAAGAGATTTTAGTAAAAGTGTTCTACCTTCAGCTTTGAACAAACAAGAATTTATTTTTACAGTAAGCGCATCCAGATTGCGCTGTCAAAAATATATCGGTGCCACCTTAACACAATTTAACATCACAACACTTTTTATCATGTTTAGGATACGTTATCTCTTTTATTTGGCTCTAATAATGTCACTTATCTCTGTGATAATTGAGAAATGTATCATTGTGCATGTACCATTGTTCATGCTGACATACGTTCATAACATTATTCATGCTGATTAACCATGGCACAAAGGTACAGAATCACGTGAACTACAAAATGAGTTATTATGGCAAACTCGAAAAAACTTGACCTGTATATGTCACAGAATGATATTTATTCTTCAACTGACAAAACATATCCCCTGTCACCAGAAAGCGGTTATGTGATCTTTCTCTGATACACAGTCACTATCTTTATTACGAATCACGACTATGGCTGGGCAAAATAATTTAACAATGCATATCGAATATGATGTTAAAATATGCGAATGGAATTTTAGTATTCGAATATCTGGTACCGTCTGTGTTGATTTGATTGAATACGGAATTCGCCAATGGCTAAATCGATTGCTTGAATTCTGAGAGAATTTCTATATAGCTTTCAGTAACAGACAGAACCAATTAAATCGAGTATTTTTCACGATTTACTACTTGCGATGGGTAGGTAAGTGCTTTTTGTCATAGAGACATATTCTAGGTTCACAGTGTAATTACGTCAATTCATGTGAACCGGCAAAAGTTCAAGAAAGGCAATAATAAGGCGATCCCAGAAAATAAGAAAATAAGCCGAGGAATCAATAAGTCGACCCCGGGGAGTTGGCATATTACCCAAAAAAATTGGCATATTACCCAAAAAATAAAGTATTTGAGAAGCATTGCATATTATTTTAGTGTGTCTGCAAAAAATGTACCAGTACCTAAATTTATGTCCAGAAATTCGCTCTTCTAATCCATAATCATTTGGATCATCAATTGTAAAATCGAAATTATCGTTATTCAGATAATTTGTCATCATGACAACAGAAGACAGTCTTTGATAGATTCGAATTGACTCTTTTATCGTCAAATTACTTTTGCTGACATCATTTTCAGCAGTAACAAAGATATCATAAACACCGGGATGATCATACGCATATTTGGTTGTAACAAAACGTTCAGATCCATACAAAGTTGTGCTTTCTATGGTTGAATTGTTCCCATCACCGAAAAATACATTATATCTGAACAAGTAAACAAAATATATTTCTGACAGCAATTCTAAAACAGTTTTAAACAGCTTTCAAATTACTAGAATCAAATTAGATCAAATTTAAATGAACCTCCCTCGAGTGGTATAAGTTTAATCCAATAATAGTGGTATAAAATAATTGTTTTTCAAAAAGAGTATTTTTACATTATTATAAAATTGAACAAGAAAAATGTCAGAATTACAAAAGCAATTCTTGCCAAAACGAGTTTGATATGGCATGGCATTTAAGCAAAAGTTTGATCTTGTGTAGAACATACATAACTAAAAAAAATTCACAAACCTAACATGAGATCCTTTGATAGTGCTTAATTTGAACACAATTTTTTCATTTATGAAAGAATCAACATAAAAGCGGGTGTCTGATATTGTTTCAACAATACTATCTATAGCATCAGCTGAAACACGTACGAGTATATTTTCTATTAATTCAGACATCATAAAATTGAATATGTATGCCTTTGAGCTCACGCTATTTTCTAATTTGGCAGCTATATTCACATTTCCGACTTTGTTCTTTGGTAATGTAATGTTGACTGGAAAAAGATCTGAAAGGAATTGACTATATTAATAAAATGTAAAAAATGTTATTCAGTATTAACGTTGGATTTCAATGTTGTTTAGATAGAATTATTTTTTTTTTAAATCGAGTTTGGTAACTTCTTTCCAAATCAGTAATTGAGATATTGAAATTTTGCAATTTGCTGCATCTTGTATGCTTTCTTATCAAAGAATAAAATTGGCTAAGATTTTTACCACTTTCGTGTTCCCCATAATTTTTGAGAAGCAGATACTCATCCAAATATATTTTCATGTGAACATTGTTTGCATAACCATCAATATTATTGAAGTTTAATAATGGAACAATTGACTCTTTTATTATTTGTAATGATGCATTCAAAACCAAATCTCCTGGGGGGTATGGTACTGTATTTATGGGTGCAAGAAACAAAATAACATCGCCATCGAGAGGATTTTGTACAATAATTTCTTCTGATATTGTAAATTCTTCACGACCAAATACATTTTCAGCAACGACAGAGCATGTGTAATTCCCAGGTTCCCTAGGGGTAAAATTAAATACGATTGAATATAGAATACCATTGAATTCTTCATGCTTATTTAAATATGAATTGACAAAAGTATCACAGTTATGACTATGGCAATTATGACTATTTACATGATTCAGAGACATTCAGAAAACAAACAAATATTTTAACTCCAACATGATTTTAAACCCAAAAATTTGATATTTCCATGTTGTTTTCTGTTTCCATGAAAATTTGTTTAAGCTCTGGTGAATGCGTTTAATTATATGTTGAAAATTTTGAGTCTTCCTTTTGAGCAGTCTAAACTTAAACATCTTAAATTATCAATTTGAGTCCAGAATTGTAAATATATCTCTTGAGTTAAAATCAACAAACCACAACTCATATTTGAGTTTTTAGGGACTGTTATTATAGCAATATGCATATCATTTTATTCTCATCAGAACCTCTTAACCAACAATATGCAAATGGATTTTAAAGGTATGAAGGTGTACTATTATACTGTGATGTGTACAATAACAATGCTGATTAATTAAATAAAATTCTAATTATGAGTTGTGGCATATAAAGCACTCTGGCAGTTATACCGTAATCGGTAGTATAAATTCATATTTCAGGGTAACGCAAGATTCGGAAAACCAATACTGGTTATAAGGCAGCAGCACCCATTAATTAGCCTAACAGAAAATGATAATAAAGAAAAAAAGTTGAGCTGTATAGGGGAATATGTTATAAAAAAAAACACTAAATATGTCAAGGCAAACTGGTTCATCCGGCAGTCACATGCTTCTACAAAATAAAAAAAATAAAAATGTTCATCCTCAACATACCGATATCAGCAATTAAATGGCATTTTATTATACTTGTATCAGTAGGTTTTTATCTTTTACCTTATCTTCGCAGGGTAATTATATGGTATAAGTTAAAAGTGGTGGACACACACACAACAATATTAACCCTAAAGTGAATTATATGAAAAATTAAGAAGTTCAAAACACTGTACATTAATTAGGTAAAATACTCACATATAATAGTGTTTAACATAATTGAAATCAGGTACAATAGAATGACTCCTTGTTTTATTCTCAGTGATCATGTATGGGTCAGTTCTTGTGATATTTTCATCACCAAATGATAAGAGGTAAGTTACTTCAGAACCCTCTTGTATTGTGATATGCAAATCTACTTGATCCATATTTGTCCTTAGATACCTTGATTTCAGGTTTTAAGTTTTAACAATAAATACAATAAAATACGATAATTTTAGTTGTAAGTAAAAGAAAGAGGGGAGAGATATTCATCAGAATGCTATAACAATAAATAAATAACAAGATTATACCTTGTATTAGATTGTCCTATACTACAAAACCGTATTCAGCTACTGAATTGTTTTTTGTACTCATTGTTCTTTTATTAGGTATATGGTTTAAAATTGTTGGCAATATACAATGTATGGACCAAAAATGTATTTGACTAGTGATTAAAGGTGCCAATTTGCAACAATGAAAAATTCAGAAATCCACTCACATAGCCATCATGGGGTATTGAAAATTAAGGACCTTATACCTATTCATAAGTAAAATATAACTGTGGAATTAATACCTGGAAGATGCCACTGTTAGCTGCAATTCTGAAATATTTTTCCCAACTTGCACTGAAGTTGATATGTTAAAGTTGCTAACATTGTTATATGCATAAGCTTCTATGCCATATATTCCAATTGATTTGAATCTGTAAAGAAAACAAGTAAAATATTTACACAGTTGCACCAATCCTAGCAATGTGAGTTATTAAACTAGTTTATTGCTAACCATGCAAACTATTTTCCATCTATGTATGTAAATATAATTTGACATATTGAAAATATTAGTACAAAACAAATTATTTCTTAACATAACACAATTCTGACATTAAAAAAGATGCAGACTGAGTTTTTATAAAAGTCAGTATTCAATTTGGAATATCCCTGTCATCCAACTTTTTATTTCTAAAATATATAATTAAACATATTACTCCTTACCTAATTTTAGTACTCACTTGTGCAAATGTAATAATTCTCCAGACGTTGTTTCGAAATACAAGAATACGACATCATCATCATCATCTGAAGAATATCTAAATTCAACTAAACCAGGTGTTGGGAACAAAGCTTCAGACACTGGATGTATGAGAATAATTTCAACATCATCATTTGGCATTGGAACATCAGTTGCTTTTATAGAAAATGGTGAGATTGAAATTTCCACTACGATTCCCAAAGTCTTCTTCAGAGATGTTAAAGCATTTGAAGCAGTCACTGTTATGTTATATATTCCTTCATACGGATATTTCATGCTTACTTTCCTGTATATGAATATAATGATAATTTGATAATATTGGCAGAGTGTATCAGAAAGACTTTTTGAATAAGAAAAAAAAAACAGAACCTTTCTTCACAATTATCATTTCCACATATTTCAACAAAATTTTTATCTGGATCTTCATCAAAATCCCATCCGAGTTGAATATTTTGCCCTTCCTGTAGACAAAATACAAACACAAAAAATTATATTTATAAACTGCAAAATCGTGTTATTAAACGATTTAATGATCAACACTGTAATTCAGAATTTCGACATATTCTCAAATTGAGCACGATCAAAATATGAAAACATGCAATCATAATTTTAAGTCTGATTAATATAGGGCAGTCAGTTAGAATTTCAACCTGTCTTTTATTACACTTTACCACAAGCTCTATCATTGAATCATTTGTTGCAAACAATAGGACCATTAAAGTATGAGAAATCATCACAATACAATGACATTACATGATATCATAACTTGAAAAAAAGACTTCATAATACTCATTGGAGGTGACAGTGTGTGCATGGGCCAATGTCTATCTCAAAATATGCCACATAGCTTTATAAACAATTGATATTCTCATTAATTTGATTTACACCATATCATTCACGAATCCAAAATATAATTCTGAAGCTATTATGATATTACCTTTATATTGACAAATATAATCATTTCTTCATTTGGTAAGAAATATTTCTTGTTACCAAGAATTTCAGCTGTCAGGTTTTTTATTTCCCTTTCCACAATAAGATAGGTGAGAGCTATAGGAACAGGATCAGTAGCAGAATTATAACACATGACTGACACAATATACGTTGCTGGAACAAAGGATTTTCCTACATCATAATATAAAGTTCTGTTCAATATTGCTTTGCCTTTTGAAGTTTTTTCGTCATATTGAAAATAAGATGAAAGATCTAAAATAATAAAAAAATGGTAAGAAAGTAATTGAGCGTTTCTATGTTTTAGTAATCCAGGATGAATGCGACACAATGATTTTTATACATGAAAGCTTTCTATCATTTTTTTTACATACCGTTCCTTTCTTCATCAACCATCTTCTCTGGAATAATCGTGTTGCCAAATTTAACTTTGCAAACTATATTTGAGCCTCCAAAGACTCTCCAGCTGTGCTCATAACTTTCGGATTCAAAGTTTAAAACAACATTTTGTTCTGCTTCAAGAAGATTGATCGGATAATCAATGAACGCTGTTGCAAATATATGTCTTATTGATATCTCGTTGTTACAGCGAACATACACATTTTCGTACACCCCAGGATTCTTAAATCTAATAAAAATAATTAGAATGTATCAAAACAATTTTTTAATTCCAAAGACGAAAAATACTAGTCATCAAGTCAAAAATCATTTTTAGGATTGAAATTTTCCAAATCCAGTATTGCGAAAAAAATTACGGTACATGAAAAATTGAACATTAGCTTTCACGAAGTTAATCACATAAGTTACCAGTCAGAGAAAAATTTTTGAAATGTTTGATTACTTGTGATATGCTGAGGGAATAGGAACGGAATCGTGTGATGTTTTCTCCAGTGGAGTATCATCTTTAAAATCCCATACACATCTAATATCTTCACCAGATAATGAAAAAGGTTGTACCTAGTATTTTTAAAATTGAAAAATATTGATGTCAGTAAACAAAGAGCAATGAGAAATGTCCAACACATAACAAAACTTTCTGCTGCACTTACTACCACAGGAAATGCTATATTTATTTTTGACAATAAAAGTAAAAAAGTAAAGGAAAATCTATGTAATCTAAGTATTATTTTAAAATCACATTTTTCATACATCAAGCAATACACAGTAAAGTACATTTAATACAAATTTAAACACCAAGAATGTATATTTTATACAAATTTAAATTTCCAGTACAAATGCCTATTTTCAAAATCCAAATATCTTACATATTAATTTTCAAACCAGCTTATACTAACTTTTATCTTTTCTCCAGGATTTCCAAATGGAATCGATAAATGAGACAAAACTATTGTATCAGGTTTACGTCTAATTGTTAGTGTCTTCGTATTATTGAAAGTTTCTCCTTGTTTGTTTGCACTATATAAACAAATAAATAAATCATCACATATGAGAAAATTAAGTAAATTGTCAATATCAACCATCCATCCTGAGAATTTACAAATTATGATTGCTTACAGATCCTAAACTTAACCCCTATATTGTTGTCTCCAAGAAAAATTGTCCAGCACGGGCCATATGTGAAAAGTTAACCACGAGTATTCTCGCAATGCACAATTACAAGTCGTTGGTGTACATGGGCGACTAAATTGAAAATGGCGAGTCAAAAGCGAGGTTTGACAAGATATGAAATAAATCGTTTATTGTATGAATATAGTGATAGTTCATCAAAATCAGAGCGATTTTGATAATGACAGTGATAAAGCTGTAGAAAGTGATAGCAGTGATGGGAGTGTTGAGTATGGCAATGCTGGCACTGGGCCAGGTCAAAGCTGCTGTTTACGGGATCGCCTGGTCTACAATAAACATTGATAATCTAGTGTAAAATTTGGTGTTAGTTACACAGTACACACAGTATTTTAGATGCATTTTTATGACATAAATGATGCGAAACATCAAAAACAGCTATGATTGTATCAACTGGGAAATTATGTACAGTTTTGTACAATTTAATTACCGCTGGAAGACCGTTTTCCAAAATTCATTCAACGGTATAGGATTAAAGTCAAAACAATCACGAATTTGATGATATACATCTCATAATAGATATGTTTGGCTTACTATTGACATCTTAATTACAAAATATTTCCCATTGTAATATGTTACAGTTTCCTTCAAGATATGTGAATGAATGTGACCTTGCTTTGAACAAATCATCTTCAAAAAAACATTGTCCAACAACAACATCCAAGAGTGTAATCAATAAAGTAGTGTGGACTATGCCAAACCAAAAAAGGTTACAAAACATTCAAAACATAGCAACAACATTTACATATTAGTCGTTCATAATTAAGACACAAAAAATTGTTAATGGATGTACTAAAGTCTGTGAGCTGATAAATTATTGGGATCAGTGTTTTGTGGCTATTTAGAAATCCCTTTTCTTATTGAAAGCAAAAACAGACACGGTATGCTATATATCTGACCATATAAGTATGACATTACAGCCAGCATGTACATACATACCTTATGGTCACTGTGATTTCATATTCACCCGGTTGTTCATAGTAATGATAAAGCCGAAAATTGGTGGCCTGAATTGTCGTCTGTTCTCTCAAGTCATATGACACATCATTGTTGAAGTCATAATTTACATCTATCAAAACTCCATCACAGTTGCTATCAACAGTATCTATAATATGTTATAAATAAAATATTTTAACCAGTATTACTAGATGTGGTATCATCCTTCCAAAACAGTTGAATATTGCAAAACATACACAACATGGTATTGTCATAAACAATAAAAACGTTTGATATAAACACAGCACTAGGGGAATTACTAAGAAATTACAACAAAAAATCGACTTTGAAAAAGATTTGGGAAAATTTGCCTTCTAACCACAATTTTGAGTCTAGTTAAATGTCTATAACTTTGATTTCAATATAAACCTAAAGACACCATATTATGATTTTAAATTAGACTTGAAAATATCAAAGAGTGAAGATTCATCATTTTTGAATATATCGAAAAGCCATAGGTCATTCTCATATGATTTAGAGTCAAACTATTTACCATTAGTTACAACACCACAAAAACTTAGAAATAATGAACTATACCGAAAGCAGGGTAATCCATTGAACTTTTGCACAAGAATAGGTGTAACTGTATTTCAAAGATTATGTGACTGTAAATGCTTGATACATTTATTTGATTGTTGATTATGGAAAATCCAAATTCTAATAATTTTCTCGTTGGTTTCAGAGTTAATTGATAGCGGTCATATAAAGATGCATAAATCTGTTGAATATTAACAATAATAAGCCACAATAAATTAACAATAAACTTTTTGTGATGTCTCTGATTTTCATGATACAAAACTTGGGAGCATGTCAGCACCATCAGCTGTTGGTTCTTTGTACAGTGCAGTACTAAGGTATATAGATGTGTAAGTGAATAAGAAAACAATAAAAAAAACATATAAATGAAGCACTGAATCTGCATATTCTCAATAAACAATGCCATATTTTCATCCAGTGGCATATTTTAGTAATTGAATCATTAATCCAAAGCCTCTCAATCTTTAAAAATGTTATTCTTATGATTTCTTGATTTTCTATCACCTTTTTCTTGGCAAGTTCCCAAATACGCAGGACCTGAATTTCCAATTGTCTATAGTTTTAAGTATTAGTATGTAGAATAAACAGCAACAAGTAAATTTAGCTTTTAAATTAGAGTATTGTTTATGGGTCATCAAATCAGCATATATATTGCCTACCATACAATTCTTGATTTGAAATAACACAATTAGCTTCATATTTCGCTTTAAGCGGACTCATGTGAAATTTATAGAAAATATTGTAGTGAAAAGTTTGATAACATATATAGTAATTGAAAAAATTGCATGATGTACTAGAAGTTATTCATTTTTTTTATTTCACGATGAAATTGTTACTCATTAATGATATATGATATATAGAACTTACAGATGATGTAACAGATTGACTATCGTTTTTATTGCATTTGTAAGATCCACCCATTTGAATCGATCCGCAGTGATCAGGGTGAAAATTGTTATCAGATAAAATTCCGAATTTTCCTAGAGATATTTTTCCATCTTGTATTGATGACTTGCATTCCCATTGACTTACTTTAGGGATATTGTAATCTTCCATTGTCCCACTTATACAGTAGCAGTTTCCCTGTTCCAAACATATTTAATAATAGTACAGTACTTGTTGATAGTGAAAAGTACGGTATTTAGGAGTTAAAGCTGACAAAACTCCGTGGAAAAATTTGAGACTCACAGATGTTATAGCAGATAAGCTTCTGTCCTTTTCATTCAAGCATCCAATAGAACAAGCTTGTGCAAAATTGTAAGTTCCTAGTGAATTTTCAGATGTTTCTGTATGAATTTCTAATAATGACCCTTTGACATCCAATATATTTTGCTCTATTTGTACACATCCATAATAAAAAGGATCTAAAAATAATAGAATGACATCATTGAATTCAGGAAGATATCTATTAAATATCAAATTTAACTAAAGTAATTTTCCTGCTCAAACATAATTCCCTTATTTATTATGTTTTTAACTTTAACACACATTAAAATAACAATATGTATTATAGAAATTGAGAAAGTTTCCACTAGTTATCTATCTATCTATCTCTCTTTTACCGTAAAGTTTGAATTTAATTATTAATCAGTATCTGATGAGAGTGTAGTAAAATCCTGTTTTTTACAACAAACTGCTTTGCATCGTGAATCAAAGATTCGAACATGTTTATAGTGATATTGAAAATATTAGTAAATTTGTTCTCATTTGAATATTATCAATACAGAATAATTGATTACTTACCATGAACAAACGGAATTTCACATATTGTTCCATCTTGATTTTCAGCTGATTGTTCTTGCAGAAAGTTTCCAATGAAAAGAAATTCTGCTGTGACATCTACTTGTGATACGTCAAGAATTGGTACAAATTTCTAATAAATATTTAATATAAACTCGGTGGTCAAGTGGTAAATTTAAATAATGTAAATTTCATATGTGGAAAACTAAACTTGTCAAATTTCGTTTTAAATGGCAAAAAATAGAATCTTCTGTAAAAAACATAATGTAAACATATTAATTACCGTTTCATCAACAGTGATGCCTGCTTTTTCCCAGAAAAACTTTCCATTTTCAGCTCTGAAATCTGTCGCCCATTGAAACAAGCTATTGCCTATCAGCTTAGTTAAAATTGCATAATGTGCCAATGTTGGTATAGATGCAGAATTTCCTCCTAAAGTTTCACAAAACTCCTGAGATTCACTGAGTGAATCATATGATGTTAATGCAACCAGAAAGCAAGCTTCTCCTATTTGTGTCATTGAGGAGCTGCAACTATGAGCTGTGAGACATATGTGAAAAATAACAAAACAATATAGCCCAAAATATGAATATGCTACTTGACTATGTTAAGTAACTCTCAGAAAGTGAGTTTGGCAACATACTGAAATAGATATGTAACAGTAGAGAGCAGCATAATCCTTGAATCACTCATAACAATTGTCTTAAATCTTACTACAGAATCTCTACATTATACAAACACAGATCCAGTAGTGCAAAAATATAGAAAAACGTTATTATTAGTATTCAGTTTTCAGAACCCCAATCAAGGTACTGCTTAAACAAAAATAAAATATAATAAATGGTTAGATCAGAATAAGAGACTTACGCATATAATAAAATAATTCAAATCTCCCGAAAATAAATTTTTCCACCTCTAACATGAATTAATGTATTATCTTTCAATAGTGATGTGTTCAAATAATTTTACCTAAATCCGTAAATGGCTTTCCTTCAACAACTGCATCCCAATAGTAGAAGTCATGTATTCTCATAGTAGAACATGATGTGTTATCATTAGCACAGCATCCAATACTCAAAACTGAGCTCTCTTGTGAAATATCCAATAAATTGTTATCTTCTGGTGACATTCTTGATTTTAATACGTCATTGATGAAGACACTTAAACCTGCACATGAACAACTCACATAGCAATTTATAATGTTAGTATCCATGAGCAAAGTGATTAAAAGTTATTTTTACTTCTAGAAGCTGATATAGAACATACAATATATTTTAACTCTACTTTTGGCATTAAGAATGATTTGAGAAAGTCAACACATATTATAATACCAAACATTGCAAATATTGAAAAAGACAAATTTTTATTTGATTCAACTTTGATTCAAAAACAAATAACCAAGTAATTTTTTATGATATTGACCATTGTTTGCAATGCTATCTTCAAAAATATGAGTTTTTTAAACAGCAACAATATTTCAAAAAAAAAAAGTTTACCCGTTTCGAAATCATGTTTTAACAAGTGAGTGAGTGACATGAGTGACAATAAATGTGAATGAAAATGTAAGATGGTTATGCCAACTTGTTGAAAGGGCAAAATCAATAGTGATATAATGGAACTGTCACAAAAATTTTGAAATAAATATAATAGAGGCTTGCACGTAATTGACAAAAATCAATTCCGTAATTACGGCCAAATCGATTACGTAATGAGTAATGACCCCGTAATTGCGATATGTTTTTTCACACATTTAAACCTATCATAACAACAAATTTAATCCACTTCTATTCCGAATGGGACATCGAAGTTTGGTTTTCATATTCCTGGCAGTACTACACGCCGGCGACAGATGTTAAAGACAAATATCAAGGAGTGAATTCAAAATAATTTTATTCTGATTTTTATCTTTTGTATTAGCTTTGATTATCATTTATCATCTTTATCACCAAATTTTATGCGATCAATTTTATCATTACCAATACTGGTAATATATTTATGAAACGATAGTTGACTTTTTTAAAATCGTATTACGTATTAATACGACTTTCGTATTGAATAAAAATTACGGGTTGCTAATTTATTAATCAACTACAAGCGTATTATCTTGTTTGATTATACTTTGCTTGCCTCGCGACGAAGACTTGTTATTTCACCGTTTTTTACAATATCCGACTTTAGTACTTAGTTAGCATTTTATAATAATTATTGATGCCGACTTATTGACGATATTCCGATTTCCATGCTTCATTTTACATTAAATCATTTCGCGGCCTAAATGTTATAATATTATTTGTGATAAATTTAGATCAAATATTAATTATTTGCGCATAATTTAAAATACCATACTATATGACATGCCTTCTCCGAAAATACAAAGTTATATCGCAAAACAATGCATTTTGTGACATTTATTTTGCACTAATGAAAATATTAATTTATTTTTCTAACTCAAGTCGACAATCCTATTTGCCAAGATTGACACAAGTTTGGTCGAGTGCCGGTGGTATTCGAGTCGACGATAAATCAAAATAAGTTGCCGCATTTGGTAAAGACAGGTAATCATAATTGGCCGACATATTGCGAGGCATTGTGAAAAACATATTGAGCAATGCCAAGTCCGGACAGATATATAACGATAAAATCGGTAACAGAACATCAAGATTTTGTAATAGAAAATGGATCTGGCGCAGAATAGACACGGGAAATCGCGTCGTATTGTTGTTTCTCTGCCGTCTCAATCGCTTTACCGATGCCGAAAAGACTAAGTTGCGTTGGTTCATTACGCAATTTCTCTTCAGTCTTTATATTGCTGTTTGATGAGCGCGACATTAATTATCACGGCATTTACAAATAGACCATGTTTTATAAGTTGTTCTCTTACATTCTTTAGGCATTTCACCCGAAGAAGTTGAAACCAGGTGTGTTGGCGTCCATCGGTCTCAACACAATTCTATTCCTTATCTACGGTTAATATGTACATTGGCCATGCTAGATAAGTTGATAATAGGTTAGTAAATCACGCGTTATGCCTTCCTCATCTGCGTAGCAAGAGAGAGAGAAACGGCTGCGAATACCGGAACTCTAACTTCTTCTACTTTAACTTTTAATTTTTTACCATCGACGGAATTGACTGCTTTGAAGTACGATCGTTTTAATCGCGAAAGCGCTCGACCAATAATTAGGACTTTACGTAATTCGTAACTTCGCTTCCGTAACTCGAAATTATTCCGTAATTCCGTAAATCCGTAAATTACGTACAATAGGTAGTGTTCATTCGAATTAACATCTAATATACATGACATGGAAATAAAAACTTTAATTGTACCTTTAATCGGATGCCATGATATTCTCAAAAGAATGAATTTGTTTTCATGAGACTGAGGAATGCTGAAGACAGATTCAACTCTAAAAATAAACAAATCAAACTAAAACTGATTCAAACTGAGTGTTAAACAAAAATTAAAAAAATAATTACATTATTGTTTAATCATTTATTATTTTATACTAACCGATAAGAAGAAGTTTGAATCAAAATATGGAGATAATTGTCTGATGATGACTTATAAATTGCAAATCCCTTTGATGATGAAGATATCGTAGGCATGCTTGTTACAAAAACACAATTTTCAGATAGCTAAAATATGAGAAAGTTGAAAGTTAGTATTAATATACTGATTCAGTTATCACATATATATTGAATATTTAATTGTACTTGCTACTGCATTAGGTACACATGGCATTTTCGTTAGCCCCTGCAAATTAAATTTTACTGTGGATAATAATATGGAATGACCTTGCTTAACGAACACTATATGAACATGATCATATTATTTTTGTAATCACTACCAGTAATTACTAGTGATGTGAAATGTATTTTTAATAAAATTCTTTACACAAAAAAAACAAAAATCTCAAAGAAAACATTGTTACATTATATGAACACTTTATTATTTGCATCCAGAACTGCACTGTGAATCCATTCCAGCATTCATCAATGTTAGCAAGACAAGGTAATGCAGCCATTTCCTGTGGTGGCAACTCAATCGAAGCATAGGATCTGTTTAGAGAAGTTTTTTGTTAATTTGCGGTAGGCTGTTCAAACTATCGTATTTCACATCAGGACAACATATTTTTTCCAGTTTAAACCATTGCAAGAACTACTGGTGAATAATGAAATTTCCATGATAAACAAACAAGTACAAGTAAAATCACTGTTGTTATTTGTGTAAATTAACAAGAAAAAAAAGAAAAAATTCGGTGAATTAGGACTCATAGTTCAAATTTTGAGTGTTTCGAATTATTTTAAATGATTTTGTTTAGTTAACTTATATGTATGTAGGCTTTATCATTTCCATTTTGAAAAATATAATTTAAGTTCATATCCATAGTATTATGAAATTTTCTTTTGTTTCTTTCAAATTCTATCACCAAGAATTATTTTTTTCATAACTACTAAAAAATCTATGAAAATATTTCAGGCCTGATTTTGAGCTTTCAGAAAATTGAAAGCAGAGGAATGGCCCCATTGATTAAGAAAAATCATTCTATACCAACTATTCTAATGCTGAAGAGAAGAAAAACCTTACTGATCAGCATCATAAAGTTCTGTATTATTCAATAAAGTGCCCATAACCGCCATGGCATTTATTCTTTCAATTGCTCCATTTTTCTAAAGAGAATTTTGTTTATTAGTACAGGAATCAAGTTCGATAATATCAGTAAAGTAAACTTCCTCTTCCTCACCACAAATTTCATTTTACCACTTTTTGTTTTTAGGTCATCATCAACAAGTGGCCAATAATAAGGTTCTGTTACTCCATGGAATTCATCTAAAATATAGTTTGAAATAGAGCATTATTTTGCAAAATGCTGAAAGTAAAAGAATAAAGAATTAATATGAAAACATGCAAAAATTACTAAAAACGACGACAAGATCTAAATCTTCTTCTATGACTTTTAAATCAACTTGAAATAAAGATTTCTCATTCAAAATTGTTGGTCCGACAATAAATTGAGTATGTGGATCTGTTGCATTCAATAATTCTTCTGGCAATGATCTGTAAGACAAATATTATGATAAAAGTGTAGCTTTCACAAACCATGTAATATAGAAATGAGAGAGATATGATAACCATGAATAGAAAATAGAACAAGTCGGTAGGCGCCCAGTTGGATCTCCGCCATTGCTTGAGGCCCGCGTCATTTCAGTTTACTAACGGATAATGATCACTGAACTGAAAATATATCTCTGTGATAATAATAGTAGACATTATCAAAAATGTCAGGTCATTTCAAACGCTGCGTGTACCGTTGAGTTCATTCCGAATGCTGCGCATTGCGTTGACATACTCGCGTGACTGATAAGTGGCTAAAAATAAATAAATAAATGTTCACTAAAATCCCTAAGGATTCTCCAGTTTATAAAGTATCGAGACCAAAAACCACTTATCGAAAAGAGTATTTTGCTATGCGGAAGATAGCGTTCTTAGAATTTAAATTTTCGACTTGGTTGGCGAGAAAACTGCGATAAATTGTGAAAAAATTGAAAATTTCGAAACGATCGGCGCGTTTTTTCGTTGTTGCCATGGAAACAAAACTTCAATCCGAACTTTCTATAAAACGCACAGTACTAGGGTGGCAGGATAACCTGCATGTGAAACTTCATCTAGATCGGTCCAGCCATTAAGACGCCAAAGCTGGACACACAGACAGACAGAAAAACCGATAATAAGGGTCTCCTATAGCGGAGATCCAATAAACATAATGTGAAGAATATTGAAATGTTTTATTAGGTCATGTTATCAGTGAATAATCCTATCAATGAGGAATTGTAGATTAGAGATCTTAGTTTTGAGGCTAGTGAGTTTGTTGCTCCACCCGAGAGTATTCACCAGTTCATCCCAAATTCAACATTTTAATATGATAAGATATACATTGGGAGTTGAAATTAAAAAAAGGCATTTGAAAATTAGTATGTGCCTCAAAGAATACTATCTTTAAACAGGATTTAATAGCAGTGTATTTATAAGATGGTTAGTAAAACAAATATTTGTCACAAAGAATTTATTAAATTTTAAAATCTAAAATTAGGTCCATGAAATTTTGTCACTGCAATACAGTATCTAGATGTTAGACATACCTTGGATCCAGAGGAGTACCTACATTACTCAAAACTCTGTTTTCATTAGGCCAGTCTTGAATTAATCTCCATTTACCATGTCGTGACATTTGAAGTATGAAAAAATACGATATTCCTTGTTTCAAAACAATGCTGAAATGTTGTAACATTTTATAACTGAAAAATTCAATTCTAAACATATAGATATTTCTTTTATGTATTGTTTTTAATGATGTTGGCACAAAAAACAAATCATTGCTGTTTGTCCATAACCATATACAGAGTTCACAGTAAACTTACTTCTGCAAGAAAACACAAATAACAGAATTTTCCCAAAATTCAAAATCAAAAAAGCGCTTTATTCGTAAGTTGCCATGTAAATTTTGATGCATTGTATTAAATAATTAAATGTGGTAGGACTTGACCAAAGGAAGAATTTTGCTTAATTGGATAATTGTATGAAAATATTTGAACAATTTTTCCCAAGATATCAAAATCTAGAATACTTCACTATTAAACAGGTGTTACATAAATAAAATTACATATAAAAAGTAATAAAAAATGATTTTACTATGTCTTGGCATATGTTCCATCCTTATTTGTACTTGTGGTTATTCTCATATAGAATTGGTCTTGTGTAGCTCCAGAACTTGCAGCTTTTATATAATCAAGATAAACAGAAAATCCATATGACGGACCCTGGCCAGGATATATAGGTACCGGTATGTTACCCACAACTGTGTCGGGACGGAGAGAATTCAGCTCAGATAACGTAAGCTCGGCATTTATCTATAAAAAATAAGTCAAATGGAATAAGTTGGTAAGGTGAGAAGACTTGCCTGAGTGAACACATACTACTTCTTTTAACAGCGACTTTCAATCTAAAAACTGTATGTTTTAAACCCTACTTAGGATTGTTTGCTATTCCGATTCTATAATCAGTTTTATTCAATTTGTTTTTATCGATTATTTTTCATCTATTAGGCTGATTATGAGGTCGAAATAAACTTAAACTTATACTAACTAATAATATAAAAGCTTGCTTTAATATGAGAATGTCTAATAAATAAAATGATTTTTCAATTTTCTCAAAGATTAGTAAAGATAAAATCATAAAAAGAAATGGATATACAATAAAAAAGGGGAGTCCATGTCATTGTTTCATTATAGTCAAAAAGACATGTGGTCTAAGAAAATTTGCATCTTTGTCATCTTATTGTTAATTTCATGTTTCACTTTGATAGCAGAGTAAAAATAATAGAATATTATTCGTTTTTCTCTCAGAAAGTAACAGCCTCTGTTATTTCTATTTCAGCTTTTTTTGTTAAACTCATAAATAATAGATGTTTTTTTCCACATTGGGGATTCTCACATCACCAAGATATTATAATTTTTTTATTTAGGTTGATATCTTGAAGATTTTAATTTTTTGAGGACCCACTCAAACTTATTGTTCATAAGAGTAACTTATGCTATATTTCCAGCAAAAATACAACATATCTGGCAATCAAACCGTTCCAATCACCGGATGCTTAAAATTAGAATTTATTTTTTCTAATCTACCTAATAGAGAATTTCATTTCAAAGACTTTTCCAGGCAAGGTCAGGAAAATAATTTTTCATAATTTCTTACAGTAATGGTAAAAGCAATGGTAATTCCATTGACACATCTAATCGAGGATCCAAGACAACTTTGTTCAAATTCAAAACAACGAAAAGTCGGCTCCAGTCCATAGAAAGCTTCATCAAAAGCAGATTCAATTGATTCTAAAACATCTTGCTCTTCCGCTTCCTCCCTATTATAAAACATGCAATATAAGTCATAAGGATTAAAATCAAAAGATTTCTGAACGAAACTTAATTAATGGTGAATATATTTATTATCAGGTTTCGGTTCAGTAAGATCAATTCCTAAACATCTTCACTTTTCCACCCAATTTCATTTGTTTCTCGAATGGTTTAAGTAGAATAAAATTTTTTCAACTGTGTGGCTGAGAGTTTTGTACTTCAGAGTTGCATCAATTTGAATGTCGTTATTTTTTTAGGACCAGAAAAAAACGTTTACTTTCGAACTTTTAAATGATTTCTAATAACATAATAAGTAGTTAATGGATTTGATGCCATATTAGTAATGCAACAATTGTATGTATCATGTAATGCAGTAATGACTTACCCACTGCATGAATTTGCATTGGTATAAGAACTATGCCCATTGAACTCATGGTGTATTGGGAGAGCAGAACTCAAACCTGAGGAAAATAAATAGCAATAAGAAAATAAGATAATATCACAACTAACAAGATTACTAAAATTAATGAAATTTCAAAGGTATTCAATTCTACTGATGTCTATCATAATGTGAATTCTAATTTTCTTCTAACAAGTGAACAATGGTAAAAACATAATGAAGAATAAAAGAGCAGATGAAAACAACGGAGATATATTAATGTTATTCACTGTTATGTGTTTTCACATTTCCCCATGAACGTTAATTGTGAGCAGGTTGAATATGATTATGACTGTTTGTGCTCATAAAATATTTTTTGTGTTTTACAATATATGGCTACCTTTATTCACTTTTCCTATATCAAACCTGCTATTTCGTATGCAAATTCTTCTTCATATCGTTCAGGAAATAAGTACAATTCATCAATTTGAAAAGAACCATCACAAAACTCATTTTTCTTAAAATTCCCGATTCTCAACATTGCATCATTGCAATTAATTTTTTCTGTCACATTTTGTTTGAATATTCTTGCTTTTCCAGTGTGTGTTTCAGCATATCTCACAAATTCTCCTTTGTTAATATTTGTCCAGAGGCCATCACGTTCAGACCAGGATAACATTACATGATACCATTTCTAAAAAAAATTGATAAAAATTTTTTAATTATTCATCATTTAATGACAACATTTTGAGTTTGAATTAGGTGAAAACATATAGAAAATATTAAATACTTAATTTAACAGTGCCCATATCTATAAGATAAAGTATAAGATAGTTTTGATATGAAATATGTGCCTAAAAAGATTTACTAAAAACAATTCATTTTAGGCTGAACTTGAACTTGCAGAAAAATAAAACTGTTTTTATAACAGCAAAATGCTTATTCAATTAACAAAATACTTCATTGTCACTTCATATTGAGGAGATATAAAATATTAAATTTTTGAAAATCTAACATCGTACCATTTTCTTTATTGGAACAACAACACTCCACATTTTATTTTGATTCAAAGCAACAACAAGATGGAGGTTCAAATCCAAAGGATCAATAAATGCTGATATTCCTCCACACTCGTCAGTCATTTCCCAAACACCTTCAAATATTTTGCAAAAAACATGAGTATCACAGCAGGGAACCATAAGCACTTAGATGAAAACGCCGTATGGCAATTAATTGTCTTCAATTCAGTCAATACTTTTTTCGTCTGCACCTTTCGAACAACTGTCCATATAACTTGACGACATTCATTTATATATACAGTAATATATAAATAGTTATAAAATAATTTATGTCAATGTGACGTAATTGGTAGTAACATAATTTTTGAGTTGGAATCAGATGTAAGGAATGACATATTCAAAAATGGTTATGTCACGGCAACTAGAAGGACGGTAAGTGTGTTACTAAACTATACATCTTCAAAAAACTCCCGTCTCCGCATAACCAAGAGATCGGTGACATTCAGTCGCAAAATCACTACCAACAATTTTTAATTTCGAAAACGTCAAAACACAAAACTTGTGAATTTAAAAACGAATCCTATGTAGCCCAAAGAAACTTTGGGGATAAAAAAAAACAATAACCTTCTAGCAATAACAACAATGTTCAACCACTGAAAATTTCAAAGCAATTGGTCAAGTAGTTGAAGAGAAAAGTGATTATTTCACACCAACATGAATTCTAACAACAACAACACAACGATCTGTATGTCCACTTCATGTTCAATAATAATAAAATGTTTACCTGTATCTAAAATCCTCAAATGGGAGGATGAAGGAAATTCCAGAATTCGAAACCAAAAAGAAATTGTCGTTCCGAGACGACATAGAATCGGATCACCTAATCTTCCCCAACAAATATCTCCCTGAGTACGAGCTTCTTGTCCGCTAAATTTTATTGCTCTGTTTTTCACACCAACAAAGACCATGTCTGGGTACTCATCATTTATCCAAAACCACTCCAGAGGACGCCATTTAAAAGTGTTGTTGCTAAGTTCAGATGTAGAATAAGAAATTGATGGTGCTCCTAAATTGAGCAACTCGTCCATATCCAAATATACTCCCTGAAAAAGATCCCCTGGAAACAGGCATAGATTTGTTATTTATGATGACACTGATTATAGTAATTGGTCAGCATAGAAGCAAATAAATAAAAAAACAGTCAAATCAATCTATATTTTACAGTGAATTAACACATGTAAGATAATCATTTTCACTAGTAACAGACAAAATAACAAAAATTGTTTTTACAATGCGATGCAATCAGAGTTTGTAGATTTTAGGTTCAAAGTCAGATTAGTACGGTATATATCAGTGTTTCCCAAAATGTGGTCCACAGACCTTTTGGAATCCATGAAGCCCTTTCGGAGGGTCCACAAAAGAAATCTGGTTTATGACTCATAACTTGATAATACAAAAATTAAGTGCTCAACTAACTGCAGAGGTGTAGCTGATGCCTGACACAGCCGTTTTGCATGGTTGTCGGAATAGGAGGGAGTTACGAAGTTATGCCAGTTCACTTTTAAATTCTGTTTTACAACAAAACAAGAGCACCCATCTCAATAAACTTCGCCATATATTCTTGTTCGTTTCAATTGTTTTCACTATACGGCATTTCACTATTGATTTTTTGTTATGATCTTTTAATGTTTTATTTTAGTACAAGGTCGGATATCATTAAAAAAATTGCAAGGGATTCGTCATGGAATTTTTTTTGTAAAGTTTGGAAACCACTAGTCTAGATATCAATCCATGTCTAAAACCTTACCTACGATGTGATTAATGACAGGATTTATCTAAGAAAAACTGAAATATTGGGATGCCTCAATTTAGCCTACCCTCAAGTCTGCTAGTACAAAATTCTGATAGTAAAAACCTTATTTTCCGGAAACGCTTGGAGGTATCAGAATCTTCAGATGATGAAAACATAGTAACAAAAATTCAAAAATATTTACCATTTGACAATAGCACTTGAACAGAGTTGCTTGTCATGCCATTGAATACAGAAAATTGTTCAACAAGTGGACATTTAACAATATCAGCTGTGAATCTTCGACATACTAGTTGAAGACCAAGAGGACCTTGTTGGAGGTCATCCTTGTAATGAAAAAACATAATTAATGGTAAATTTTATTAAAGCAGCATAATCTATATAAGTGCTTCATTACACCATTCTTATTCAATCATTACTCTGCCCTATCAAAATTTGCAATAAGCTGGTGCACTATTTTCTAATCACACTATTGCAGTACCATAAATAATTGATATTTGTAAGCCATTTTATATTCTAAATATACTGAACATACCATTGTATCGTCTTTGTAGGAGATCCAGGGACAAGCAAGTTGAATAACACAAGGGGATTTGTTACATTTCCCACTAACGGAGCGAAGGCTTTCATCTAAGGTGTATGTGCTGTAATATTAAAAAGCAAAATTATTAATCATATAAAGCAGGGGTTCCCAAACCGCGGCCCGCGGGCCAATTCCGGCCCGCGTAACAATTTAAAATGGCCCGCCGAACTTGAGTAAAACGATGTTGTTATGTCATTACCACAGTTTAAGCACGTGTTTATCGCGTACCATTTCAATTATGCCGATATCTCAATAATACGTACCGGTATTACCGTGTTTCCCCAAAAATATAACAGATTATTTCAATTTTTTTTCGAAAAATATAACTAGGGCTTATTTTCGGGGCGTGTCTTTTATTTTCATGAGTCCAAAAAAAATTACAAAGATTTTCAAATATAAAAAATATGAAAACCAATATCCATTTACTTAAATGGCACGTTTCCTCTTTCACACTTGTTAGATTAATCATTTCCAACGTGTAGGGGAGATTTCTTGCTATCGACTAGGTGCTACTGACTATACGTCTTATTTTACGGTGAGGCTTATATTAAAATCATTCTTGAAATTCAGGCTAGGTCTTATTTACGGGATTGGTCTCATTTTCAGGGAACACGGTAGGGTTACAAAGAGCAATTAAGTTATCAGCCCTATAAGAAAGCTTACAGATGTCAAAAAAACAAACAAAACTAGACTTTGCAAATAGACGTTTCCGGGATAAATGGTAGCTTTCATATTTCTGTATTGCAAAGAATCAAACTTCAGCGATTTGTCTTGCCAATGAAATATTCCAGTTCTGAAGGAATACGACATTAAGCGCCATTATGAGTCAAACAAACAGATTGCAAAAAATGTCAAATGAAAGTGAATCCACTGAACCCCAGCTAAACCGCCGCGAACTTTCGGGCGCTAAACTCTTCCGACCCGCGAACATTCTCCCGATTCTAACTTTGGCCCGCGTCCAATAAAGTTTGGGAACGCCTGATATAAAGTATGAACAAAAGAGCAACATTAATATCTGAATAATACAACCAACATGTCAAAATATATAGGTCGTAATTTTACATATAAACAAACAATAATCACACTTGGCTTTCAAAATAATGAAATTGGTTCATAACGTATTTCAAATTTATTTGACTCACGCATCCACTGCCATCACAACAGGAGTGAGTGATGGAAAAGGACATTGAAGTTCAGCTGTGACCCCAGTTGCAGATAACTCCTGTTCTTGATATGATATTCGAATATTGTCTGTCTTTTTTACTGTGGTGATGTTCATCTGTTAAAATTAGAAAAATAAATTTAATTTTTTTTTCAATAAATATGTTTTCAGTCATCACTGTTTTTTCAATATGTTACAATATTACATTTCAATGAAAAAATTGCCAGTTGAACATATTTTAACAAATTTGCTCTTCAGAGTAATAGATCCTCATCAAAACATTTTTGTTTCACTAATTCTTTTCTGGATAGTTGCTTTCTTCCCCCTTGGAATATGCATAATCTGCAAAGCATTTTTTATTTCAGCCATGAATTACCTGTGTATCATTTGTTGCCTTTTCATAATACAATCTACAACGCTTGACATCATTCTCTATGTGAATAGCAGAACCAAGACATTTCACACCATCTTCAGTGACCTCTTTAACACACTTGCAATGGAATATAATTTCATCCGATTTCTCTGTGTAAACCACTTCATCTAGCAATTCATATTTCCCTGATAGTAAAATATAAATTGATGTGAGAAAGTAATATAATTACCCATGATCTAAATTTAGAAATTATTTGCCAAAAATTGAACAAGTTTTCACACCAAGCGTTGAAAGAAATTTGAAACTTGCTGTCTGCCATAATTTTGATATTTTTGATAAATATTTTTGCACAACAAATCTTCACATGTCAGAAAGGATGAATAGCTTCAATTCAATTGGAATTTTTCAAATCTTGGACATGCTTCAACACGGAACTACAATATGACTGTAATATTTATACCATTTCATGAAATTTTTATGTGTAATTGATGAGTTTTAATGTACTGATGTAATTCGGGACGGATGTCAGCTCATCAAAAACGATATGATCAAACCTTGTGGTATAATGTCATATTCAGTATTCTCTATGTTTATTTCCATTTCATTCAGTTCTTCTATAATAAGTGACATCAGTGTATCCTTCAGAAATCCAGATGATGTTACACTGAAGTAAGTTGCCTGTGTGGAAGATTATATTTTGTTTTGGCATATGAAATATTTTTATGTTGAATTCCACAGAATTATTTTATGGCTTGAGATTAAAAGGCTAGGCCAATCCTATCGACAATGCATATTAATGAATTTAGATTCAAATCGCATACTCAACACTTTGGTCTTTGGTCTAAATGGTCTTTCCCAAATTGCTAGCCCATGAATAACTGCATGAAAATTATTGATTTCAAAGAAAATGAGATCAACGATCATTTCAGTGAAAATGCAGTAAGGTAAAACTGCAATATGCAGCCAAAACATGTGAAATTCAAACTAATTTTTCACAATTTGGAAAAGATATATATATAAGTAAGTATATGAAAGACATAAGCATCATATAGACGCAAGGTGTGAGTTTATATATCATAAACAACTATATTCAGCACCATTTTTTTGCTATTGTACTATGTACCTATTTCCTCACTCACAACTCAATGTTATAACGTCCTAGTAATATATTAGGAGAGAGGTGTGCAACCTTTTTTATTGGCGGGCCAAATACAAGTAAGGGTGGGTGAAGCTGCGGGCCGCACGTTAATTTAATTTGGGCTTTCTAGTGGTTGCAAGCACAAAAATTGCTTATATTTGCTACTGATTTTACGGTATTATTAAAGATTCTTGCAGAAATAGTAGATTTGAAACGCATAAACTTCTAAAGAAACTGCTATTTAAATTTATTGTCACACCGACTTTAAACGAATGTAGTGAGAAACACGTTTTTGTAATATATATCGTGTAATATTTTGCAACAGAATGTTGCTAGCTCGTTTTGCTGATATGCAGGTACACCATTCAAAATTGTTATTTCTCCGCGGGCTGCATTTGGCCTGCGGGCTGCAGTTTGCACACCCCTGTATTAGGACATCATTTTACATTTAATTCCACCCTTCCCACGAATATAACACTCACTTTTTGTGTCTCTTCTCTGAAAAATTCTGCTATACTGCCTCGTGTTTGTACACTGTCATGGTTATTATAAATCCACAACTCAAAAACAATTTCTCCCACATTATTGAAAGTCATCAATAAAACACAAGCTTCCAATTCTTGATTCCAATTTACTTGTTTTGATGAAACTCTGTTAATTTCAATTCTTTCAAATCCAAATGCTCTTGAGTCGGGTGGTCTTGACGTCAGTTCCACAAATAAAGAGCTTGGTGCTGAATACAGAAATTTGAAATTGAAAGAAAAAACATCGGATGGAGTCATTGTTTTTGTCGATATTGACAATTTATAACAAAAAGCCAACTTCTATAAAAATATCCAAATTTAAATATTCATCCTAATACACCATCATACAGTGCCCAATTTTGGCTTTATTCAATCATTTATAGGTTTTGCTATAAAACCTTGTTAGGATATTTGAAAACTTGAAATTACGGTAGTTTTATTTTATCATTGTGGAGTTGATTTTCCATATTGCAATTGCAACTCATATGTCAAACCAGGTTTGAAATATTCCATATTTTTTACATTTATACATTCTTTTTAATTTGCTGCGTATCAACTATTTGTATCCCATGGTATTTGAATTTTAATAGCCGCATTGTACATTGTAAAGGTAAATATTTTTTCAAGTTGATAAAACCAACCTAAAGAAATTGGTACTGATGATGTAAAATTGTAATTGTCTGTTTCTAAGAATTTCTTTGAGCATATATTTGTATTTTTAGTATAATTCCATGATGGTGGACATTGCTGAAGTTCAACACAAAACTGTAAAAACAAGAACAATTAATCATTAGAACAGATCAATCTTATCAGATAAAAATAAAATTCTGTCAATTGTCGAATTTCATTCTCAAACACCTCGAAATATCTGGAGAATTCTCATGTATGGCTTTTTTTCATTCGGCCACTGGTTAAGAAGAGGTATCAGTGAATGTCAATAAATAAATCTGGTTTAATACCATTTTATTTAATATTCATGGAACGATTATCTTGTAAACTATTGCACAGCAAAGTTATTTTGCATCAAGCAGCAATAGTTTACTTTCATGTAACAGTAATCCTCGTTCTCTGATCAAGCCAGAGTTAATGCAAGTTGTGTGCAATTGATTGTTACCAAGAAATGTTTAACAATTTTCTTCTAAACATTTATTTCAGTTATCATTTTATATTAATGGAGTTTTAACAAGCGTGGAACTATAGGACTCTGCATGAAAAATTTAATATGATTCGAATTCAAATCTAAATATCTGATTCAATATCACAGGCAAAAGATTATGTGACAAATTCTGTAAGAAGCCACCAAAGTGATATAGAAGTCATTTTTCTACAGAGTCAAATTTGTGAAACACTGGTTATTGTTTGTTTGTTTTGTTTGGTTACTGCATCCAAGTGATCATGAAAACAGGTTATTGCCAAAAAGAGCTGAGAAAAAGCGTTCTTTCAATGTTTCGGAACAAGAATTAAAAAACTTACATGACCATCTCCAATATAACCTTCGTTACAATAGCAGTGAGCTATTTCATTTTGAAAGATTCTATCATTAAGACAGGTGGACATTTCATGACATGTATTTGATAAATATTCACACGCCTTTTTCTTTGGTTTTTGACAGAAAAATCTGTTATGCGTTCTTGAGACAGGAATGTTTGGTCCAGAAAAATATCCTTGAAAAAAGTTTGAATTTATACTTTGTCATGAAAAATCAAATTTATCTATTTAATCTAACAGTCAGTTTTAATATCCTTTCAATTCAATATATATGTAAAACATAATCGACGTGGAACATACCATCAATAATTTGTGTTGTACAAGGTATTAGTTCAAAAGGGTTCAAGGTTAGGATCTCAAAATCACCATTTGATAGCTGTTGCTACAAATTTCATTCATATTCAAAAATAAAATTCAGTTTAATCAGTCACAAGTAACAAATTTAAAACATTCATGTGCAAGACATTCTTGCTTCCCCTATATTTTTGTGCCATTAATGACGTGACATATTTTCATCCCAGTGATAGTTTAGTCACAAGTCACAAATTTGAATTTGTAAATATTTTGAGTGTCTATACAGAGCAATTTATTTAGGGTAATGTTGGCAATGATATGTCAAGTTATATGCATCACAAGCTACTGCATTTAACTCAACCTGCTTAACTTTGTTCTTACCTGAATCCCTTCTCTCAAAACACTGGATTGTTCCTGAATGTATATTTATATAATCATCAAAACAACATCCATGTGCAAGACATTCTTGTTTTCCTATGTCTTCATGCCAGTGATGACATTTTCTTCTTCTGTATGATAATCGAACTTCACAATCTTCGTCAGCAATAACTATGAACACAAATTTCGATTTGAGATACCAAATATATTCTTATAGAACAGTGATCGTGAATCACTGTCACAAATTTGACGCTCCAGAAGTATGTTTACCAAAATGGAAGTAACTAATTTTGTTCGCCTATTTTACAATAAGTTGTGTAAAGGGACTGAAATCTATGAACAGGGGAATTTTGAGGAGACTAACACCGACAGTCCCCAAACTAGTAATAGAACTTAAATAAGGAAAATGGGAATGTCGCATCAGTGCAATCTAACTATAAGTGAACAATCATGGTGAATCGCATATACTGGTGTGCAGATACTGGTAACATTGCTGATATAATGTTTATAAATTTCATAATCTATCTTATTAAACTATACAAAACTAAGATACATGTAAAATTGAAATTATAGCTTCATTACAAAAATAAAATTTAAATTCTAACTTTTAGGTTTTCCATTGGACTTAGAACAAGTTCTTGATATTTCCATCCCAGGTATTGGCAATCCTCTGGACATCGATGACTCAAATTTCCAAGCATAATAGTCGACTATCAGACAATACCAATAAAAAAAAATCTTATTAGATAGCCGGAGTTATCACATAGGACACTTCTTAATAAGATTCAATCAGACATATTGTATTGATGAATAGAATGGGTCAATACGGCATCCTGTTTAATAATTTTAATCCCAGAAATTAAATTTGCTCAAGTAAATTTTAAATATGAAGGCAGACTTTTATTTTCACAAAACAAAGATGAAGTCATGTGGTGTAAATAGCAGATATTCTCATATGTACTGGACTAACTCACCAAATTTGTAGACTTGATTGGCGTTGACACCTCCTTTACCATTGGTGCCACATGCAGCAGACGACCCATGTTTTGTGTAGGTTTTTTCAGCATTAGAACTAGTGTAACAAATTCCACCATTTTGAAGAGCAACCACAGAATATCCTCGACTATAAGCAAACTCAGCACATTCTTTAATAGGATTTTTTCTTGATAACAAATCTAATTCAAGAAAGTGATCGACAGGTGGCCAAATAGCTTCATCCGAAGGATCATCTGCCCAACAACCTAAGTTTGTCCATGCACCTGTCGGAAAGAATCAAAATAAATTATATATATACAAAATTTTGACAATGAAATTACAAGGTATCAATTGATACAAGGAGAGATAGCGGAATGAAAAAGAATTTCTGTTAATATTTGCAAAAAAGGTTTTGTGATAGCAATGGCCTAACCAAAATGATTTCATCCTGGTCGACTAGCATGGATGATTTGTCCAATATAAGTCATGAACATAAAATGGAAGTTGCTTAGCCTCTGTTTCCAGAAAACATTTTTTAAATGCTACATATATCATTTATCAGATGGCACAAAAATAGATTAATATAACCGTTGTGTGGTATATGATTAATTTATATCTTTCTGTTTAGTGTCCTTAATAAGACCTTTGATGTTTGGCACGATTCACGTCATATTAATTTACAATTTCATTATAGTGAGATCAAATCAATTTATGATACCTGGTGAGAGAAGACAATTTCCATCTTCTGCCGTGCATTGGATTGGAAGAAGGTACGTAACTGGAACATAGAAAAAAAAAATTATAATCTTAAATAAAGTGCATTTTAAAATGTACTGCATGAGGGTACTACAAGTGAGGATTTTTAATTTGGATATTGCTGTCCATTAGGGCAAGACAGAAAAATCGAAATTATTTTTTTCTATGTTTGGCAGATTCGTTAGTTAAGCACTAATGCATACTCTATTTTTATCGATTCTTTTTTCTTCATTGGGTCAATGAACTCCTTCTCTCTCTTTCTCACTTTGAAGTGGATACGGTACACATGCCAAAGACAAAATGCCATGTTTTTATGATATACCAGAGTGCTAGTATGCTCATAATGCACACAAAAATAAAGTAACATCAACTACAATAGTCATAGTGGGGGTATACCAGATTTACAGAATGAGAAAACCGATTCATGAAAACTGATGGGGATCGCACATTATTGCCCCTTTTTGGCGATTAGAAGCTAATAATAAGCCAACCCCAAAAAATAAGGTCACAGATTGGGTACAGACGATCGGCTTATTAGCTGGAAAATATGGTAACTGATACATTCTTCTGGTAAAACAAATAGCTGAATAGATGCTGGCAAAAAAAGCTGTTTCAATCAATAGCTTGAGAAAAGTATTCACCATCTGTATCATTTTTGCATTCTGCAGCAATTTCAGTGTCACTAGGAAACACAATTTCATGTTCTGGCATATGCCATTGTCTCAACTCTGAAAAGTGAGTATGATATTAGAAGTTGTGTATACACTTTTCCTTAGTCTAATGATATTCACAATAGGGTTATTTGTGGTCATGGTAGTTACTTTCCAGTCAAAGAATACACTTATTACTTGGATGTCTTCTTTCAAGAAAACAAAGTTTAGTGAATAAGAAAGACAAAAAAGCATTTAATATGTTACATTGACACAAATATTACAATCTTCCATGTACAACATAAATTTGACTTGAGATCTTAAAAAATTTGTTTGTTCAAAATATTATTCAAAAGTTTCAGCTCAGTGGTGAAAATTTGTTGGTTTTTAGACCAACTTTTAGTACACATTGCATCTAGTCACAGCAGCTGGTTGTAATATTTTGTACAACAGTCGAAAAAATGTTACAATGAATGAATGAATGAATGTATATCGTGTATATATATATATATCTCAATTTTCTCAGTGTGCTCTAATAATGATATAAAAGCAGGTTTATACATTATACATGCCTCGTTCACAAATGACAGGATATTTCAATGCACAATCATAAGTTTTATGAGCAAAATGAACCCCAAGTATTGGATTAAACACAATGGCAAGACAACGAGACTTTAATCCCCTTTCTGTTCTTTTGTATTGCGTTCCATTTCTTCCTACTATAGTTGTATTAGCCAACAAATTAAAATCACTCCAACAATTTTCTGAACATAAATATGATAATAACATATGCTATATGCTAACCTTGAATCTTGCCTAAACGAATCTACAACGATTGAGACAATCAACTTTTTAAGTGTTGCAAAAAATCAGCAAAGTAACTTATGGTAATGTACAACTTCATTGGCGCAATTTATTATTGTTATCTTATGATCTCTGATCATTGTTCAGAGCAATATTATGAATAAAACACTCATAAAATACATGGGATTGATATATTGTTGCTGTCAGTGTACCAGTAGCTGGTTTCAACTCTTCTATTAGCACTTTTTCCAATCTAGTGAAGGGTTCAATTTTGATATAAGTGAGCAAATGTGTATAAAATATATTTGGGAATTTCTATTCACTGATTTTGCTTCATTTGTTTATTAAATGAATGTTAGTTACCTCTTGGTAAATAAGACAAAGAATCTGAAAAACAGCAGCCCATTGCATGTGATTTAGCTTTTGTGACGCCAGAAAATCCACAATTTATTCTATCACCAATTGGGATATTGCAACAATTGTCTGAAGAAAATAAATAAAATGGTTCCAAGTGGGCACTGCATTAAAGACTACAGAAAAGCTATTTATTTTAGAGCTAAGAATATTATTTTACATTTGCTTAGTAATGAATTCCAAAAGCAAGCATACCAGCAAATCTGTACACTTGATTCGCCAATACGCCACCCAGTCCATCACTCTGGCAATGTGTACTTGGCCCATGTTTTTTATAAGAAGTTTCTGCATTTGCACTAGTCCAACATTCTCCTCCATTTTGCATAGCAAACACAGAATATCCTTGATCGAAAGCATATTTTGCACAATTTTTAATTGCATCAACTCCTGTATCATATACATCTCCAAAGTTGAAATCCATAGGTGGAATTGCTCGATCAGTGTTGAAATCTACCCAACAGCCCAAAGTGTGCCAATTTTCTAAAATATAAAATATATTTAGAAAAGGTGGAGATTAATAATAGAAATTCTTCAACATTTATGTGAGTATTACATATATTTGAGAAATTTTCATAATGAATTGTAACATTTACCTCTTATTTTATAAACTTGATTTGCCAAATATCCACCTTCTCCATCATTTTTACATTCAGATGATTCTCCATGTTTATTATATGTAGTGTGAGCGTTAACACCAGTGAAACATGATCCTCCATCCTGTAGGGCAAATACAGAAAATCCCATGCTGTCTGCATACTCTGCACATAATCTGATGGCATCTTTTCTAAGCTTAGGATTCCCAGAATCAGTAATAAGATTTGCATCAGCAGATGGAATTGCTCGATCATTTTGGACATCCTTCCAGCAACCTAGATCTGTCCACCAACCTATAATATGTTATAGTAAATTTAGATTTACCTAACATCGTCAGTCAGTCAATCGTTTATCCCAAAAACCATGTGTATAAAAAACTGATACAACAAATAATGTTATATACGTGGCCTGAGTCGTGAGAGACCTAGAGAGGTGTTTAAACAGCGATAACTACAACACTAATATCTGGATGTATCATTACAAGTGAAAATACTTCATTTGATACTAATATCGAATCATACGCAAAAATATTGAGAATGTCACTATCATCACAATAAATAAAAAGCAAATGATAGAATGCAAAATTCTGATTCATGAATAGTTCAATAGTTCAGTACAATAAAAAAAAAATCACAGGATGATAAATATTTCCATCTTAATTTCATAATTATGCCAGGGGAGAGGAAAGTCGATTAGTCGGCTTAATCATATGGTGTACCACAGTCTCTTGTCTGATTACCAGGTCATATTGGGTATAGGATTAGATAGCCAATTGTTTGTTTTCAGATGCATGGACTTGATGGTGGAGAAAGCGGTAACCTACCAATGGTTACATGAACAACCCCACAGCGCACATAATTAAACCTCGTATGATTCAAAACTGTGAACCAACACATGTGTAATCAGAGGGGTAATGGCAAGCCTATTCCCAACTTTTGGCAGGATGTGGCGGAGCAGTTTTGTTTGTTATTGTGAGATTCTAGGGGAGCAAAGGCTTCATTACAAATACTTGCATAATTCAAGTGGATTGAATACAAAAATATTACCAAGCAAGTGAAAAAAATATTATCTTCTGAAGCTTTGTTTGTGAATAGTTGGATCTTCAGAACCATTCAATAATGAATATAATATTGAAAAAGTAATTATGACACATTTCCAATAACTCTATATGAATAATTGATTACCAGAAAGAAGATATTAGACATATATTGCACTCAATGACTTGACAATAAATTGAAGATACAGGCAATACAAAAACTTTAGAAACATACATATTTCACTTTGGTATTTTACCTGGGCCAATTTCAAATATATAATCGCTGGTGTGTCGAGTTTTATGGACTTCGCTCCATATAAAATCACCTGGATATTTTTCAATCTACAAAAACAAAGTTTTCATTTAAACGAAACAAATAATCAAAAAGTCTGCGTATCAGATTCATTAGCTATAATTTTAAATGAGCCATTAAGGTAATTATCATTTGAATGACTTAAAAGCGACCCTCATTGCTAGGCAGCAGCAGCATTTTTTATATTGAGCCTAGTCATATTAGTCAGCAAAGTTTTGCTGTGTTCACACTCATCAAAGCATATTCTAATCCCCAGATGTCGCTAAATCGGCATCTATGGGAAATAATTCATAATAGTTATCCTCATTTATCTGGTTCCTGTCACTAATCTATTGTTTTCCTCATGATTTTGCATTTTAAGTTAATTTCTTGAATAATTGTTTCTTCGATTTCTTTGCTGCTTGAATTCGGCAATAAGGTGTTGTTAGCTGGATAACGTGGATGACGAGTTTTTTATGAATCCGGCATCAACTGCTATGAGTCAATGTTTTCTGTTCTTTTTTTTTATGTGTGTTTATTGCAATATGAAAATAAATATCTGAATCTGAATTCAAAGCAGTATGATTTACGCCATTATTTATTCATGACATAAAAAAAAATAAGTGATGATGTAATCTTACAAGCTGCTTCAGCATGCTAGATATTTCATTTGCTTTCTGTTTTGAATTGATTTCAACTTTTGTGGCTTCGAGTTCTTTACAAGTCATGTCAGAGGAAACATAATATTCATATTTTCCACCAAAATTAAACCATTCTAAAACATATCATTAATAATGAAAATTAGAAAGTGAAATAATATTGGGTGACCCAAAAATAGAGCTCAATTACTTCTAGGAAAATGGAAAATATTTCTTTAACACCCGAACTTCGATTTGGGTTTGATTGTACCCAGCCTAGCTCAACCTGAACAAAAAGGATTATTAAACAGAACAATAAGTTTATGGAATGTACAGTTCAGTAATCAAAAAACACAAAGTCACTGGATACAAAATGTATTCAATGCTATGACCTTAGAAGATCAATACAAACGCATAGCTTGTTTTCATGATAACGCAAAAAAATTCATGGTATCCAATTTATTCAACCATTTATTTATTATTTTTTATTTGGCCTGATTTGTCATTATATGACCATATTATGGAAATTTTAATATGACTGGTTCAGTACTTGTGTTGATGATTTTTTTAAATCTTTTGGAATTTTCCATCATTTGAATCAATATTTTTGAGTGGGAAAAACCAATTAAATAATACTAATATCTTCATGGAAACATGGGCTTTTCGAATAATTCTAATTGTTCAAAATTTCCACTCGCATACACAACTAAAAATAAGTTCATGGTTCAGGTGACGCATAAACAACACTTTATAGCTGATTATTTCAGTTCATGGAAAATATATTGCTTTGTTATTCAAGTATGGATTAATTGAAATCAATTGGTAATCAAATTGTATCAAATAATATTTGAAGCATTTACCTCCTCCTGCTGAGTTTTTGCAGTCTTCCAACATAAATCCCAATCTCATAGTCATCCAACTATGCCCCGTTAAAGGATAGACTCTGAACTTCTGACAATACAGTGGCTCAGACAAATAATTCACAACTTTTGTGATTTTATCAGTGTTACCTTGGTATACCTGTTTTGAATTTTACCCTTTGATTAAATTCTGCAAGAGTGAAAGTCGCCCCTAAAATTCCTGCATTATAGTCAATTTTTTGTTTCATAGAATCGCTTCCGTTGGTGGAAAAATAAATTACTGATTAAGTTTGATAGCAAAATCAACACAATGCCGTGCATTCTTAAGTATGTTCTATAGAAATGTGAAATCTAATCACTTGTGAATAATATAATACAAAATTATAATACTCTCGAGGCCCAATGAAAATCTTTAAAGAACCAAAATCCTCATGATTTCTATTTAATCTTTTCTAACAATATTTCAGGATGGTTTATTAGTGTCAACAATTATTCATTTTCTAGATCCCACCTTAAATGATTTGCACAAGAATAGAAATATTACACTTTCTGCTAGGAATATTGTAATGTAATAGAAATGTTGCATTATTGTGCTTCATTAAGCTATTGCCTGAATGGATATATCACTTATGTGTACAAGCCAATATGCTATTCAGTAAAGTGTTTCTTAGACATTTGTTACAGCTTTCTAGAATATTCCTGACCAAATTTATGAAGAATGACAAATGTGAATAAAATGACTTCTGGCCTCAAGATTACAAAAATATTTTTATCCAGGAACAGTGGCTTCAGTGCATTCATTTTTATTATACCAGCACCACTTTTGGTATTCCACTGAAGAAAATACCTTTTCTTGTCCATTTTCAAAAATGGAATTTCCATCACATGAAGCTTTATATGTTGTAACCCATTGTTGATATCCACCAGCACGTCCAATTGTAACAATCCCAAGCACTACCACAGTAAGTTCAAAATCAAATTCAATCCAAGCACCCGAATGATCTGAATATTAAAATGAGTGGTAGTTTTCACTTTTTGCTTTATCATACAATATTGTTTTTGGCATATGGGCAGGCCATCAGTGTTCCGAACGTAAAATTCATTTTTGGTATTAAATACTTATACACTAAGCAATGAATAAAAACATTCTTCGAGAGTACTCCCCGGAAACTGATAAAAATGTAAGAACCAAAAACAGTTTATATTTACTTACAAAAGCAGTGGAATTCGCCGGTTGAGTGTATTAGATGATTAATCGACTGCTTTGTGAAAATTTATAGTCAAATTTGTAGCATTAGTAATATTGAAAGAATGAGTTGAATGACGAACACAAAGTTATCAAATTTTAGAAAAACAATACACCACTTTGTCACAGACAAGCATGAGATTGATTTTCAGGAATAATTATCTTTTTGGCGTACACAGAAAGTTAATAATGCTTATTAAACAATTTAATGTACATTAATGTATGCGATAACAGAAGATATCTTACTGTATTTAAGAGCCCAGCCCCATTCATCGAGTCTGGCACTAGCTCCATTAGCATTAATATAGTCTTCGGAAGCACTTATCAGGAAACCAGGATATAGTTCTGAAGCTAGTCTTGCTTCGCAAGTAACGGGGATCTTAGAGGATGCATATGTGTGATCATCTAAACAAATAAATGAATTGCTTTACTCTTTACTGCAAAGTATTTGATCTACCATGAAGAATTTTATCAGTCATCTTGAAAAATTAGTTGCTGTTTTATAAAGTGTCATATATGAGATATAAGAAGTGATCAGTAGGGCTGGGAATGGATAAACATTGAGTGAACATTCTGCCCAGAAGTGTTAGCATATAGCCATTTTCGGGAAGTAGTGACAAAGCCTGTAAATTTACGATATTTCCTTCCATACTGAATACACACTCTGATGGTACACTAGTAGGTACATACATACACACAACTCCTCATTTTATCCTCCCGCCAGTATGGACGTATATTAATGGATCCTGCCACAATCCTTCACCCCGAATACAACACACAAGTCCTTAGTGACAAATAATATTAAATGTAAACAACAACAGACTCTTAAGACATCTTAACAAGGAATGATTAGAAATAGCATTACGCGCTCCAAGAGTGCGACGGGAAAAAGGTTACACGCATGAGCGAGTTGATTAGAGCGTTACATATAATGATGTAAGAGAAATGTTAATGTAAATTTCAACTAAATTTCAACCGGTTAATGGTTAGAGTGTTTTCCCTGCAATTCCCATCCCTAATGGTCAGATGTTAATATGCTGAATACAAAGTTGATAATACTAACATAAGTTTTAAAAATAAATTCAAATATTTTCTAAAAAACGTTTAGGTAATAAATTACTCTTTCACAAAACAAATTTATATTAACCATAAATGTCAAGTTACAGAAAGTGAGGTGCAGAAAATATCACAAAATTGAAAAATCAAACTTATGTACAATAGCCATTGTTTATAAAAAAGTCTAATGAATGACTCTCTGCCATATAACTATATAGCCAGTATTGGTGTTCCGCATCTCCCTGCAGCACAACCATTGGATTTTTTACACTTCAATGTAATTTATACGTCTAGTGCATATTTTCAGCATGGCTAAAAATAAACTACTTATTACTGATATCACAAGAAGAACTAGGCCCTACTCTAAATTAAAATAGACGCTCCATAGGTCCAGACTAGCAGAGGGGCAAGAGGTGTATTTTCTGGTCCTTGGGTACTCAGGCCCTTCCATGGAATCTGTACTCTGTAGAGCAGGGCTACTCAACTAGCGGGCCGCGGTGCGAATCCGGACCTTTCGAGTGCTAAATTTGGACCGCGGCCGCTTTTTAGGGTTTAGGCTGTTGATAAGCGCCAGATGCTTCCAGTCACTTCTTTGCTCCTGTTTTTTTATTGGCCTTTGGTGGTGAACATTAGCTTGTTCTTGTAGCTTATATGTATTCCATATAAATTTCTCACGCGTGTCAACTCACACACTCGGCTTCACAACTGAAGCCTTGTCATACCGACACCGAAGCGTGATATTAAGCATTGCTCTTGTGTTTTGTCAAACGATGCATTTGTAATTTTGTTCCATAGCTAAAATATATTCTTCAAATGACCGGACCCCAGTAATTTTTAAAGTTTGTGTACGAACCTTCGATGAAAATAGTTGAGTAGCCCTGCTCTAGAAATCTTTCTTAATTAAAATATAAATTTTTTGGAATTTTCTATCGACCAAATTAACTTTTATTCATGTTGATGATCAGTGCTTACTGCAGACACCGAAACCGTCGACAATCTTCTTTATGACAGTGTGATGGCTAAACATTATATTTGCAGTACCATAAGTTTTTGTTAACTGCTCAAACTATGACACAAATGGCTTATAGTATGCTCAGAGTTTGATATTTAAAAAGAACATCTCAACAGATTGTCGAATACTTAGAATAATCAACACCAAAATATAACTACCGGTATGTCTCTCAGAGATTTTTTATTTGATGTCAGCACGGTCCGGTGATTATCTTCAAAAAAGTATGTTAATGTCCCCAATTCGTCTTTCAATGAAAGACATGCAACAACATTTAACATACAACAAACACAATCATGGATCAATTGATATCAGTATCGTTGTAATTTACCTGGGAAGTTGTTCACTGAACATTCTCCATGTATAAATTCCATTCTCATGCTCATCCATGAGTGAAATGTTAGAGGAAAAACTCTAGCCGTTTGACAAGATAAACTTGCGGGAAGAAAATTTACAACTTTTGTATTTCTATCAAAGTTTCCCAGGAACACCTAAATCAGATATGCAACCAAATTAATTAGTAGTAATTAAATCAGTTACAATTTTTCACTTATCCAGGGGGAAAAAAATGATGAGGAAGTGGACCACGTCCTTTCATCGGCTCGACGATGTGGTGCATCGTGCTAAGCATGAGGGATATGATCGCCACCGCAACTCTGATTACACTGCGTGGGTTCGCAGGTTGGAATCCCATGCGGGGATGGTTATGTCGAGAGGATTGCTGGACTCCTCGCCACAGTAGGGTGGTTCACATAACCTATGGTCGGTTATGGCTTCCACCACCATTAAGTCCATGCTTCCGAAACAAATAACTGGGTAACTCGATGAGAGGCCAGGGTGCGCCATAGGATTAGGCTGGCCTATCCATTCTCCTCCCCCGGGATAACGATGTAAACAATATAAAATAGGAACTAGAATTTTTTGAAGCACACTATATTATCTTCAATTTGAACCTGTTCTTAATCGTTAGTTATTGCTATAATATACATAAAATGTTATTAAATGTGTCTGATCCTCTGCCATTCGGATAGAAGGATAACCATTCCGAGTTCTATTGCAATGCTTGTTTATACTTGATTAATGATTCCTTTAAAATATTTTATACTAGGTTGCATGATAATATAATTACTCAAAAATAATGGAACACTAAGTATGTTCAACTAATATATTTGGATTCTATGAAACTTTTAAATTTTGTGTTGTGTTTTATTAATATTTTTTCAAATTTGTATCAAACAATAAAATAACCCTATGAAGTAAATTTTCCAGATGTTTAATGAAATCAGGTTCTGCTAACCTTGTCCACATTATTATCCTTCACATAAATTCCGTCACAAGCAAATTTGAATGAAGTTACATGCTGATCATACATTGCACGACCTTGTGTAACAATTCCGTGAACCATGGTTGTTCTCTTCAAATCAATTTCAACCCATTGTCCAACATCTGAATAATAATAAAATAGTTCAAAAGTGGTGTGTCATGGAAATCAATAAAACTTTGAAAAAAATCATACGAATGACCAATATTATTTCTCTATTAAACTATATTTATGATTACTTTCGATTAAGTTTTATCAAAATTTTCTTATGTTGCAATAATTTTCACTCACCACGGCTTAGAGAAGCCCAACCATCTGTAGAATCGAGATAGAGACCTTCATGGCTATTCAAACTATATTCTGATGAAACACTAACAGTATAGTCATATACAAGTGCTGATGTATATTTCAATTCACAATTGGTTCCAAGATGTGATGATCCTGACATATTTTAATATTATTTATCTTTATATGTATGTAAAATGTATTACCGGTAATTACAAAATAATGGAATAAAAAGGTGAAATTTGAATGCCAAACCATTTAAACTTGAAAAAACTAAGACAAAGTCTGGAAGGCTATTGAATTGAAAAAACAGTTGAATATTTTAGTTTTGTTGATACAGTCACAAGTTCTGTAAATGCACCAGCTCAGACCAATGAGGATAGCACAAGTAATAGACATAATTTATATTACTAACTTTTCATTATCAAAATACACCAGCAAAAATTGGCCACAAATTGGTCTGTTGGTGATAACATAATTTTAACTGAATTTATGCAATTCAAGGAAAAATTTTTTTTATAGAAATGAAACGTTACTTCTGTGCTTAATGGTAACTGTTCACCGTTTTCTGACACATAAAAACTTATTGAAAACAACATGTCCATGACACTTAGCCTAATATTAGGAAATATTTTCAAAGTACAAATTTAAAATATATTTTTCCATTTCATCCAATCCAACTTTTATAAACCAATTGTTAGCATTGAATAATGTATCACTGATTTATAGGAACACCATTAATATGTTAATTAGGATGGTTATTCCCCCAAAAAATGTGACACTCCAATGAAATACCATCTCGAAGCAATATATAACAAACTTTTTGAAGTAGCTTCATGTAACGCTCTTCATGTATGTAGGTACATATTGAAGAGTAGAATATGTGAAAAATATTACAACCAATTTTATATTCAATTTTTTCATTTTGACCGCTTTCACCCACAATTATAAAGTCATTCTCTTGACAAAGTAATATTTACCGTAAAATACATAATTTATCACATGAACACAACTTGAACGTAATCGAAACTTACCATGTACATTTTCCACGGGACAGTCTGCATGGATCAATTCCATCCTCAAACTCATCCACCAGTTATAGGTTTGGGGCAAAACATGAGCTCTTTGACAGGGTAAGCTCACTGGAAGGTAATTCACAACTTTGGAGTTACTATCAGAGTTGCCTGGAAATATCTGAAATCAGATGTCATACAACTTACGGTAAACTTGCACAAAATCATAATATTTGATATGACATTCACAGTGCTGTGAATCTAATTATGAAACATTTAATAATGATCAATAAATATTTCTATTATAAAATTCATAGAATAAAATAAGATGAATCTTGGTTTCTATTTATTAACTATTTCAATGAATATTTTGACTCTTAGCATATAGTGTTCCAAATTTCACTATTAACAAGGTACTGAAATACATATATCATTAAACACAGTCCTAACAGTAATGGTACAAAAACTCTTTAATCATTCAGTATATAAATACATATTTATTCATTTATACTACTCACTTTGTTTTCAATTTGTGAACACACATAATATTTGAATTCTATACAAATCACAAATTTTGGGCCATGCATTGTTAATATCTTTAAAATAACCCTATGAAATAAATTTTCTGAATGAAATTAGGTGAGACAAACCATGTCAACATTATTTTTCTTCACAGTATTTCCGTCACAAGAAAATTTGAATGAAGTCACAAATTCAGCTTTTGTTGCACGTCCTTGTGTAACAAATCCATAGACAATCACTGTTTTCTTAAGATCTATCCCGATCCATTGACCAATACTATCTGAATATTAATTAAAACAAAATGAGTGGTGGAACTCTAAATGAGGTATTCATGCCATTAAGTCGAATCACACGCTCATCATGACTTGAGTTCGATTATATAATTTTTTTTAAATGTTGTATATTGTGATAAATTTCACTCACTCGTCTTGGCAGACCAACCATCTGCAGAATCAAGATATGCAGTTTTAAAAGAATATCCATAGAAATCAGAAGAAAATTCAAAGTTATAATCAGGTACAAATGCAGATGTATATTTCATTTGGCAGTTTTTTTGGGGTCGTGATGCACCTGTAATATTATTGTATAAAATACTTTGTACAGATTTTAGAATGTAAATGAAAGTATCGGTGACAATTAAATTCATTAAAAAAAAAAGTTCAACAAGTCACAAATTGTGTTTATACGATTCTAAAAAAACTAATTCATCATGAAAAATACTCACGTTTCCACAGTACCCCATCAACAGCAGCGCACACCTCTTTAGCATCTCGAAGTTTGTCATGATTCGAGACAAGCATGATGCATGAATTGTTTATACTCATAAAACCAGAATCACAAACTCCTAGTTCGTTTATAACACCTACATGATTGGAAAAGAATTTACATTATACTGTAAACCGTTTACCAAACAATTATTCGTACAACATAAATCAGCGATGTGTAGTTAGACATGTTGAGTGACACTAACATACTAAAGCCAATATTCCCTTTTTAAATCAGTAACTTTGAGTAATTTCAGGGGCTTGGTAATTTTTGAGTGGTGAAAGTCAGCCCGCAGGTTGAAAGACATGATTTCAAACTGAATAATCTGAAAATTTTCTAATAAATATAGTAAAGTTACATACGCGGAATTATATCGTCAGAATAATATAAAACGTTGTTGTTATCCGATGCATATAGTCGTTCACCATGTACGTACAGGTGAGAAATTCCTCGAGCGTCACCAATCTACAAACAGAATTTACCGTAGATTTCATCAAAAGCTTCTAGTAAAGATTTAGCAAGCACAGCTTCATTCCAAGAAAACTTCAAGCCAGTACATTGACCAAACTAAATTGTGACATCAAGAAATTGATTAATCTAAAAAAATTCAATTCAATTATCTCACGATGTCATATGCGAGCTTACACAGAGCCTTGTTCAAGGTCAAGTGCAGAGTAATTCTATAATAATGTGTTTTCTTGAAATGTTGTAACTCAAATAAAATTATTTGAATTTCTCATTGCATAGGTTAGACATCATAATATGATTTCAATACTCACATGAAAGCTATCATTATCGCTCTGTTTATACATTAATCTTTCATTCAGATCAATGTAAAATATTTGAGTTAGTTCCTTATTATAATTTTTATTTATATCGAAAGCTGTAACAGTGCGAGCTTTTACATTCGTATGCTTAATTGATATTGGGTAGAGTCCATACATGTACACTAAATTGTTTTCGACTGATATAGCAGCGATTCTACCACGGCCTTGTACTCGAGAGAAATGTAAAAAATGTTCAGTTGCAGACGTTTCCTGTAATATGAATTAAAGTGAGTTACAATTACTCTGAGTGAAAAGACAATATCTATAACTGACATTTACAAAAATAAAGAAATAGTTACATAAATCGTAACAGAATATGCTGTGTATTGTGCATGGTATTAAATATGTGCATTCATCGGGCTACGGTTACAGTACAAAAACATATTATTACAACAGCATGAATATCCTATGAATATTACCAGTGTCCAGTCCAGCCATGCTTTCAGTCGATCTTCCAATGACCAATTGTTTGTGGATGTTTTAAACTCTTCTAAATAGTTATTGAACAAATTTTTACCAAATTTCAACAAATCAGTTTCTGATATATCGATGTAATTTTCTAGTAAAATCTGATGAGTTGAAACCTGTAAAAAAATAGTGCCATTCAGGTGGAAGCTTAAATTAGATATATGTCACCATGCAAATGTCCTCAGGGATGACCCTTTCAACATTTTTGGATACAAGTTGGCTTAACTCCTATTAGAAAAAACCAGCAGTATGAATTCAAATGCATGATTCCTCATTTTTTTGGATTGTTGCATAGTGAACAATGACTATTATCATATAGAGAAAAACTGATGTCTCACAAATGTTGTGTCCCACTTCAATTGTATGAACTACATATAAATAGATTTAATATCCTGATCATAGCATGAATCCCACCTCATATGCTTGCTTTAATCATTAGCCTCACAATCTATACCGGTATTCAGAATCTTGAGAAAAGAGTGAGATATGGAAAAAGAAAACATGTAGGGGTAGACCAAGTGTAGTACAAGTGGGATACAACATTTGTTGAGTAAGGAAATTATATCTGCATCAAATTGCAGAACGGCTATTGTCTATATTCCCATCATTTCAATGAAATAGATGTTTTTCTGTCCAATAACTCCATAAAAATCTTCCTGTAGTGAATCATTGCAACAATTCTGTAGCTTATTTCCAGGCTTCTGCATCTCAAGTTATACAGGCTGATTTTAATAATTGATATTGTATCTCATAATAATGGAACAATTGTCAATGGATTTTTATGGATTGCTATAGCTGAAAACAATCTCGTCAAAATTAAATTGACAAATGTCATATTACAAAAAGATTCAAATTTTATTAACCCCTGCACAGTGAGAAATTGAGAGCTGTAAAATGAGATACTTATAATATGTCTGATTGAACATAAGTCTGAATAAAAACTTCAACACTTTTGAATACAATTCGGCTTACGTTAACATTACTTCAAATTAGAAAAAACCAGCAGTAGGAATTAGAATGCATAATTCCTCTTTTTTTTTGGTATGTTGGTATGTATGGTTGTTGGTTTGGTATGTACCTTTCTAATCTTCTGGCTGAAATGCAACCATAATAGGTTTTGTGGAAATGCTTTTTATTAATTTTTTTTTGTTTTTTTTTTGAAACTTCATTGTTTTTGGCTGAATCCAGAATTTCAAAAAAAACCTTATAATAGTGAGTCATTTGATACATACCTTTTTTATCATATTTCGCCAAAACCTGTAGGGTCACATTTTGGCCAGAACAGCCATAGCCCACTTATAACACTGTCGCCCTTGAGTGGTGCATACCATATATGTACACACCCTTTAAACTTGACCATTCCCGCGTTTTATAGTATGTGGTATCATCACTCAATGGTACTGTACATTCATCCAAATTCTTAATTTTTTTTTTTTTTTTTTAAAAAAATTTTATTACTATATTCATATGCATTGTGTTTCATGTTGTGTTGTGTCTCTATTTATAGATGTTGTTTTGTCTAACAAACTCCTTTGTACAAACAGTTTTGTACACTCCACCCATATCCCTGTTACCGCATCCACCCACCCTCCTCGCACAACTGCCTGTATAAAGGACCATATTGTACATATTTGATTTACCCTATTATAATTTATATAAATCAAAGGGGTGTATGCCGCACATCTGTGTTTTAGGCCAATATGGTCTTGTGCATACATCCCGTCTTCAGTATTTATAAGTACTTACTCTTTTATATTGCTTTTACGAGACGAATAAACATACATACATACATGTTTCATAGTGAACAATGACTATTATCATATAGATAGAGAAAAGTGTTTGGCAAAATTTAATTGTCAATATTATCTTGTGCTGAGTCATAGTTATAGAATAGATTAGTCAAGTAATATAATAAAAATAAACAAAAATAATCCACACACCTTGCATATTTCGTGATACCAATTCGCATCTACATAGGCTTCTAACTCTTGTTGAGCAAACACATCACTGTAGTTAAATGGTACAGCAGGAGTAACTTGACAAGCACTTCTTTGCTCTTTTCTCCTGGATATGTAAAAATCATATTATTATAATCAAATATAAAAGTTTTCAATCAAGGTTGAAAGTAGAATGTAATTTTTTATATAATTGCTGTCAAAACAAAAGTTTGATAAAGCAATCTTTTTAAATATGGGAAGAAATATCAGATAAAAGTAGCAAAAGACTATTCAATGTGTTTTAACTTTAGCAAAGACTGTTTAACTAAATAAAACCACTCGTGTACAAATTTTATTGTAAGCGCAAAAAGTTTAATATTAGTAATTCAATACATTCAATTTTCCCTTCCTTTTTCTACATTAATAAATTTATGTTGTTTAAATATCTAAAATGCATTGACCAAAAATGCAGCAAAACTACTGTTATACTTACGTTTGTAACCAGAAAAGAAAACCTCCAATGAAATTTTCTTTTCTTATTCTATAAAAATTTGATGATTTTGATAAATCAATCACATCTTTCAACACATGAAATTGTGTTCCTTCAACCTCGATACTTCTTGCTACAAATGGCAGAGGTATGGCAAATAGGTGACGACAGTCATCATGACTCCACCTGCAAATAAAATGTCTGGTATCAAATGGTACGATTTCACATTAGAATCTTGAAACCATAATTACAGTCTTGCATGTTTGCCATCTCATATTTTTATTGTACAATAATGTAGTACATTTTATACATAATCTACCCCGAACTGTAATGGTCTGGTAGTGCTTGACTATTCAATTGAAATATGCCAACTCCGCATGAAAAATTTGAATTCATGTATATGTTACCTGAAGTACACCACAGTACCAAAACCTTTTCCTCCAATCAATTCAAAAACAATATCTGGATAATGTTCACGACTAAGAAGAGCCACATCAATCCTCTGGGTCTGACAACTTGATCTTTGCCACAGACTGGAATTTCAACAGCATTGATTATTACAGTATCATTTGCTAATTACTTTTATTTATCATAGTAACAATTTATCATAAACAAAGAACTATACAAATCATGTGGAAATCTTGTGAAATTATAAAGGTCTTGGGAAGTAAGGGCAGGCATCTCGTTATAGTGCTTTCCTCTATTTAAGAATTGAATTGTCTTTGCGACAATTACTCTCTATGGACTAAGAAAGAAATTCTAAAAAAACACCACTAAGTGGTAGGATGCACAAAAATGGAAGTTCAATGTGCATGCTGACTATGCAAACAACAGGCATTAGTAGTTGAATGACGTGCGACCAGAATTTCTAACCACTCACACCAGGGGTGACTGGCGCCGCATTACGTTTTTGTGAAAGGTCTTCAGCGCGACCAATGAGACGACGTCTATTATAACTATAAGGTGTGTTGAATTTTAAAAAAAATAACTCTATATAGATTGTTTTGTTATTACTTTTCGATCTTGATCGGTAAGTATGTTGATAGGCATTTGTCTGTTTTTTTGTCTATTAGATGCACGCGATATCTCACGAAAACGAGGTTGAATCTGCTCCAAATTTTGCATGTGCATTCATCAAATCGCGTCACGCCCAAAACTTTTATGAACTACAGCTGGAAGCGAGGCCAGAGCGCTTGGGTCAATACGCCTTTCTTTCGTAATTAACTATAGATATATATATTTATATATATAAATTCTGTTAATTATGTTATATTCGTCAATTTTTCGTCAGTTTGGTCATTTCCAACAGGCATCCTAATGTTGATAAGCTGTCACGCCTACAATTCTCCCCTTTTTGCAAGAAATAACTAATTATTATTTATTTATCTATTTTTTTATTCTTGCGGAACTGTGCGTTTAGTCAGACTAGTGCGACTATCTTGAGCTTTCAGGCTTGCGGATAATTTTAGACGATAAGTTACGTGCGCACAACCCCTGTCACGCGGGCCGCACGCAACCCGCGAACAATTTTACCGTATAAAAAAAAAACATTGGCAGATAGCTGTATTTATTGGCACAACATTTTTAAGTTTTTTTTAGCTATTCCAACTTAGGTTGGGATTCCGAGATTTAAACCCCAAGTTATAAAATTAGTAAAATTTATAGGTGACAGAGGAAATCTGGAAGGAGGATTTTCTTGCCCACAACGGCAAACCACAGTGTCTGGTGTATTTTCAAGTAATATATGTCACGAAAGAATGTAATTTGAAGCGACAGTACAAAACCAAATACGAGAAAAGATACGGAAAATACCACGGTACTTCTCGGGGAGCAATTTTAAAATAACCAGAGGCTTTATATATCTTCATTGAAAAAAACATGCAACATAACATTAGGCCGATTTGAACAGTAAACTCTCATTTTTTAATAAATTTAAAGTAAGTAAACTCGCGATATTTTGATCCCTTTTGGGTTTTGTCCGACTGCGGCCTGCGAGATCTCAAAAGTTTTTGCGGCTCTTCAACCTCGCAACCTTTAGGCCGCGAGCCGAGGCCGTTTATCTTTCAGTTTCGTAGCGCACATGAGGTAACTACCTGAAAATGATTTTAAAATGTTCCTTAGAAATTTAGTAACAGATATTGCCTTGTTCCCACTTCCGAAAGTTGCACGTTTTACAGAAAAGACGCTTTTACTACAATAAATATGTGTTACCATCTGTCCTATTTTCTCTGCTTTTCCGGTATCATGGGCCAATGAACGCAGACTTCTGCATGACGTAACAAACAAATTAGTCAGCTGTAGGTGGATCCCCAGTGGTCGGATGAATATCAGATGTAATACTACTGCGCACTTTTGCGTTGAGTAGCCTTTCCATAGTTTTTTCAGTTATTATTAGTTCAGTTATTCTAAGGAGGTGTTGAAAAGTATGAGTAGGCTAATATATTAAACACTTGTATATCCTTACCATAAATAGCAATTTTAGTTGAGCATTAGCTCATAAGACGTTGTTAAATAGGTACGGTGCGGTAACTCCAGTCTCCAAGGAAGGCTAGACCTAGAATAATATGTCACAAACAACGATATTTTCTGGCTTGCATGAAATGTTTATGATTAATTTAATGACTTTTCTTGACTATTCAGCAGACTTATACTACTATACAGGCCATAGCATATTGGAAATAAAAATTAATGGCTGTTTCTGTAATGCACGGTTGTGTGAAAGAGAAGAAAATAATCAATTTTACTAATGTCGGTTGGTCTAAATCTATATTCATAGAGTCAGAGTCCACAAGAACCTGGGAAGCAATGATAAGTTATGCCGGAGTGGAAAGAAATATAGCATTGGAAACGATTGAGAGGTGAGAAATCAAGTTGTAGACAGACAGTTGATGTTTTAAAGTATAATCTATAGTCCATACTCATACTGTCACAGGGCATTTCAGACTGTGATATAGACTATCAAAATTTAGTGTAGATATAGTCTAGTAATGGTATGCAAACACTGCTGGACTGTAGTACATGCAATGAGCATATATGCGCTCATTGAGTACATCAGATAAAATGCATTATGTATTCAAGGTATTAGTTAGTATTTAGTGGTATTTTTACACTCATGCTGTTCCCAATATGATTTTCTTCCTCATTTTAGATACTGTACTACAAAAGAAAACGGCAATGTTCCACCAATCCGACCTAACGCAGGCTCTAATCCCTGCTGCTATCAGTGCTATAAAATGGATTAAACAAGAAGTCTTGAAGCGTAAAGGTATATGAGAATCATAATAGTTGCAAACAGCTTAGATGGGCTATTCATATTGAAATACTTTAGCACTTTTCTGCAATTGGAACCGCCCATCAAACTCATGTTGGAGACTTACTTCATTGGGGTTTTCAATTCATTTTTTTTCTCAACTATGAAGATCTTTTGAGGTTAACGAGGCATTAATAAATAAAGCTGAGGAATTTGTTTGTTCACTGTATGAAGAGGATATGAAGAATGTAAATGATACCAGGGCACGTCTATTTAACACTGGCAAACATAAGGATTAAATTCTTTCATCCAACAATAATTCACTGAAGAAGCATGTGGCCCTCAAATCAGTTCTGCAAACTGCAAGTGTAAGAAAAATAGTCAAAATAATTTGTGCAAGTGTGCCAAAATCAACTTAAATTGCACAGATTTTTGTTTTTGTATTGACTGCAAAAATCACAGTACACTTATAGAGGAAAAGTCGATTTTCGAGATAGTGGATTTCGAAAACAATTCAGAAGAAAGTGAATTAGATATTGCAGTTGATTTAATAAGTATCATTTATTTGTTTTTTATTTTCGGACGTTTGTTAGTGTCGTAGTCCTGTTTCTAGAAATAATATTGCTTTTGTTCAAATACATAACCACATAAACTAAAAAAAGACTAATTGTAATATTTCTGTTCACTATGTTATGTACATATTGTACATTTATTTAATTTTCTTGACTTTTCCGGTAAATTTCTATGTGAGAAATAACTAATTTAATTGTGTTCGTGCTAACGATGTTAATTTGTGACTTCATTGCTTAAAAATAAATACGTTTGATAGCTTCTATAAAATGGATGTAGTTTTTTATGCTGTTCTTGTTGTAAACTGCTTGTGGTTATTACATAAAATTTATTCGCTAATGTGAATCAGCGTTGTTGGTGTCGCTGCTTTCGAGGTCACTCGCGACTCCTGTCACACAATTAAAGTATTTTTTGTTGTTGGTTACATGTATGCCATATTTTTTGTAATCTACCTAATAAATTATGATTGACTGAGGAAGTCCGATTTTGGTCAGGGAAAACATTACAGGAATACATTTGTGTTAGTGTGCTGTAGGACTCTCGAATTGCATAGTTCTTAAGTATGTGTTGTAAACTTATGGTTAATGAATTTCCGGGAACCTCCTATATTCAATTTCGCATCAGGATTGTGGAACAAGCTGTAATGCGTTCAGTATGTTCATTTTCACACAAAACTGAAGAATTTATTTAGTTACCAGATGTGCGCTACGAAACTCATTTTCTGGGCGTTTTCAATGCTTCGTCTCACGGCCCATGTGGTAAGGATCTACAAGTGTTTATTAACTTACTTATACATTTTTTAACAACGTCTTAGCATAACTTAACAACTAATAATAACTAAACAGGGCTATGGAAAGGCTGCCCAACTCAACGCAAGATCGAGCAGTAATAACTAATATTCATCCGCTCGCTAACAGCTGATTCGATTCAATTGTTACATCATGCAGAAGTCATTGTTCATTGCCGAAAATGTAGAGAATATAGGACAGATCGTAGCACATATTTCTTGTAGCAAAAGCGTCTTTTCCGTAAAACGTGCAACTTTTGGAAGTGGGAACAAGGCAATATTTGTTACTAAATTTTTAAGGAACATTTTAAAATCATTTTCAGGTAGTTACCTGATGTGCGCTACGAAACTCACGTTCTAGGCGTTTTTCAGGGCCTCGGCTCGCGGCCTACTTGGATCACCATGAGTTAGACGAAAATATAGCGACAAAATATCGCTTTACATTATCTGTCCTCATAGTTATACTAAATAAAAACCACATTACAGCATCGTGATATGCTGTGACTGTAGTCTTAATCACAAAGAAATCCATCTCCCACCTCCAATTTAAAAAAGAAATTTTCTCGTTTATAACACCGGTAATCTATTTTCCATGGCTTTTCTGTTCGACGGTGGCATGAATGCTAAGGCCTCTGCTTCCGCTTCCCTAACTTAAACGATCGAAGTTGTAAACGTCTAAGCAATATAGAACAGCCGTTTCCTCTTACAGCGGCTAAGCTCATATGAGAGAATATTTACGCTTAATTTTGTGCTCGGTAAACTACTGTTAATATCGCTCTTAGCTCTTTGTTGACGTTATCGCCTGATATGAGAGAAGCGATAGAACCTTCCAGCCGTGACGCAAAGTGCGAATTCTATAAATAGCGTGGATTTCAAAATCGCCTGTCAGACGTCTAAAAATATCGACTCAGCTCAGACAGGAAATACTCATTTATAATGACTTATTGTTGGTTAAGCATGTA